GAAATTGTTTTACATTTGAATGAATTTGATGAAATAATTAACTAGCATCTTAGAAAAAATATACAAATGGTATATGAATTTATACATATTTGTTTGAAATTTTATTGCTATTTTCTTTTTATTTCTATATATACTATTTAAATGTTCTTCTTCTTTTATAAGATAGTATAGGGGAGTATCTGGCATTGATACTAAATGTTCTTAAACACTATTGTTGACACATTTGCATTATATATGAAATGATACTGACATAAAAGAGATCCCTGTCTTACCCCAATTGATAAAATATAATTCATACTATTTGAAATTAAATTGCAAATACATTCACATAATATCGAGTGAATGTGCAAAAGGGTATCTCCAGAGTTAATAAAAAAAACCTCCATATCCTCCCTTCACCGAAATCCAAAACTTATTAGGATAATTGGTCATATTAGCAATTGTTCATTGAAATTGTCACTTCGAAAAATCAAATTTTCTAAATAAATAGTAACGTAAAATAATTGAAATAAGAATTTCAAAACATGACTATATAATATATGGTATTTAATTGTCCATTGCTTCCCGTTTATAACAGAAAAAGATTATGTCCATTTGCTAGGGCATTACCTATAGGCCCTAACTGTAAGTCACCGGTACCCGTGTCCCTACTTTCATATTATCAAATGGCACAAACGACCTTGACCTATTTAAGAGGGGTCATTTTGAAATTCCTTTATGGTCACTTTTTATGTTTACCTCCTGTGGTTGAAAGTATTATGCCCTATGTTATGAGCGCCTGGAACCATTCTTGAAATTCTTTCATAATTCAGCTATTTAAAACAGGGCATTGCAATTTCCTCGGCACACGTGTTTTCAATTGAACATTTTACAAATTGCAACTGGAAGGGTGGTGATATAGGCGACATTCTGTTCTCCAATATTTATGCAAAGCTGAAGTTATTTTCAGGCACCTATCTGATAAATCTCTGATCTTGTTCGCCTTTTCTATTTTTCTATGTTGTATCTGATGAAATGGGTGTACATTTTTGGTACTGTCACTTCGACCCAGAAAAGACAATCGTATTTAAGTACATTCGCGTGGAATTTCCAAGACCGGACGAAATACTCTGGCAACTATGCAGGGAGTAAAATATGTCTATATTTATGCGTCAATGGTAGGAAACGAGTACATGAGTTCTTCCAGATGTCACAAACTAAGTAGTCATGGAAACACGACATTAAAAACACCATAGACATGTAGGTTATTTACATATTCTTGCATAGTTTCACTTACACGACAAAATTCTTTTTACGTTACGCTTTCACTTTGTTAGTGTGAATACAAAGGGAAATTGAACAGAAAAATGGTTTGTACCCCCTGTAGACCTAAACGTATGTGTCAGAATATGCCAAATCAATTATATTTTTCAAAACTTTTCTGAGGGAGAATCATTTCAGATCCATGGGAGACTTGCACCTATGGCGCTTTTACAGCGCTACCCTATAGGAATCTCAATCTCATTAAGTCCCTCTAATAAGTCAATCTGTCACCTGTTTGTAAACCCAGTCCCCAGTAGGCTGACGATTCACTGATTTACACATTTAACATCACACAATAATCACGATCGCTTTCGCCAGTGACTTCCGATGTCATGTCATTAGATTGTTCTCGAAATGGACGACGCCTTTCTTTGTAGATTCGCACATGTTTAGCTGAAATTTTCTCCTTTCGGTAGAAGGGAGCCGTTTATATCCATTATCTCTCCTTTAATACTGTCTCCTTTCCCATTTCAGTTTGTATGTATAATGGTGAAAAATATTATGATGAAGACGTTTGGACCCCAGATCAAAATAATACTTGTTTAGAATGTCAATGTAAAAAAGGAGAAGTAGTCTGTTATTTCAAAAAAGGATGCGAGGAAATCGAATATGGTGAGTTGTCTTTTCTTTGATTGATGAAAACCTTGAAATCGATGATCAAAAACTTAAGAAAATAGAATGTCAAATGTTCTACCAAATGACAATAAATAAAAATGCTTTGAATTGAATTAGGATCACACATAGATGCAAGCTCAAAAGACAACTATTAGCGCTTTAAAGAATGCCCACGCATTAGTTCATTCTACCGAATGGCCTTTATCTTTGAACTCAAAGTTTGCATTAATTTGATCTCATTAATGCGAATCCCTTATGAAACCTATATTTCTATTTTTTCTTTATTTTTTTCAGCTTCCGCCGAGGTGAAAAACGCTGTAAGTATTAAATTGAAACTATTAATTTTGGCCAAGTTGTCTTACTAGAAACATATTTTGATCACATGATTGAATCTTGATATTTTGCCAAATACAGGTGTTCATGTCGATTTCCTAGATACTGGTATCTGGAAATGACTATACTAATGGTTTCTTTTGTGATACATGTATACTCTGAAATAACTTGTCTTGGTATAATCTGGACCTTCCCATACTTCTTGAGTATGATTTTTAAGTAGGTTGAGAAAGTTGCAGATAATTTTTGAACGCAAAATTTATCTAAAAGGTTAAGTTGCCATTAGAAGCTTTATGTAATGAGATAACTTAGACTTCAGGACAGATTGAAAGTTGAGCAGGTGATCAAATAATGCTAATTTTATATGTAACCTTGTTTTTTGATATTTCAGGCCCTTGCAGCAGTCATGTCATCTGTCAGAGTAAGTTTTCTATTTCTCCTCATTACTGTCTTCAACACTCGAACGCACCTCATTGTTAATGTGACCTAATCTAAGCGATGTTTAATTGAACCTGACGGTCTGAAGTATTTAGGTTTGGGTATTTTGGTCAATACAGACCAAGTATGTAAAATGTGAAAATCTAAATTATAATGCTATGTACCTATTTATGTATTTTAGGGACCATCAGGTAATTCCGGTCCTGTCGGATCAGTAGGACGCATGGGTCCAATGGTAAGTAACTAGATTTTAAATTTATCAATAGAAATCAAGAATTCAAACCGTATCCAGTACAAATCAAATAATCGAGTCGCCTAATCATTTATTTTTCACTTTTAATTTGCCTTTAAGTTATTTAGATATACAAAAAAAATAGAAATAGTATATCCTTATATCTTGTGTGCTGAATTCACGAAAGCTGTTTCTCTGTTTATAGGGCGACTCCGGAAAAGATGGTGTAAACGGTATTCCTGGACCACCAGGTTCTCCTGGACCAAGTGAAATGGTAAATTCCATTTAATCTTTTATTCAGTAATTCAATCCAATACAGCTGTAGGGAACGCATTCTTCACCAATTCATTTATAAAATATAATAACAAAGAAGGTCTCCGGGGTGCCCCTTGTTTCACCTCGACGCCATTTGAGAAACTATTATTAAATAATAGCATTCTCCACATCTTTATTTATAAATAAAAATAACAAGCGGAGACCTGAGGCATCCTCCTGTGTTACACCGGTGCCAGTTTATAATTTTGTGGGTTTTATTAATTCCACAAGCGACCATGAACTACTTATTCAACAGTAACAAGTCTTGAAGGCACAATATTTCGACTTAGAATTATGAAATAGCTGACTCGTGAAGTTCTTGCAATCGTTTTCTTAGTCCAGATGTCTTCCACTCTTTCCATTCTCTCTCAAGAATGGCAGTATTTGATCAGACGATATCTAAATTTTTCTGCCTCGTACTAAATGGATGTATTTTATTTATTTTCTGTGATCAGTCTGCCGATCAAGCCTACAATATGTACTTTGCCAGAAACTTTGGAGATAAGGCTGGTGGTGCTCAGTATCCTGGACCTCAATACTTACAAGCACAAGTAGTGAGTATCACTTTTTTTTACATATATTTTGCTCGATAAAGATCAAATATAATATTATAGCATCAAGATGGTATCAATTATGGATTTCTTAATACAATAATTAGGATACTGCAATTCGAGTTTAATTCTGATTGTGTCGTTTTAGACAGAATAAGAAAAATGATTATTGATGAAATTTGCTATTATGTTAACATTTTTGACAATTAGAGTGATTATTTTGGTATATAAGCAATGTCTTCGAAAGTCAAGTTCTGCATAGCATGGGTATTATATTATACAAGTCATTGTGTCGATGTAGATGTAATATTTTCGATTAATAAGTATCATATGGTTAATGTTGACATATAGTTTCAATATAAAAACATATGTAACAGTTTTAAAAATACAGCTATTGTCAAACTAAATACAAAAGTAACATATTCCGAGGTGTCTACACATGGCATTCGAATTTGTCTAATTTCAAGCCAGACTCAAAGACAAACAAACCCTCTTGAGGAAATCCTTCAATAACTTACATGTATTTTATGACCAGATCAACAAATATGTACTTTCATTTTCAGGGCCCCATGGGACCACGAGGACCCCCTGGACCACCCGGTTCAGCTGGTCCACAAGGACCCCAAGGTTTAAGAGGAGATCATGGAGATCCAGGTCCACCTGTAAGTTTGACTCATTTATTGATGGTACAATACACGGATTAATGCCCTGGGCGCTTAGATTATAACTGCATAATATCACTCTTTTTTTGGAATTTAAGAGAATTACTTTGAAGTCATAGATTGCTGTCTTTTAACTACCGAATAACATTTACACTATAGCTTTAACCTATAGGCATTATCTTGAATGAAACAACCTTGCATCTTAATCATAATGAATTAATTAATCCCATATTTGTAGGGACCCCCCGGATCCCGCGGAGAGAACGGTAATCCCGGGCCACCTGGACCTGATGGAGAAAGTGGCCGACATGGAAATGATGGTCCACCCGGACCTGCTGGACCCAGAGTAAGTATTGCTTATTTCCTCTCCATTGCATCAGCGAATGAAATAGATCAAGAAAAGAAAGAAACTGTTTGTCATCTTCAATATTATGAAATGCTCATTCTTCTCCCTTTATAGACATCAGTGTACTGTCATCGTTAGTCGTCAGTTTGGAATTGATCAAATTATGCAATTTGTATTTTAGGGGCCCCCTGGACCTGCTGGTATGCCTGGTATGCCCGGATCCCAAGGACACAAGGTAAAGATCTTTTTCAATTTTCTTTTATCATTTATCATTTATGTTTACAGTATAAACAATTGATTTTTTAAAACAAGTATTTGGCTGTCACTTTGTATGTCTTCGATTAAACGTTTTTAAATGTTTTAAATTTTTGCATATTTATTGACAATATTTTAATTTTCTAATTCTGCAAATTATAAATCCTATTAAATTATTCTTCTTATCTTAATTTATATCTGATTTCAGGGTTTCCGAGGATTCCGAGGTAAACGAGGTGAACAAGGTCTTTCTGGTGAAACTGTAAGTGTATTTAAACCTAATAATGGCTATGAATAGATCATAGTTGAATTGATTCAGTATAGCAGTTGTTTATATTGTACCCATTGTGTCGTTTTATATTCCTCTACAGAATATATGGACGGTTCTACTGAAGCATTGAATAGGATCGCATCGAGTCGCCTGATATTCCTCTTCAATAAAAATCACTGTTCGATATAAAAGTACCACCAACAGAGACACTCAAGATAAAGTATTGCACACAATTACAAAAGAAGTCTGTAGAATGCAGGGCGGGGTACCACTTTAATATCGATTTGCCAATACGATGCAAAATTCAGCCTTGGGATGTTTCAATTCAATTGAAAATATCAATCTATAGGCCAACAAAGATTGTATAATATGTATATTATTTATTTTTCAGGGACCCGTCGGAAGCCCTGGTGCTCCCGGTGCCAATGGACCACAAGGACCCCGAGGTCCACCCGGAGGACGAGGACAAGATGGTCTCCCTGGTCCCCAAGTAAGTAACCTTATAAATTTCCAGATTTGTGGAACCTCAACTTTCATGAATAGTAGTAGCTCATTGGAATCATTTATTACAAACTGAATAGCTATTCTTTAAATTTCAAAATTGTAGTTGAACTTCGAGTAAAATCATTAAAAAGTTAAAATGCAATGATTTTAGACGGCCTTTGTTGCATCAATGGCACTCGACAGCAGATTTTTGTATGAGAAAAAGAGATCTTACAAAAGCCCATATCTGCGATATGAGTGTCATGGTTTCTTGATGTATTTTGCAGGGTCTTAGAGGTGTTGATGGTTTAGCTGGTCAACCTGGTCCAAGTGGACCCGTCGGACAACCTGGTCCACCTGGTATCCCCGGACAACCTGGTATTAAGGTAAGAACTATTTTTGCATGAAAGTCACAGATGAAACATCCGGTGATAAAACGATCCAACTTTGAAAGAAAGAAATAATTCTATTACTCGACACACGATATGGTAACTCTTGCTGGACAAACGAATAGCAAACCAGCTTTGACTAACATGACGGCTCTTGCAATAGATATCCTTAACTATAACTGAGCAGGAGCGAAAGGATGCTTATCCTAACTAACCCACATAACCGACATTCTTTAAATGATAAGTGTGTTTTATTCGTGTTTAGGGAGCTGCTGGTTCAAGCGGACCTAAAGGAGGATTCGGTCCACAAGGAGCTCGTGGTGAACCTGGAACACCCGGACCTGATGGAGAACCTGGTGCACACGGACAACCTGGTATGAATGGTGCTGATGGTGAGAAGGGATCTACTGTAAGTAGATGAATTTTATTCCAGAGTTTTGTTATTGAGGGGCTTTAATTACTACTGTTAACTATTGTTTATGTTTATATGTTAGTATTGTTGAATAATACTAGTTTATATGTTTTGAGTTGAATGGCGGCAACATTTACAAACAAATAATTATTATATTACTGATCATTAACATGTTTCAATCAAATATAAAAATTGTGTATTTGGAACGTATAACATCAATACTGATCCTTTCTGGTCTATTTTAGGGTGATCCTGGAGCTTCTGGTGCCCCCGGATTCCCCGGACCTCGAGGTCCACCCGGTCTTACTGGTAGCCCTGGATCTGTCGGAGCCAAAGGATCTGCTGTAAGTATTTATATACTTCTTTATATTAAAGTTTGCGCCACATGTCTAATTGTCTTATAGTGGTGCTAAACATTCAACGCCATCTTTCCTCTTAGTGAAATATAGATACATGTATTTTCATTGGGTATTTTCATTTCGTCTTTAAATTACACGAGGTTCAATTGTCCCAGCACAAAACCAGTATTTTCGTTATTCTGTCTATTTGGTTTAATCCATACTTTATAAAGGTTAATTCTTATTATAGGGAGAAGGTGGTCAAAACGGTTACAAGGGAGAACAAGGTACAAAGGGTATTCCTGGATCAACTGGTGAACGAGGACGACCTGGACCAGCTGGAATCCAAGGAAAGAGAGTAAGCACCATGTTCATACATTTCTAGGGTTACATTGTTTTTTTTCATTGAAAAGTTAATCTTAGCAGTTTATTTTAGATTGATATAAAATATTCATTCATTGAAATTGTAATTTTGGATTCTTATTTGTGACGTCCCAAAATTTAAATTGTATTCATGCAAGGTTGATATCATTTACAAAATTCATGAGGTTATTTTTCTTTACAGGGAGAACGTGGATCTCAAGGCCCACCTGGACCAACTGGATTAGAAGGAGAACGAGTATGTATTCTTTAATTATACGATCTTCAAAAACACGATTTATCATGAGGAGGTTCTTGAGAATCCTTTGATCTTTCCCAGCTCATGAGAAACCATTTACAGAGTCGACTTGAAAAATGAGGAAAGGTGGCTTTTTAAGGTCACACATAAACCTAGATAAGAACCCACACTAAAGGTAATGTGTTCCAATACGCTTAAATTACAGCTAGCTTGTTCTTACGTTGTAGGGTTTAAGCGGTGGACGAGGTATTCCCGGATCTCCTGGATCCCCCGGAGCCAAAGGAGAAGATGGACAACCAGGTAGCCGAGGATCTCGAGGTGAATCCGGATCCATGGTAAGACCTTATCTGCTACTTCCTCGTGTCGATCCTTGTTGATTCATCCAGAAGCACTTTAGTTTTATTGAAGCATACTGAAGCATCATTGACCTTTATTTCAATTCGTTAAGCTGAGTTGCAATCAAGATGGTAATTTATAGCACCCATGGGTTTTATTTTTATCAAGTGAACTTACCACGTATAATGTAACCGACTCTTTATCGAATGATTTACATTTTTTCTATCTATACATAGTTCAGTTTTATCACTCTATTGGCAAAAACATGATTGGTGATAAAAAAAAGTGCCTTTCCATTATTAGTGCTCTCGCGAAGATGTGTGAATATAATGTTGAATGTTTTTCTTTTAGGGTGAAGCCGGACGACCTGGACCACCAGGAGCCCCAGGAGAAGCTGTAAGTAAAGCTAGATTCTGGTTTAATCTTCTCAGTTATTCTGTTTCTAAGGAAAACATCGTTCATTCAAACCAAACCGACATTGCCATAGTCTATGAGTTGACGAATTATTTAAAGTAGATGTGAAACTAGCTTAATAACTTTTTTAAATCATTCACAATGTAAAAGTCTTTGGACAAATGGTGTCTCATTAGCCAATTTAACAAATTATACTGATTATTTCAGGGTGCTCCCGGACCACCAGGACCTGATGGTAAATCTGGAGCTACAGGACCTGCTGTAAGTATACTTTTGTAATGATATTGTGAGAACAATTGTGTTACAGTACTTTTACAAACCAGCTGTATTAATGTTTGGATCCGAAACTTCATAAGATTGAGTCTATTATCCTGTTGGTTTCAAGTTCTAGATAACAATAATAAAACATTGTGGCAGGTGTAGGCAGCGAGGCAGCCCATGCTGCTCACCCTTCCGGAAACCCATATGCCTCTCTGTGGTTTGACCCTAACTCGGCGCTCCATTTGGAGATTACACATTGCTATTTTGTAAGTTTGATATTTCCAGTGGACTGGATTGCCGCCAGGAAATTACAACAAATGTTATTTCTTTATATACAGGGTCCTCCCGGTAACGATGGACGACCTGGTGAGATGGGACCTCCTGGACAAACTGGTCCACCCGGAGCTCAAGGTCCACAAGGAGCTGCTGGAGAACGAGTAAGTTTCCTTTTTTGATTTCGATTGTAGATTAAACACCAAGCTGAGACATGAACGTGTGGGGATATATGCACAATATTCAAGTCTATAAAGTACATTATATAATCTTAGACCTCTGGTGAATGACATTGTTCTGCATAGATCTCCTGATACTACTTTAAGATTGCATCTGTCACATCGGTATTGCATTAAAGAATCTACATAGTTCGTATTATTTTTCATTTAATCATATAAAGTACATCAATTTCATTTTGTTAGGGATCCCAAGGTAAAAGTGGTAGCCCCGGTATTCAAGGAGAACGAGGTGCACCTGGTGATGCTGGATCTACCGGTGAAATGGGACCCCAAGGTGCTCCCGGACCTGAGGTATTGTATAGATGATTATAATCTTGCTATGTCACAATATGAACATATTGGAGGGGCTATGTGCAGATATCTGGTGAAGCACTATTTTGATCAACGCTTTTAAGTGCCCTGAAGTTTAAACCGATGATCACTTAAGTTGATTACACTAACGTAGAAAATCTTTGACCAAGTCATTTGAAAAATGAGACTTTTTTATTGTTTTCGACTAATTTTAAAAATGATATATCCCTTTTCACACGTAATGATTTGATTATGTATTTTATTTCAGGGAGAACAAGGAGAACGTGGTCCAGTCGGTCCTGATGGTCCCAACGGATTCCAGGTAGGATTAAGTGATATTTGCATATTATAAATGATGAGGTTAAATTATCATCTTAATGGAAAGTTGTCCTCGACGAAACACTGTTGGTAACAATATTTTTTTATATTCTGTTATATCTCTCGTCATATAACAGTTTTACGAAGTCCTTATCGGAGTGCGATTGGTATTTATAGATGTCTACCTACTTTTCAGGGACCTCCTGGATTACCTGGTAACCCTGGTACTGCTGGAACTGATGGTGAACCTGGTGTTCCCGGACCTCCTGGTCCACCTGGTAAAAATGGTTACCGAGTAAGTAATTACCTTATCATTTCTATAGTATTATAATAGATCTATAGTATCTCTCAAAATCAATATAAACTATGGAGCATCTCGTATATTGTATGTTGATCTGCATAAGGATGTTTCGAATGATTAAACAACGTCATTGTTTTTATAGGGTGAGCGTGGTTTCCCTGGAGCTCGAGGTGAACCTGGAGCAGAAGGAGAAGCTGGTCTTGCTGGTTTAGATGGTCCACCAGGACCTGATGGTAACCGAGTAAGTTGATTATTTATTCTATATATTCCTTATAAAAGTCCGGGATAAAGGAAAGGATAACACCTGCGCTTTTTTTTTTGGGCAACTCGGATATCAATTTTCTTTACATGATTGTTCATTTACCAGGTGCCAACCAAATTCCAGTATTTAGCTCTAAGAAATATACATTGTGATTGTAATTTCTTACAAAGCAACTACATATATATGTATTGGATTTGTTTCTATTTAGGGTCCACCCGGAGAAAACGGTATCAAAGGAGAAGGTGGCCCACAAGGAGCTGTTGTAAGTATAATTTTTCATTCCATTCCTTTTTCATGATGTTTATATTCTTTTGATCCATAAGTTGCCATTTGATTGTCGATATCATATTGTATTTTAATGCTATGCTAATTATATTTCAGGGTTTACGTGGCCCCCGAGGACCCGTCGGACCCCCTGGTACAAGTGGTGATTTGGTAAGTATAGTCATTTGATTTCTTTCATATTTTTCCTTTTTAGAGAACAATAAATCTCTTACTTATTATGCCTGTTCTGCGAACTCAAAGCTTTATTTCGTGTTTTATTTCTTATTTGTTGCTTTTTTTTACGACTAAATTTTTTAATTCATTAAGGGTGATGTTGGTAACAATGGTGCTGATGGTGCTCCCGGACGTCCTGGACCTCCCGGTAACCGAGGTCCACCCGGGCCTATTGGTCTTGCTGGACCACCAGCTGCTAAAGGAGCTGCAGGTGACGCTGGATCAAGAGGAGAATCTGGACCCCCTGGTGCTTCTGGAGAACGTGGTGTTGCTGGACCTCAAGGTGAACAAGGATACCCCGGTCTTCCCGTAAGTATCATTAATTTATTCATTGCTCGTTCTAGGAAGGGAGAAAGAGGGCTGTATCCTCTCCAGATTGTATTTTATGGTTTGTGATTTAAATTTTTGTCTATGCTTGATATGCCAAAATTATAGACTTTTACTGCGTGAAATCTAGTGTCTAGTGATACACACATTTCTAGTGTATATTTGGTAGTTTGTGATCTTAGATTGATTTAATTTCTCCACTGTTATTTTAGGGAGCTGCTGGACCTAACGGTATGAAGGGAGAACGAGGTGCCCCAGGATCTAAGGGAGAAACCGGAGATGCTGGAGCAGCTGGTGAACCAGGAGCAGCTGGACCTTCTGTAAGTTTATTTGAGAATAATTCACAATAATGCAATCATGTCCTGGTACTGTCAATGGATTTTATATATTATATTCTAAACAGCAAACACAAACAATTTGTGATACGATTTCTTCCATATGAATTATACTTTTTGAGCTTTTTTGATTTCGTTACATATTGTAGGGTGTACGAGGTATTGCTGGTCGACAAGGAGCCCGTGGTGATGCTGGAGCTGATGGTATTCCTGGAGAACCGGGTAATCCCGGAGCTCTTGGTGCCCCTGGTCGTGCCGGACAACAAGGTCTTCCCGGACCATCCGGACCTCCCGGAATTCCTGGAATCAAGGGATCTCGAGGTGGAACTGGATCACCTGGTCAACCTGGAAGCAATGGTGCCCGAGGACAACCCGGTCTCCCTGGAAACAAAGGTGTCAGAGGTGAAGAAGGTACCCCTGTAAGTACAAATGAAAGTATACCTTAATCAGACAGAAAAGGACAAATTTCATTTTAGTCTGAAATCTGTGACGCCAGAGATGATGATGATTAAGGTTTAACAATATGAGATATACTGTTTCACGCAGTTACTGATACAGTTGTACAAATGATATTTTGAAATTTCAGGGAACTGTTGGACCAACTGGTGCCCCCGGACCAAGTGGTGAACGTGGTGAGCCTGGACAACCCGGTGTTGGTGGTGAACGAGGTCCAACTGGATCTCCCGGAGCCACTGTAAGTTGTTCTCAATAAATCAAGATGTGCATTTCCTCACTTTGGAAGTCCTCAATCTAAACTTTTTTTTCGATTATATGAGTGGTTAACTATGTATAACCCCTAAGTGCCATTTCATTTTCAATATTTCTTAAGAGTCATTTTGTATTCTTTAATCTGATATGAATAATTTAAATATTACTTTTAGGGACCACGAGGAGAAGCTGGAAGACGAGGTCGAAACGGTCTTCCCGGACCTTCTGGACCTGTTGGTAACCCTGGTAATCCTGGTATGGTTGGTGAATCTGGACCTACTGTAAGTATTACAGAGCAAAGCGATTTGGCAAATAAGGGTCGTAGTTTGATGTATTTTGAAATTGAGTAGAGAATGATTATTTGTATTGTCACATTGTCTCTTCAATACATCCGAAACTGTTACATATTTTTACTATGTCTTATGTCGTATTAAGGGTTAATGGGTATTCAAGATGTCACGTAGGTTTAATTCTAGTGTCTGTAGGATGCTTTTGATTTGATAGATTGGTACAACAGGATGAGCATAAAATTAGGACAGAGGAGAATTACACGACGATGTTCACATTCGTGAGGTAATCCGAGGAAATTTGGTGTCGTCGAAGTGTTCACTATCAAATAACCTCTGCTTTATTTATGTTTTAGGGACCACCCGGTAATGATGGTACCCCTGGAACTTCTGGACGACCTGGTGAGAAGGGACCCGATGGTGAAGTTGGTTTAGTTGGAGGACCAGGTCTTCCTGGATTACCTGTAAGTATTCGAAAATGATTGTGACTTTATTTTGCATTGGAAATTTTAAAGAAACATTAGACGATGCATTGATATGGGAAATGTGTTTTTGCTTTGTAGCAGACATATTATAGAAACATTTTCAGGAGACTATTGATGCGTTATTAGTGAAATTTCTGTTTTTCATTAATCGAAGCGTCACATACTATAACCTATACATTATTTTCAGGGACCACCCGGATCTGCTGGTGCCACCGGACCAAGTGGAGAACCTGGATTAAGAGTAAGTTGGAACTAATCTTTTTACTACCAGAATTCTAAAAGTGTAATAGTGAATTATATGCGTTCATATTTTATGATCATTTTACATCCCATCTTAAAATGGAAAACTATCTATTGGACTGAGTTTAAAGTTCTTAATAAATATTAATTCGATGTTTCTTTCAGGGAGAAGTTGGACCCGTAGGACGAGTAGGACGTGCTGGACAACGAGGACCTCCTGTAAGTATTGCTTACTATTGTTACTTTACAGATAGATTATAAATCAATGGAGGAAATTTGCAACCAGCTTTTGTTTATGTTTTGAGCTGAATTGCACAAGGTGAACTCGCATTGTATTAGTCCATTGTTTAAGCTCGGATTTCTAAAGTAGACACACAATTGCAATTGCTTGTTCATTGTTTAAGCTGCTTTTTATAAAGCGAATTCTCAATGTGGCTTTTTTTAGTTTAATGTTGGATCTCCCGAAGTGTTTATCCGGAACTAGTTATTATTATCAAATCTGTTTTCAGGGTGTACAAGGTATTCAAGGACCCGAAGGATCAGTTGGTGATGCTGGACCAACAGGAGATAAGGGAGACCCAGGATTTGCTGGTATGCCCGGTCTTCCAGGACCTCAGGTTAGTAGCTTCATTGAAAAAAGATCCGGTTTTCCCCAATCTCAAACTTCAAAAGATGAATTTAGGGAATTTAATTTATTGGGGGATTATTATGATTTATTTGGTTAATTTGTTAATATAGCTCAGTGTTCCCCATTCTAAAAACTAAGGAACTGGGAAAAAAGAATTATTAAATTAGTTTGTTATAGGTAAAGTTTGGCTCACTGTAATATTCTTGAAAATTTCAAAAGAGGATCTTGGATATTCATAACTCAATTTCTTTTTTAATTCGTTAGTCAGAAATGCAGTATTTTTCATGAAGCGTTCTTCTATTGCAGGGTCCAATTGGTGATCTTGGTCTTCCAGGTCCACCCGGACCTCAAGGCAACAGAGTAAGTTTTTATTTACTTCAATAATAATGCACGGAAACGGCCAGTGCCAATAAAATTAAATGATAAGGTTAAAAGAAGATGGACCAATGCACAAGAGAAAACATAGACTAGTGGGATCAACATTAGTGTAGAGGTCGGGAAGTTGAAAGAGACAAAAATACAAAATTGGATAAAATGACTAAAGGACTTAAGGGTCATTATCGCTTTGTTATGTTGTAAAGAATGTATAGCACCGTTCTACTCCTTGTGACAATTTGCTATTATTCCCGTTTGAGTGATCTTCTAGTCTTTACAATTTAGAATTATATTAATGTTTGGATGCCTCATGATACTGATTGTTTTGTTTTTACAAGGGATCCGAGGGAAAGAGAGGTAGTATGGGTATTGATGGTTCTCCAGGTCAAGAAGGTCCAATCGGTCAACCCGTAAGTATATATTTACTGTATTAAAATTCGTTGCTGCTCGTTTCAGCTCCATCGAAACGTTGCTTTTCCCTGGTTAGGTTGCGAAATATACTAACAGCTTAGATTGCGTCTTCTGAGTGGATGAACCCTCCGGTGAAGTACTCTGGTGTAGTAAGATGAAAACAAACATGTAACTGGTTACGTATCTGAACAGGGCCAAATAAAAATGGAGGGTTGTTTGTTTTTTTTTGTGTGTATCCATATCACTTTATTCCAGGGTCCCAGAGGTCGACCAGGAGAAGACGGAAGACGCGTAAGTTGTAACATCTTTTGGTTATCCTTATGAAAGCAAGAGAGCTATTTATAAATAGAATAAAATATAATTTATATGAGTGCCGAATTGCATACAAAGAAAATTGCCTCAATAACTAGGCTTGGCATCTTGAGATTTAATGTTCTAGAGAAGATTGAATGGTGGTAGTAAGATTGACCATTTTTTATAACTCTTATCATTTTCATTTTAGGGTTCAAGTGGTCCAGTTGGCCCACGTGGTCCACCCGTAAGTATGCTCAACTTTAAGATTACACGAATGAAGTCCTAGAGTCACAAGTGGTTCAACTAAATTTTGAACATTGAAACTTGTTATATTCTAGCTTGCCATTTGAAATTATATGATTCTAAGTTATATTTTAAGATTCCAAAGAAAATACGGTGATTTTATCAGGAGGCGAAATGAAAAATCTTAAATCTCAGTTGATTAAGGTGTAAAAACTATATCTCCTTATAACTTCATATCATTCAAGCGTTTTAATACCTTTTCCTTCATTCTAGGGCCCCCCTGGACGAAGTGTCTACTCTAACGCCATTTCTGGTTTCTTCCAAAGTGAGGTAAAAGGCGATCCTTACCAGGTACGTTGTAGTTTTTAGGGGACCTTTGGGACCATGTCAGTGTGAACAAATAGCTGAATCGCGAGTCACGTTTTAACATGACAAAAATGTCATGTGCTGGGTCATGATAAATACAAATGACCTTTTACGGTACGAATGATATAATTGTACGAATGAAATTAACAAGTGATAAAAAGTCAAGGAGTAACGGAACGACTATAGAGTATATTATCCAAAATCAAGGTCACGTTGTCGGATATTATATAAAATTCCACGTTGTTCAAGTTGTCATATATCAATTAAAGCAAGTACATTACATATCAGTCAAAGTTCACGTTGTCAAATATCAAATCAAAGTTCACGTTGTCAAATATCAAATCAAAGTTCACGTTGTCGAATATCAAATCAAAGTTCACGTTGTCGAATATCAAATCAAAGTTCACGTTGTCGAATATCAAAACAAAGTTCACGTTGTCAAATATCAAAACAAAGTTCACGTTGTCAAATATCAAATCAAAGTTCACGTTGTCAAATATCAAATCAAAGTTCACGTTGTCAAATATCAAATCAAAGTTCACGTTGTTGTCAAATATCAAATCAAAGTTCACGTTGTCAAATATCAAATCAAAGTTCACGTTGTCAAATGTCAAATCAAAGTTCACGTTGAACCTCGGTTCAAGGGTCTCAATAGCAACGTACCCATCAGTAGCCTAGATCAAGCTAGCTACTAATACTGTTGTTATTACTAAAATTCAGATCGTCATATACTCATGGTCGCTTCTGCACTAATAAAATAATACATATTTCATCTGCTTATTGTTGCGATTGACATTGCTGTTCTCATAGTGAACATTTTAGGTTCAAAATTCTTATTAGAAGTAATTTCTATTATTATCAGCTTATATATGCGTTTCATTTCATTTTGATACTGTACACCGAATTATTTCAAGATGAGACTACTTTATCATTTATCCTCAAATACATTCAAAAGGACATGCAATTATTGGATATAGGGACCTTTCCATTAATGACATCCACATGAATATGACTGAAATTTAATAGTCCTTGTTATGAAAAATATTGTTAATGGGATACATTATTTAGCATTTGTTAATGATTGAGATCAGTATGTTTGCCTTATCGATTAATGAAATCTAAATGAAATTTTTGCATAAATTAAATTGTGTTTTAATTATGTTTCAGGCTGACGCAGCAGATGAAATTGACCAAGAGGTTAACATTTTATTCAAAAATTATTTATATATAGCAATTCCTTTTGCTTTTATTTATTTATTCCCTTTATATATATTGCATCATCTCTCAAACGTCGCTGCGATGGTTTATCATTGATAACCTTCAACTGCAAGCTCTGGAACGGTCATATATCTGCTTGTGCATTTTGTGAAAGATGTTTTGGTTGGATGCTTTAAAATGTTATTTTGAAACTTGCATTATTTGAGCAATCTACGTGCCTCCATAACATCCCTATACTTTGTCCTCTATAGTAAAGGCATAGTTCAAGATTTTTAAAGGAAAAGGAGAAGACAGAAACAAGTCATAATGAAGGCGACTTTGCGAAAATGCGGAGAATGTTTAATTTTACCTATATATCGATCAGCCTTCCTTATATCCTGCTAACTCCAATATATTTATAACTTTTATTGCTTTGCTTCATGCATCATATTTCATACAGAGGCATTGCTTTGATAAAAAAAAAGCTTCGCTCGTCTCTGCATAAAATGGCGAATCCGAAGGAATCCGACATCGAAGGATCAAAATGCATCATCGCGTTTTGTGAGTTTTGCCTGAGATTTTTTAGGCATATTCAATTTTTATGTTTAGACCAAGAAAGCCCTTAAACTTATGGAGAAAGTCAAAGAAGAAATTTCCAAGATTGAAACCCCAACTGGTGAGAAAGATTCTCCAGCTATCAACTGCAGAGATCTTCATTTGGCTCAACCTCATCTCGAAGATGGTATGTATTGAATCTAATTTTCAACAAAATGGCTATTCCATTCTGAAGGACCGCTATCACTACTATCATGGATCTTTGCTACATTTTTATGCGAGACATATTTACACCTGCCCGCCCTATGTGTGCAGTTCCAGGCATGTTAAAGGTCTTTTAAAAAGGGGAAGTTTTTCTAACCATCCCAAAGAGCCAATGCATTACGTTCAACGTAACCCAACAAGTGTTTATAACATGTATTGTTTAAATACAGGCCACTACTTTGTTGATCCTAATGGTGGTGGAATCGGTGATGCTCTTAAAGTCTACTGCACATTCAGCAAAAACGAAACCTGTATCCCAGCTTACAAAGAAAAAGTGAGTACAAGTAGCCCTGAACATACAAAGCCTCTTAAGACTTTGTCTTTGGTTTCTGTAATTCCAGAAAATATTTTGATGGATTATGGCGTCAACATTTTCCGCTTGAATGTGAATGATAATTGGAATAATGCCTTCATAATCTGGTTTCAAGTTTCCTGTGAAATTACAAGAAACACAGACAGTACAAATTAAAGCCATAAGCGTTCCAATAATGTATGTAGCAGGAGCAAACAACCGATTTCCGTAGACAATTTACCATAACATTAGATTTTGTTTCTGTTATTCAATATTCTATGAAGTGCTATAATCTTGTCATTTGATTACAATTCTAGTTCCCCAAGAAATCATGGTTTGATACCTTTGGAGGTAGACAATCCTTTGCCGATGTTGCTGGACAAGGAAGCGAAGATGATGCTAGAGTAAGTTGAAATCTGTCTGTTATTGTCTTGAATTGTCTAGTGGAATGTCGTTACTATCAGATATGTAATGACTAGTAATCTATTGAACTTTGTTCGTGCCTTGTTGATAAGCAATTTGTGGAATCCTGTTACTGTTTTTCGTTTACTGGTATTTTATGTCAAATAACGGACCTTTACCTAATGATACACTACTCCTGAGTTATTGTATAGCATACTGTATTGTTATTAACAACTACCATTGTTTACCATAAAATGTGTTTTCACCTCTTAATTTCGTCTATTAAGTAATCGTAATCTATGGAGCCTTGGTCTATCGACCATATCTTTTGGTATCTAGAGAAAATAATATCCTTACCTTCTCTATTTCAGTTCGTTTATGCTAAACATGATTCCATTTTCAACTTCTTCCGAAAACACCACAATAGAGCTCGACAAGAAATCACCATTAAGTGTAAAAATACCAACATCGTTTACGATAAAGCATCAGGCAACTATGAACATGCCGTTGATTTATTAAGTGATGATTTTGAAATCATGTCACCAGATGGTAAAAAGGGCTTTAAATACCGAGTCAGAGAAGACGGATGTAGGGTAAGTAGCGAGTTGTTGATTCAATGGGTGTGTTCGATTAGATTTCCTTTCGTTAGCTAAAACCAACATGACAATAAAAGCTGACACGCTAAGGGGGAAATGCTCGGATACCTACACAAAATACACTGCCTGTCAACGCCAAAGGTGAATATTACAGTGCAAATAATTCACGGAATTCGATTATTGACTGCTTTCACTCTGCTTATGAGAAAAGATTCAAGCAGCATCAAACGTCGCAAGGGGGGAACCGAAAGTCTGAAATATGCCAGGGCCTTAGGAAGTTTTGCTGAAACCTGAAAACAAGACTAATTTTGGATTAATCGAAAGAATTGTTATCTTTTTTCAGGTTAAGGATGGCACATGGAAGAAATCTGTGATAGCTGTAGTAACAAAAAATAATCGTATGTCAAGATTACCAATTCGAGATATAGGTCTATATGATGTGGGTGGAGCTAACCAAGAACTGGCTGTAGAGCTTGGACCAGTATGCTTCAGTTGAGCAAACACATAAAAACTCTTTCTTCATTCATTAGACAATTTATTTCAATTTTTTTAATCTTCAATAGGAAAAATTACTTTAAAAATCGCCGAATCATATTTGTAAGTGTTATATGTTCATATTTATGTTTTTTGAGATTCAAACCGGAAAAATTAAATTGATAAAGATCTTCATTTTATATGGACCAATCCAAGCTTGATGGCCTCGTGGCGGATATATTGGTTCGAGTCACTTTCAGTGACCCATGAGTCAAACTCAATCTTGACTCTTAAGGACTCATGTGTCAAATATCGATGACTCAAGACGACTGTGATGTTTACAGCTCTATTACTGCCATAATGAATCATACTGTGTTATAAACGCTATCATATTAGATGAAAATATTTGGATATTTTGTTATTCTGTAAATAAAAGTGATAAAGTAAGCATTTCATTGCTACCTCCGCCTATCAGATCCGTCCATCTGCCAGTTTTCACTAAACTCAAATAAAAAAGACCAAAAAATCTACCATTGTGTTCTGTCTTTTTATATATATTGTGCCTTTCGGTGATCCAGCTCTTCTATAAAGAAATGCATACCTGAATCCTGTGTTTTCAGAGCAGGCTGAATATGTCATTTCAGCTATATTGGCTGCTTGAAAACGGAAAAGCTTGGCAGTTCTTGCAAATTTGAGATTTAGTCTCATTAAGTCCCTCAAAGTCTGACTGCCGGTGAATGCTTGTAAGTTTGACTTTCGGTGTCATCCAGTTACTTGAAGTCTTACTTCCGGTGTCGTCTGTTGTCATTTAATCTTACTTCCGGTGTCATATAGTGACGCAGAGTCTTACTTCCGGTGTCATCTAGTGTCACTGCCTTACTTCCGCTGTTATCTATCGCTCTAGGTCTGACTTCCACTATCACTGTCGACCTACGATGGATCATTGAAATGATTTTAAATGAGTTGACATATGCATTGGCCTAGTGCTTGATGGGGCAATTTTAAGGTGGGTCATTCAATGAGTTGATTTGTGCACCAGTCAAAAAGTGGGATGGGGCAATTTTATAGTGTATAAGGAAGTATCTATATATAAGTCGTTTTTCCACACTGAAATATGATAATATAAAACAAATGTAATAGGATTTTAATAAGGATTACACAATATTACATTTTAACAACACGCATTTTACAGATCCGATCCAAGTCGATCTATTTCTGATAAAATTCTGTCCATATCAGAATGCTCACAAGCTGGGTTGATCACAATGATTCTAAAGAAGTTCACCAGGCCTTTCATCTTGATGGGAACAAAACCAATCATTAAACTACCTTCCTTTATCATTCTCTCTTTGATTATTGGCGATATCTGTAATCAAAATAACCATTGCATTAATCAGCGCTTTACATAGTTCACACAATACAATACCAGAGTCCTACCCATTAATCTGAACACAAAATCACGTTTAACTGGCATATTAAATAGAAATCCATGAACATGGAAAGTATAAAAGTAAAATTATAATTGCCTAGGCATATCAAAGAATTGGTTTGTGGCTCAGGGGTGTCAACGTTTTTCCCATTTGGAGCACCTTTTGGTGGGAAAAAGACAAACCATTCAAACACCCAATACTACAAATAAAAACAATGTATCAACGTACCTTTCCTAGTTTTTCCCACCATTCAGGTGTTTCCTTTTGTCCCCTCAAACTGGGTGGAATATACCAGAAACAAATATTCGTACATTGATACTGTAATTACAATGTATACATTTCAAAACCAATTAATACATATCAGACCGAACTTCCTTTCAATACAAAAGTCGATCATCAAGGACCAAGCGACTTGAATAGAAGTGCAAACTGGAAAGTATATACAAAAGCCATAAATTCAACATTTGTGATTATTATCGTATTATTCTAAATTGAACGCTATGATTCCGAAACTGTTACTGAAATGTAAGAAACGGGGAAACTCCTATAAAATTAAGCATGTGTGACATCTACACCATTTATTGACTTCTAAATACATAAAACTATATTCACCTCAGGTAAAACGGATCTGAATCCTTCTGTTTCGTTAATTTTCTTAGTAAGGTACCTAGAACAGAAAAACTAAATACTTGTAAGGACCGACAGATGACGATAAAAACATACTGTTAGGTACTGTCTCCTTGACGTTGATGAACATACCTATTTTTGATATATCTGTCTACACCTCACATTGTAATCGGTAATCCTGAGCAAACCCCCTTCCCCCTTCCCCAAACAAACAAACAAACCCTCTCGCTGTGGCCAATATCTTGTTGCATTTTATTGTAGAATATTACAAATTATGAACCTTCTTTTACTTACTGAGCATTATCAAAGGCATTATCGACTCTTTCTTCTAAACCTTTGTCACCTTTCCCCTTCCATAATAACCACAATTTTGTTACATCAACTTTCCTACCACATTGTACAGTTTTATCACCTATATCATACGACGTGTCATAGAATTTATCGGGTTGGAAGAGATATTCAGCATAAGCTCTGTTTGTTTTCTCCAGTAGACCCTGTAATTAATTTTAATTTCATGACACAGGCTTTTTTGCTAAACCTTGAATATTAGATCTAAAACGAAATCTTAAAATATTTTGTTCCAGATTTATGTTTTTAAATGGTTGACTAAAATGTTGAATTTCGTATCACGAAACGACATATTTCGTAATCTTTGTTACATACAATGTTACTTTTACAAAAGAAAACAAAGTAGCGTCGTAATCTTTACAGACTATTTGACAGGATGGTACAGAGGCATCAGATTATAATGTGCAACAGTTAACTGACGACGCCAGCTAGTGATTATTCACTAGAGCTTAATGTAAATAATAATTCAAGCTCAAAAGCTAAATTTTTTATACCAATGTGATTCATACCTTTACTTTCACAAAAATTGCAGAACATTGAATTTGAGCACCGACCATCTTATGAAAATTCAATGCAACTGAGTCAGCCCTGTAAAAAGAGAATTTGAATAATTCTAAATTTGATACATAGCTTCACGAAGTTTGATTTGTTGTGCACCTGCTTTGATAACTATCAACTATTTCTCGTTATTTTTATTGATACAATATGCACGATTCTTTTAGTTATTTAACCACAACAACCGAAAATTAGAAATTCCACTTCCGCTCCATTAAAACAAATACGCCCCAAACATCAAAGAATTATCAAGAAAAACCCTTTGAATATTTTTATATCATTTTGCATGATGTACTAATTATTGAAATGTTCTTTGTAAACCTTTTACTCTCTTGACAGAGCTCAATCTGTATCACATTATCTTGTAACAATCAACCAGTCACAAGGTTTATAAACAGGAAGTGGTTGATTTAATACTTCCGATCAGTGGTGTTTCTGTAATTCATTAAATGAGGGGGCTTGGTGGGGCCACAGATTTGTTAGGGGAGAAACTTTTTTCCGAAGTACAATGATAAGAATTCGAAAGTGGGGGTCAAAGCTGGGTCGATATCGGTTCTGGGGGAAGAGTGCATGACCCACACTTGTCCCACAGTGGGAGCGCCACTGCTGATATCAATTTTCCCAAACTTAAAACATTTCATCAAATCAATATGGTATTACCTTTCTACTCCTTTCATTAAATGTCTGTGTTTCGAAGACAAGAGGGCTCCACCACCCCAGGCGCCCTGAAAAATCAAATTTACTTGTGATTTGTTACTTAATTACTTGTCAAAATTATAAGATTTCGGGGTAAGATAACGAAACGTAATGTCGTCGTTAATAACCTACTTGTTGTTTGGCTGTTCTTGCTAAATATATGGCATTTTGCACTACATGACTGTCTTCGATAGAAAGTGCCTTTCATGTTATCAAATTTCCTTTCGACTTGTCTCCGTTTCTCTTTCAGATTAAAGTGTAAATCTGAATTCTTGGTTTCGTGGTTTTTGTCTGAGTGACTTCACTTGACATATATGATCTGACGAAATTGTCATTCATCTCCTGTTGTGCGTCATTTAATATTGAATCAATACAATTTAAGTTAATGTTCAATAAAAGTTGTCTCGAGGCAAGTTATGCGAGGGCAAATTAATTATATTTGTTAAATATTAGTTTGAATATTCAGCCGTAATTGTACTTTTTTGATTGTTTAGCATAAATTATTACAGTCTTTGATGCTATTGGGTCAAATTTCAGAACATGGTTTAAAGAGCAATCCCGTCAGATCATGGATGGGTAGTGAAGGTTGGTTACATCTATACTTACGTCTACATGGAACCAGATGTTGTTTTTCTTACAAACATCAGCTACTGCATTTAGATCATCGTAGGCACCTAATACTGTACTTCCACATGTACCCATTACAAAGAACGGCACGTTTCCCTGAAAATATGTAAATAACAAGTCAGTATTGCATTCTTAATAAAATATATCTTATTATAAGTAATATGTCCTAAACAGACTTTATGTCCATTGTTATGAATATTTTTTGGAGATTTTATTGTTTGCACTTTTTTGAAAAATAAAGAATGCAGTTATTCAAAAAATAAACAGGAAAATATTTATTTCATTGAGTGCTTTCTCGTCCATATTTTACTTCTGAAAAATTTATGTTAACAGTGTAAGATTTTATTACTACTTGCTTTTTTCTTGGAATCTTCGATCTTAGCTTCTAGATCTGAGACTATCATACAACCTTTATCGTCAGTTTTAACATTGATAATATGTTCTGTACCAAATCCAAGATATCCACCTGCTTTTAATAGTGAATAGTGAGCCTGAAAAACAAAATAGCTACTTTTGATATTGCTTTTCATGGTTGTAAAGCCTACTTGGTGGGATATTTAGGACGTAAAACTCCATTCATTTCACTTTCATTTACTTGGTGGGATATGGGCAGTCATAGTATGTTAACATGTGTGTATTCTTTTAGAGTCCATGTTTATTAGTTTTCTTCTGAAACCAGGAAGCACTGGCTACAGTATCGGATCCAACTGGCTTCGCGCATTCGGCAATGTCCAGTTCCCTATCAAACGCTATGTGGCCCCCACTAATCGGGTGAACTAGAATTTGAGAGTATAGCCGTTTGAAATGAAAACATAATAACTCTTACATATCGCCACTGTACAAAATTGCTTTATCAATCGAAAAATACAAACAGATTCGTTGCAATGACTTACTTGATCAGATGCATAAAGATCTAATTTGGGTTGGTCGTACATTCCTTTAGTTTTCATGTCTGGGAAGCGATGGTATCTAGCTAAGTGTGTCGCCATTAAATTACAAAAAGATCCACCTAAATACAAAAAATACACGAAATTAATTTAATCTAATACGTCAAGAGGAATTCAAGAGATGAACAGGACAATCATAATTTTAAAAGGTTTCAATGTAGGTTTTTTTTTTTCAGTCAGAAGTCCTTAGTACATATTGTTTAGATTGGTAACGAACATTTACAATTTTAGGAGGTCGATTGCTCTTTATTATCTTGGTAAAAGCAATAAATTTGAATTTCAGAAATTACACATACCAGCTCCGAAAACACCGTCGCCATTTTCAAATCCAATTAATTTGCATATTTTCTGAACCATATATTGTTCTAATATAACAAATACTGGGGCTACTTCAAAGGTGTGTCTGAAAAAGGGTTTTAGAAAATCATATGTTGTGAGGCTCTGGGTGTCAGGGTGTTTAGGGGTGTAATCCAAGTGGGGACACCTAATTCCTTTCTGACAGAGATTTCTAACCAAAAGTTTGGATGGTTCCAAAATCATGGCTGCTTAAAACTTGAGCTCGTTGTAAATCATAATGATCGTTTCAAATTCCCTAGAATGTACTATGATTACCTTTGTGGATCTACTTACAAATTAGTATTCAAAGAATCTGTGACCCAAGAACCAGCCAGACTGTAGGGTTCTACTCCACTGTACAGTTGGTTATAAAACTGTAGACTACCTGAAAGTACGACAAAAAAAAAATTCAAACATGCTTGGCACTTTTTGGAAAGTAAAAGAGGCTAATAAAGACGGACAACGCTATGCAGTGTGAAATGAGGGATATTTAGCCAGGACAGATGTATTAGCCTACTTTTTTAATTTCCATCTGTCGTTTTTGTTTTTTATAGCCAACAAAGTCTGTAACACATAGGGTCTCTGTTTGTTGTCCTATCTGAAAGACTAGTCGCTTTTTCCATGACAGCCTGCATCACGGACAAAGGGTAAACGGATAGAAATTCTGAGCAACTGCGACCCCTTTAACACAATTTAAAGATCTTACAGAAATACTCAATATAACTTCAAACAAAGACTTGACAAGTGAAGTTTGAGATGTTTATATTTTCATATTCCCATGAAAATTCATCACGAAAATGACAGTTCCAACCAAATTTATAGCATTTTCTACATATTGGCTCCATATGTAAACCACATTTTACACGACGATTATAAATCTTTCTCTAATAATGTAGGGATTTATTTATTATCTATGTTATTTTAATGTACAAATCATCATTTGAGTTTCGACTGAATTATTTTTATGTTTCTATGAGCTTAAAGAAATTGCTAACTGTGCATCATATCTAATTGAATTAAGTTTATCTGATTTTTTCAGGTTTTTAATTTTCAAAAGTAATCTATAAACTTATATTAGTTTCACATTATAGGACATAATAGCAACATGTAAGAAACGTCCGTTAGGTTTTTTGACGTCGTCAAAACTGATCAAAATCAAAATGAGGATATTGGGAATTATTCCAAAGCTTGAAAATTTAGAAAACTTTTGAAATTCTACATATTTCTTATCTCAAACTAAGGCTATTTATCGTCGCTCAACTAGATTTACTCGATGAGTGGGTCCCTCCCACACGTATGGGTTCGCTTTGCATACGCTCTCATTTCTTTTCTAGGGGTGGGGGTCTTGTCGAAGTCGGGGTGCCTGGAGTATATAGTTGAGCCACTGGCTAATTACCTGTTTTGACACTATATTTGAGGATACGTTTACAATCTTCTAAAATATCAGCATTCGATGTCCCTTCTTTTCCAATTGGTAGGTTTAATAGTTTCTAAATATAACAAAATAACATGTTTATATAAAGATTGTAAAAAACATAATAATTCAAGTTTTAGAAAGAGGATTCTGGCTCATTAATGTGTATAGGAGATACTCGTGAGCTCTACTTGGTTTGATGGTAACAAAACGATCTGATGTTGAGGTTGGAAGATTTCTCCAAAGGACGCAGATCGGTATCTATTGAGCCATCTATGGTAAATTTCGATTTTGGAGCAAACTTTTAGCAAAATGCATTGTCATGGTTCCAAAAGTTACCTTCAACTCTTCTGGGTGTTGAAATTCTATAACCGGTGTTTCCCGTTTGGTTCCTTTTACTAGAGCTTCTTCAACCATTAAATTGTGGACATCCTGAAGAAACTTTAAGGTTTCTGGATCTTCATACGTTTTATCTAAAACAGAGTCATGATGTACATGGTTTTGCAACAACCGCAGATCTTTTTTGCCTTTCCTCTTAATAAAAATACTCATTATGATCAATCAAGAATTCCTTTCGTCCAAGTCGAGAGCAAAATGGTTTCAGTAGGTATTCCATATGTCCGGCATTCATTGTTAGTTTCTACCACTCTAAAGGTCCCTATTGGTTGCGAAGACTCTTCAGATCTGTGCTAGTTCTCATTACATCACATATTATTTAAACGTTTACCTGACATGACTGAAGTTGTTTGAAACGAACGTTTTACTTTCGATATAATTCGGTGTTTTTGAGTGGCCGTGGATATTAGTCGCTCCCCAAACTTTCTCAGCATTCTACAAGAAAAAATGAAAAATCTCGATGTATGATCTTATATATGATGTCTTTACCCATATGTTCCAAAATGAGGTGAAACAGGTACACGACATGGATAAGACCAATAAAGAAAACACATTCGTGTGGTATATAGTATGGTTAATTGGATATAGTTCTGGACAGAATTCCAGACTACCCCATCGCATACTTAGAAAAGCAACAAAATGAGTGGTGGTCCCCGGGATTGTTTTTAAACATATGCTCTCTTGAATTTTTTCTTGGGATTGGGGCCCCCTTAGAGCCGGAACGTGGACTTGATTCAACCAGTCCGTATAGTAGTTGGAGGAAAGCCCATTTGTAGTTCATCCCGTTTTCTCGTTTGTTCGAGTAGTAGCCAAATAAGTTCCAACCTAACTGTACTGTACCGATCTTCACAGCTCCACTTCCCTTTCTAATTCCATAGTTACAAAGTAACAGGTGCACCGTAGTCAGTCTCCTATGCTACGCTTCTACCTCATTGCATTCTAGGTACAAATGCATTATATGCTGCACCTATTCCCAATTGCAAACTGATCCCCAGTTCACAACCTATCTCAAGCAGGTCATCCGAGCCACACCCCATCATCATTGCATAGTTGAAATGGGCAGAGTCTCAGTACAAGAGAACTACAACCAATCCTTCCCGCCACACCATTTCTTTTTAGCATACTTGGCATGTGAAGAATTAAATTCCAATGCATTCATATTTATAAACTAGTCGACATTTAAACAAATATGCAAGTTATGTATACAGAAATAAGTCTGATGTAGTCGACACCCACTCGTTATACGTTTTCTGACTTCTCGTTCATTAAAAATGTGAACCATTCCGTCACCAGTAATGTGTTATATATTCAGTGAATAGAACGAGAACTATTTGCTTACCGATTGCAGCTAAAATTGTGTATTCAAAGGCAAACCACTGACGAATAATAACAGTTGAGTTAGGAGCAAGATAATAGTTTCATAACAAATTATTATTTGTAGCATACCAACGCTATAACAAGTTAGTCAATTCGAATAGATAACCTACATTACATACACACATTACAAACAAGCACGGAATGTCCTAAATGTTTTCTGTTCTACTTCGTAGACAAGTACACCAACAAAGCAGAGAACATGTAGCATTGGTAAGTGTTTTCACATGAACTTCTTGCATTCTTGAAACCAAAGAGTCAAACGTGTTTCAAAACCAACCATATTATGATCGAACAACTTACCAAGCCAGTCTTACATCCTATGTTGAAAAAGATAACTGTTTGAAATAAAAATGTTTGTATTCAAGGCCAGTGACTGTTATATCAAAAGATTTTGATCTATGTATAGTTTATATTATATTACTATGAAATTTGAGATGCTATCAGTAAGAGCAATTTCATTGAAGCTTGGTTTCATTGTATACTATATTGTTAAGATTTATAAATGACAATACTATATAACATAAAATACAAAAGAAAATATTATGATATAAATATAGTAAATGTCGGTCAAATCTTATAGAATCTAGATAATTGAGTAAGAGGGCTGACTGCATGAGGGTAGCCCGTAGCTACAAGGGACAAGAGGAGCTATTGCCCCCTTGAAAAAATCTGACAACCGATCAACTATATTACTGCAACTAAAAACCATGCACCATTGTCCCTCTAGATATATCACTTGCTCCTCTGAACAATCAAGTCCGACTACGGGCCTGCTCTACATAGTCCTCCTATAGTTCACACATTAGCTAGTGATTCTGCAAGGTCTGAATGCAGATCAAGAAAAGATTTTCTACAGTCATCCTAAAGAAGTTATTCACAGCGGAAATGACGTCATTATTACTAGTAAGATTACTAGAATCAGCTAATTCCTTTTGCATTTTGGGAGGCTGGAAGTCTGACGTGCTAAATTGAGCCATAAAATCATGGGCATAAATTTGATTGTCATGGGGCTGCTAAAATCTTTGACATCTTTCTTGCAGATGGGTAGGTTTACAAGATGGTCTGGTACAAAGACAATATTAACACTACAGCTACTATTCTTATGTCTATGACCCATTTTTGAGTGCAAAAGTCTGTTTCAATCTGATGGAGATATCTCATAAAAACCATAATACTTAGTCTTAGTCTAGATCACGCCTGTGCAACCTAAGGCCCGCGAGATGATTTCGTGCGGCCCACGGCGCCATGTAAAATTTGGGGGAAATGCGGCCCACGAGCAAATGCTTCGTTTGCTCTTGTCAAATATGTCTGTTATGCACATTGAAATACGTTATTGAATAAATAACTTGAAAAAATTTCATGCTTCTCATTGTTTATTCCATGGTGTATTGATGGTTGGCTAAGTGGCCTACTCGCATCCCTCAAATGTGGCCCGCCGTTGAGGAAAGGCTGCACAGACCTGGTCTAGATCATTGTTTGATTACTTCATTCAGCCAAGATAGATGAATCTACTTTGGAAATTGTCATAAGCTGAAAAGATCAGAATCTCGGCTGATTCAAATAAAAGTTTAAGAGACAACATCTTTAAAAAAAAAAGCCTATAAATCTTGAAGAGTATCAAATTACTGTATGATATCAAGACCCTCAGCAACCAGACAAAGCCAAGGTCAGGTTGCTCTAGAACCACACCCTGAATTAGTTCATGATTTTATCAAATTTATATAATATTAAAATCAGGTCATAAGTCTGTATAATCATACGATAGGTAAAGGGAGTGGGTATATTAAACATGTATACATTATGCTTCCACGAATGATTACGAGTTTGATGTCATCAAGTCCTTGATACAGCAAGGCCATTCTACGAAGATAGTAGAAAACCTTGCATTATGATTTAACGAATGGTTACTAGTTAGACACAATATGGCCCTTGATACTGCATAACGAGTGTTACGAGTAAGGCGCAATATGGCCCTTGATACTGCATAATATTGTGTCATTGACTTTCATTGGTAGAGAATTCAGTTTGGACTAATTAGGTTCATAGAAGCAAAGTGATGCGCCAGGTTCGAAAGTCGTTACTTTATTTTATGTAACAGAGCCCCTTTTGTTATCACTCTATATTGTACAATAATAAGTCACTTTTAAGAAAGATGGGCATATGTTCAAAATAATATAACCCAATTGTTACTATATCCCGAATGTTGGAAAATCTTTATTTGTGTTAATACATCATGTTTTTCAGTCAGTCATTCCCTATTAATGATATAGACTATACCGCTTCTGAGTCAAGGTTACATTCACGATTCCATTGTAGCTCAATCAATAGAACTTGGAGTGTATCACTGAAAGTATCCTAGATAATATCCTCGATAATATTATAGAACATTCGAAGTAGAAGTAGCTCAGTGGTGTTATTCTGATTTCGAGGGTCTATAAAATGCTTACCTTAATTATACGGTTGTTAAATAATCATTTTGAGAGAGAGTCCCCTCTGTCGTAACCTTTGTATCGTAAATCGATAAGATATGTTCGGTATTGCCATGTAGGTCAATGGGACACTTAAATAATTTACACCAAGATAGAACAAACACGCAGTGATTCAGCTAATGTTTAGATAAGGGATTGTGGTAATCCAATAGGTCCATGACAAAAACTGTATTAATGCAACCGGTGTGCAGTGGTGGTGCACCAAAAGGTCATAGGTAAACACTAAGCATGAATGAAAAGTTTTTTTGCAATGTAGATTGTTCGAAGGCAATGTTGAGTTTACAAAACCAGGTGCAGAGGTGCAAAAAATGTTGCGGAAAAGTATTTAGTCATCGATCAATTTTTGTGTCGGAGACAAATATACAGCAAATGTAGCTAAGTAGTGAATTGAAAATCGGTGTTAAAATATGCTGATGCTAGCAAAACTTCTCTCTAAAAATTCAAACTACCAATGAATGCATGTCTGTGTCAACATTTATTAAGGGAAGAGAGAGGAGTGGTTGGCTATAACATGTGTGCAGGGAGGTTCTTCCGTCTTTACATTTATGCCAATTTGGGTAACTGTCTCCAACGCCTTGGCCCATTCCTTCCGTTTTGATGATTTATGCTACATGTATTTGGGAAATTGTTTCCATGGCGGCCCTTCTGCATTGACATTTTCATTAATAAGAGAACTTTAAGAAAATCACATAATTTCAACTGGAAGGTTAGGGTCACCTACTTCAGGTCTTCCAGGTCAAATTTACAATTTACTAAACTACAACATCAGCGGAATTTGACTTATTAACATATCGGTTTTAGTTCTGATAAGGCATATAATTGTTTTAAACAGCCACTGTGCAACAGAAGGTTCTTATCAATATGGCATTGATTTAAACGTTGACATAGCAGACGGCACACCCACGCAGACTGTAATAGGCATTGTTATGATCGTTTTTTAATCTTTGAAGGAATGTGAAAGGCTGCAGAATTTACTAAGCTGAGATTTTCGTTTCTGTGTTGAAATTAATAAAGATTACCAAGAGTGCATTTGAGTAGAGGAACCTTTGGAACTTGCAAAGGGCTTCAGCAAACGAGTAGACTTATTTGTTTGTGAATAGTCTGCGAAGAAATTAAAGAAGAAATTTCATGAAAAGAAGGGTGAAAACTCCATCTCCGATATTATACATACGTAATAGAGAAACATTTGAAGACTCAGACACTGACCAAACTATTGCACAAATCCGTTCAAAAATTATCGGAAGTGGATCCCTTGAGTAAATAATCTTTCTTGCTATGAATTATGTAATGATAATGCCTAAAATGCGGGCTACTACAACATCACTTAATACTTTTGTAAATGGGACAATTATTGTAGCGACTAAGGTTAGTATGAAAAAGGAAAATTGCTCTTAAAATACGATTGTTTCTATTTGTCAGTGGTAGAGTTGTACCATTACACGACACGTTTGTAAAACAGCTATCACACCTCACCATCAAGAGAAATTGGTGCAGAATTAGGATCAACATTTCTTTAAAGGATCAACGATACACCAAGTGCATTTCCCGTAAAGTTTTGACACTTGTCATTAACAACATCGTCAACACTATATAATATCAGTAATACATTATGTCAAGATTTGTTTTATAGTCTTTGAGGTCACGACGACTATAATTCAAAGATGTTCATGATAATCATGATGCGAATTGCCGTTGACCCTATGTTCGTAACCGGATGTAGTTTTATCAGAAAATGACAGATTTATCAGACTATATGCGTGAATGGTGCAGCTACGTCTGCAATATACAATACAATCCAGACAAAGCATGTTTCTTTGTATTTCTGCCGAAGGACCTACTTAAGAGATATCTGAAGATCGCAGAGCGTAAAAGTCTTGAGTAACAACATGATTCAAATTCTGATTTAATATTTCGATATCTCTCTATATTGATGTATTGAGCACTATTGTAAAATTGGTTTCCATATATCGGATGCCCCACAAAATGTCCCAAAGTTCGATGGGTAGTATCTCAGCTGTTGGTAGACTAATCTCTATCAAAATTCTCACAGATAGACTTCAAGATGTCCTTGTACAACCCTAACAAAATGAATGTCATCGAATAAAAATTGTACAAGTACTGCCCCGAACAAAATAGCATGCCAAAGAGCAATATCAAGGCAACTTACCTATTTCGACCTGTGTTCAATAAGGGCTCCATCGTCTTCGACCAATCGCAACCGTTTGTTTTTCATCCAGAAATGCCACTAAGACGCGGCCCCATGGGTTGGACAAGGACATCTTGAATCTGTGAGAATTTTGAAAGAGATCAGTTATCGAACAGCCGAGATACTACCCATCGAACTTTGGGACGTTTTTGAGACACCAGATTTAATTATGATTATTGAGAGTTTCAATGGATACATGGCGATAACTGGTCACAACCATCAAAGTGACTTCGTAAAATCTTAAGAGCTACACGACAATAATAAGCATCAATTTGGTAGACGACACATTGACACGGAGTGACCCTTCCAATCACTATCGTGTGACCCTGGCAGTAGCGTATTTAGTTCACAGCTTTCATGGTTCAAAAATGGAATTACTTTGTATTCAGTATGCAAGCCCCCTTCTGAAGGGTCTTCGTTCTCATTTGACAAATCGATGGTATCAAACTATCAGAGGCTAGGTTTCGATGGTATCAAACTATCAGAGGCTAGGTTTCGATGGTATCAAACTATCAGAGGCTAGGTTTGAGGCAATAAGTATGGATTCTATAGTCAGCATTGTCATTTCGAAACACCTTTGTACCCTTCCCATCCTCCAGTCAATCTCTGTCCGATCCCCCAGAATCATACCTTTCGCTGAGTAAGGCAGTGACCTGTCAAAGGGCCAGGATAGTGAGATGCTGAAGTTTAATGCCAAGAGGCCATGGATTGATTTCAGTGTTCCTTGAGATGATTTCAGTCTTCCAGTCATCTGATTGGTCAATCACTTAAATTCATTTCAAATTTAGGTTTATTAACCAATCAGATTACTGTATTCTGGATTATCGAGCATTTGAAGCTAATTGGAGACAGTTTGCTAACTCACTTCACCCATAGGTACCCCCAGCTCATTACAAACAATATCAGGGTTCCATATTTGCCATCTTAGTTTTAGACACTTGATCCATATAGTGGTTTTTTATCTTTTTTATTGAAGACTTCAGCTATGACCGACAAAAATAATAACAGGATGACAAATTAAATTTAATAGATGGACATCTTTTTTATTTCACGTTTTACAAATAATTTTTCCAGACAATGAATGTAGAATTTCCTATATTACAATTTTGGTTTCGTTGACGACGGTAGATGTCCTTGATACATGGCAGTGAGGTTGATATCACATTATTATGTACATCACAGTTATTACGTCACGGCCTCGTCTTTTCCCAGTGTGGAGAATGACATCATCACAGTTCCTTTGAAAATGAGGCTGATTTTTTTTCCATAACGAGGTCCTTGAGTCACACGTGATATACAAATTTACATAAAAACAAAATGGGCGGAATAAGATAAGGCGCTTTTTGTACAATGTGTCTGAGTATTAATGTAATGAAGGCATCCTTGGCCCCGTAGCACCAGAATATGAAGAATTAATTTGAAAAAAATAATCTAAATGATGCGTCGGTTTAGCTGAAGCAAACTTCTCCCACCTCAATTCCAAACTGTTGGTTATCACGACCGACGTCAAATAACCTAACGTCTAATATTGGTAACATTTTAGCTTTTTTGGTTCTAAGTTCAAAAACGGCAGAATGCCATTCATTATCTGTGCTCTGTAAAGAGAAAAAAAGAAAATATTAAAGTTTGAGCACCTTGATCGTTAAAACCTTTTTTGAAGTTAACCCTAGAACAACATATAACCTAAGCCTTTACTTAACCGACACTGATGCATGTTCAACGAAACGATGACATTTTTGATGCATTCTGCTTTTCATATGACATTCATATACTGTTGACAACCGAAACACATGAAAGGATTACTTACATTGCATTCATCTCTATAGTTAATAGTTGCAGCTTTTCCTATACGAGTCTGGGTGGAATCGATTTCAACATCATTGTCCATGGCGAATCTTAATCCATAGGCTTCAGAGTTCAAACAGTTGTATGTTAATGATTGACGACCCTTTTCTGAATGATCCTTCAAAGCGTTAAGCTGAGTTTCTTTAACAGCATATTCGAACTGAAATAAAAAGCAAGACAGAGTTATATATTAGGAACTTTGTCACTAAATGCTTATGTGGTTTGCAGTTTTTTGTGTACCAATGACCAATCCACAATAAGGAATAATGGGTCACGAGTTGTTTGCTTAAAGAAATTGACACCCAAAAAGCATCCAGTGGAATGGCTCGAACACTTGGTGATCAGTTGTTTGCTCAAATGAGTTGGAAACTAAAAACGTTCTACATCGCGTTTTTAAAGGAATATCTTTTCATTTCAGAAAAATGATCTTTAGTACTCACTTCTTTGTCGTCATTAAGTTCTTCCATAAACAAGTATCCACCATCATCATGTTGAGTCCATCTTTGTGGTTTGTACTACAACAAATAATTATAACTTTATCAGTTAACTATTCTGTATGCATTGAATTTTAGAGGCATTGTGTGTTCTCCAAGAGTGGCTCAAGTATTTGTGTAAAATCTTGCAAGCACTATTCATGGTGCATTTTCGTGATTGACATCAGCGTCATTTTAGGTGCCCCACTGCCATCTTGATGATATAGAAATAATAGTTTGATTTACATGTTTCGGACTTAAGGTTAGAGTACTTCAAAACATAACTTACGATGGCGGCAGCAGATTTGATACAGGTTTCGCCTTCTTGCTTTCTGCAGAAAACTTCAAATGAATCAATACCACTTCCCATATTAGGATCGATGTTGTAAATACCTATGGATGAAACAAATATACTTACACTAGTATTCTATAAAAGACAAATTAATGTGATGATACAAAATCTAATAAGCAAAAAAAGAAGCAAGCAGTATGTCTAAAAAATTATTTTGGATTGAAAATCGGAGACCCTTATTGAACTTACTGAAATTCATGCCTTTTCGCGAGACCAATTATCAAACGAAACTACGTAAACGCCAATGCATTTCAATTTAAGAAACTGTTTTCAAGATTCCAGTTTCTCGTTTCAACCCTCACAGTTCTGTACACAGTTTAAGTACAAAAATTTCCTACCATCTTCAAATTCTGGGTTATCTTCGAATAATTGACGGCAAGTAATTGCAGGGTCCAATTTGCTGCCAGTTGGTTTACGTACTCGGTGGAGTGCTTCTTGAACAAGGGAAACTCTCTCGTTGAAGTTTGGTAATTTAAGGAACTGAAATATATATAGTAGACAGATGATGACGTTGGCAAACATGATTACATAAAATATAGATGATAAAGATAACGTCCGTACTCAGACCATAGTACAGATCAGGCTTCCCCAACATCTCAATGTTTGTCTGATATAGGCCATTTCAGAAACCTTAACTCTGTCTATGTATGTTATGCAGCATAGCAGCAAATCTTAATGTATTTAGAAACCTTAACTCTGTCTATGCATACCATGCAGCATAGCAGAAAATCTTAAAATATCATGTACTTACGTCTTCTTCTGGTTGATCATATTGCTGGAAAAATAGAACAGAACAGATATTAAGAAAGGGAATATCAATAAAAATACAACAGTAATTGTACAGATAACATAACAATAACTTTATTTTGTTATAGTCTTAATTTATAAACATGATACGTTTCCACTTGTGAAATTTTACAATCACCAACAATGAAGAGAGAATATAGCATCTACATCCAAAATGCAATAGTGTTGTGGTGATGGTTAAAACAAACTTTGTGTTGTGAAGTGATTGGTTATTGTGAAAAGTTCATATATAGTAACCAACAATATGATGGTTTTTGCTTTGTTTGCAAATACTTACATAGTAAGGATCGACTCCCTTGCTCTGTTGTTGTCGTGGTGGGAAGACTGGGGCATATCCGGGGGGTCCTGGTGGTCCAGGGGCACCTCGTGGTCCCATTGGTCCCTATAATGAATCACAGAACATTTGTAAGAGGAAGTTTAATGAAAATTCAAACTAAAAGTCTTTAATAAATTTGACGGCTATTACACGGGAATTCATTGGAAAGCACTGGCATTAAAGACTAAAGGCAATGAAAGCAAATTAAAAATCAAACTTTAAGAAACAAGAAATTTGACGAGGATAAAAATTGAATTCATTTAAAAGAAAACAAGACTCAAAGACTTAAAAGCTTTTTTAAAATGATTCAACAGATTAATACTTACAGATGGTCCATCATCACCTTGAGATCCTCTGCCTCCCTGAAAATATAATTCAGACGAGTTAGAAACTCTTTAAGGGTAAACATAATTTTACTTCATCGAAATGATTTTAAAGACTACAGTCCGTATTAAAAAATCTCAGCACTTTCATGTATTTTGTCAAAATCCGTTGACAGCTTAAGGACAATACAGGCAAATCTGTATTTACTTGCTCATATTAAAAGATCTGTGTAAAGAAATGGGATGCCCCAACATACGATCTGCATTCATTGCCTAAACTCTGACAATAAAAAGTTAGTTATGGTGTACTTACAGCTGGTCCAACTTGACCTTGGGCTCCTGGCTCTCCAGGTCGTCCATTCAAACCACGTTGACCAGGTTGTCCCTAAAATGATACAAAACATCACCATCTAAATACTGAATATATATCAAAAGATAAAAAATTATGGCTCCAAGCATTGCTAAATAGTGTTATTATCCAGATCACTATTCACACTTACTACTTCTTTATTTCATCAAAATATAAAAACAGCAGACTAACGCCGTAGTTCTGCTAAACCTAAAACATGACATTGCTAAAGCGACCTGTGATTAAAGTTGAATTGAATAAATTACTATTTGAAATGTTCTGAGAAAAAGCAGCGATTGCGTCTACTTACAGGTTGTCCAGGAGGACCTTGTTGACCAGAAGGTCCAGTTTCACCACTGCTTCCCTGTAATAGAAGATGGTGATCTTTAAAATATCAACTCGTTAAATACAAGTATGTCATAATCATTATTCTCATTGGACTTCCATCTGTCAAAAATCAGCTGTATTGTCACCTTTTTTAATTCAACTTTTTTTTATATCTGTCCAGCTATTCTGGACTGTATATACTTTCAATGTCATTGCTGCGCTTAACATTTTTTACAGAAAAATATGCAATACTTACAGATGGTCCGGGAGGTCCTTGTGGACCAGGTAATCCTGGCCATCCTTTGTCTCCCTGAAATCATAAACATTAACAGTATAAAGATGATTCGAAATAAGAAGTATGAAAAGAATTTCTTCAGCATGAAAATTGACAGCATTCAGCATTCTTGTCACTTAGTTCGAAGCACTATGGCATCCGTTTTTCTCAGATCTGTCCGTAGGTCTCCGATATAAACACGGTACAATTCCATTTAAGCATTACAGTCAATACCAGTTTCCCTTTCAATAGCTGAAGGTTACATGTGGGGCTTATGGTGTCTTGGTGACAACATCTCTCGTTTGAACAAGGTTTCATACAACCTATGTGTATGAAATACATCAACTTAATAAATATGTCGAAGATGATAGTAAACTTACAGCAGCTCCAGAACGTCCGGTTTCTCCCTTCTCTCCTTGAAGACCTTGAGCTCCCTGAAATCACAAGATAGTTACATGACGAGTTACAATCCTTTCAGTACGTCTTCATTAATCAAGTAATCGGAAAATTTCAAATTTTAATTAAATCATGTTTTACTCATGTCCCATATTATATCATTGGGGTAAATATAAATCTTTACAGTCGCATGACCAAAACCAAGGAGAAGGTATTCAAATGTATGGAAATAAATGTCTGCATCATGTTGTGCTACTAAAAAAGAGGTACCTCGTTAGATCTACGAAACACTCTGACATTATGTAAAGAATACTTACAGCAATACCAGGAGCACCAGTACTACCAGGTTGTCCAGAAGGTCCACGTTCGCCCTGAAATTATACATAGACGTTACCAGCAAAATACAGCAATAGCAATATAGTATCATGTCAGGCTACATCTAATGCTGACAAGATACGAAAAACGCCATGATTGGTTAGGAACATTTCCGATATACATTCATCTTATCGGGAATAAGAAATTAAGTTTATTGTTGTTGAAATATCCATCATAATCGATATACGATAATCCATATTTACAGAAACGGTAATGATAATCGAATTAGTATCATTATTAATGTAGGATTATACACCATGAGTCAGTTCAAATGATCAGGTGGGCATGATTAAAGATTAAGAACTTACTCGCTCTCCTCGTTCTCCTTGAGATCCTTGTGCTCCAGTTGTTCCTGGTGGACCCTAAAAAAACGATGAATAATTAAAAACATCAGTTTATATGGAATTTTACTTAAATGGAACAACTTTTGCAATTAATATAAACTCCGATACACATGCTATTAACACTTAATTACATTTATATTTCCTAGCGATGAAAATTATGTTGTTTTACACGCAAATTCTATGAAAATAGCATTAAGTGGTATCAAATAAACGTATTGAACAAAATACTTACGGAATTTCCTTGTAGTCCGGGTGGTCCAGATCGTCCTTGAAGACCTCGTGAGCCCTTAGAACCAACAATACCAGGTAATCCAGGAAGACCATCTTTACCAGAAGATCCCTACAAAAACAATCACAAACAATTGGTGACATAAAACTGCTATGTGTCAAACCAGATTTAGAGCAGGTGCTTGTTCATCAAATTCTCTTATTCAGCAAATACGGCTCGGTTCGAAAGTAGGCGAACTAAATCTGTATAGTGGAGATACTTAAATATGACCATACTTCATGAAAACATTATTACAAAATAAAGTTAACTTACAGGTAATCCGGGCTCTCCAGGTGGTCCAGGAGATCCAGGTGGACCAAGAGGTCCGGGTGGTCCAGATTGTCCATCACTACCATCTCGTCCAGCTTGTCCAGACTCACCCTAAAACATACAAGAATCATTTTGACATTAATGAAAGCATAAGCATTATTAAATGGACAACAAGAAATATCATAATTTTGAAATGTCGGCGCTTTGATAGTTGATGACTTGGGTAAATAACAATATAATAAAAAAGGTAAATAAATAACTTACAGGTGCTCCAGCAAGACCTTGAGGTCCAGGTTCTCCTTGGAATCCAGGGGCACCAGGGTTTCCTCGTTCACCTTGTGGTCCAGTTGGTCCGGGAGGTCCAGATGGTCCCTGAAAAACATTAACGTTTCTCATAAACTTCAATAAAAGAGCAAAAAATTCATGATTTTTCAAAACGTCAGCGAAACAAATTATGAATGATAACACATTAAAATATCGCTAATTTAGACAAAGCCTTAATAAAGTTATCCAAAAATATAGCACCACAGAAATGCAAAATTCAAAAAGTATATAATATGATACTCACTTGTTGTCCTGGAGATCCTCTATCACCGGGGGCACCATCAAGTCCATTGTTTCCAGAAGCACCAGCCTCTCCTTGTCGTCCTGGGGGTCCAACCTCACCTCGCTCTCCCTGAAGGTAATAAAAATTATTGGATTATAGGTTTATCTTGTATTATAAATGAAGTTGGATCTCGGATGTCAAGAGTAGACTTCAGCCTCGAAGCTATTGCCTATAATGCTTCATAAGACATTTAGGTTTCTTGCATCAAACCAATAATATATTCAAGCGAATTCAATACAGATCTGAAATAAAAGTAAAGCAAAATTACTTACTCGTTCTCCTTGTTGTCCAGCTGTACCGGCAGGTCCAAGTGATCCTTGGGCTCCGGGTGGTCCAGCGGGTCCTTGTCGGCCGGGTTGACCAGGTTGTCCAGCGGTACCGGGGGTACCACCCTCTCCTCGAGAACCTTTACGTCCAGCAACACCTTCGGGTCCCTAGAAATAAAGGAACGGATGACTTTTACTATATAGAATATTACTTTAGATCGGGCGTCATCAAGTATGCTGGTATTTGCTGAATAGCTCATGAATTCTTAAAATAGTGTTATATAACATTAAATACATCACCAAGATAAAGTTGTAAATATATTGAAACAGCTACTTACAGGTTCACCAGAGGGACCTTGTTCACCACGGAATCCACGAGCACCATTATCTCCCTAAAAATATAAGAAGCAAACTAAATAATGCCTTCAGATAAATTTGGTAATGAAAATAACTATTGTAAGTTGCAAATGTCAGCTTTGAATATCCAGTTCAACGTATCTGCACCCATCAAGCAGTAAAATTTGAGGAATTAATAGTAAATACCTCAGTAACATAGTGAAACTCAACTGATGTTCTTGATATCATGACAAAGATTGGGCAGACTGGACTATTAAATCAGTGACTTACCTTTAATCCAGGAGCTCCAGTTTCACCAGCAAGACCAGATTCTCCGGGGGCACCCTAGAAGAATAAATAATAATCAATTGATTGTCTAATTAGCTGGAAGATGATTATAAATATTACAGGAGTACCAGACCGGAAACATGCCAAACTAACAATGTGTTTTGTGCGTCGTATGATCAATGCCAACAACCATGTTAAAACTTCCTCTGTCAAGAACTTTATAAATCCCATCAATAGGGATATTCCATGTGTATAATCGATGCTCTGACAATACTTACGCCAAGACCGGGTGGACCTTGTTGACCTTGGGCACCAGCAACACCTCGTTGTCCAGTGTTTCCGGGTGGACCGGGTTCTCCAGCAGGACCGGAAGGTCCACGATCTCCTTTAGCAGCTACGAGTCCAGATGGACCAGTTGCTCCGGGTGGACCAGCATTACCAGTCTCTCCGGGTGGACCAGGTTCACCATCTCGACCTCTTTCTCCAGTAGAACCCTATGGATGTAAAAAGAATATTTATAAGTGAAGATAATGGATTTTTTATCAACTTTGGAGTATTTCCAGATGTTTTCCACATCAGAGCATATGCTTAAATTAATCTAACAGTTGATATATTCCTGTATGCTTTACAATATAGGATAATATAACTATGTATAATTTAGATACTTACAGTAAGACCTCTTGGACCAGCACGACCTTGTGGACCTTGCTCTCCAGGAAGACCCTAGGATAGCAAAAAAAAATTGGCGATGTAAGTTATTGTGAGCTTAGATATCAATGATTGCTCAGTTCATTGTCGTAGTTCTTCATTTGCAATTCACAATCCATAGTCAGCAATTTCATAGTTGTAATAACATTACTTGCCTCGAAGGTTTCATAGAACAGCTTGTCTTCAGATTTAGATTGACACGAAGGCTTCAACAATATGGATTTCTTTGAAGACTTTACAGACGTATATTGTCATTGACTGTGTTGTGACTAATATATCAATATACTTACAATTAATCCTTGTGGACCAGGATCACCACGATCTCCAGAATTACCAGGTGGACCCTACAGATATACAACACACTTTTTATTATCTTTGATAACTTCTTCCATAGATTACAATAAGCTCCATTGGTAAGTACAGAGCACTTGATACGCTTCATCGGTGAAGAAAAGCGTCCTATTGTGAGGAGTGGTCAATAACAACCTGATGAACTCTAATAATATCTACTGGTAAGTAACAATGTCCATTTGGTGATCAACATTCAAGCACTTGGTATGCTTCTTCGGTGGAGAGAAGAGTCCAATTGTGAACAGAAATCAACAGCAACTTGATAATTGTGAACATGGGTGGACTAAAGTGTTAGTAGGAACATTGTCCCAAAAAACAACTTAATCTGGAAGATGCAACAAACATCAAATAATCGCTTCTCAAAGAAATAAATAATATCAAAATTTGATACTTACGGGCATACCGACTTCTCCAGAAGGTCCAGAGTTACCTCGTTCTCCAGGGGCACCTCGTTGTCCAGGTGGTCCAACTTCACCAGGGAAACCTTGTTCACCCTAAAAAAATAAGAGCATTTCAATATTCAAGTGACGTTACAGGAAAACGATCTTCTTCAACAGTTCTCTATCGTGATATTTTGTAAATCAGAACTTTTCAAATTGCAGTCCACTCACATTGTTATTCGGCATAACGGATTATTTTTATCTTAAAGTGAAACATTTCAAACTGACCGCCTCTCAATATGATGTCGTTATTTTGAAGTGAATAAATGGGCTATGTGTAATGTATACTCACTCGTTCACCAGCAAGTCCAGATTCACCAGGGGCACCAGTTTCTCCGGGTGGTCCAGTGTTACCGGTCTCTCCGGGAGCTCCATCAGCACCAGGTAAACCCTGAAAACAGTAAGTAAGATGGTATAGCAATGTATTACAACAATGTATTAATGTTATCATTTCTCTTTTAGTGAAGATTATCAGTGCGATTTCATATCCAAATGGACAAAATGAAATGGGCTCTTGAGTTAATAAATGCTAAATAATGCTTATGGAATTGCAGTTATGAACGAAATCAACAAAATATAGCTTACTTGGAAACCTTGTTCTCCTTGTTGTCCACCCTCTCCTCGTTCTCCAGTTTGACCCTAAAATGATAAAATGTATCATACACGTTTCATCAAGCTTATAAGAACACCTTACACCTAAGTCGACTCATTTCTGTTCTTTTAAAGATAGAAGTATCAAAATTAAATTGATAGGCTTTAGAATAGAGATACTGAGTTGACGAACTAAGTCGTGAAATTGAATCAGGTTTTATCACAGTAATATAATACTAAAATTAGCAGTTAGTTCAATCACAAAATCCTTTGAGGCAAAGAATAACAACTTACAGTGGGTCCGGGAGGTCCGCCTGGACCAGGTTCACCAGAAGGTCCTCTCTCTCCTCGTGGTCCTTGTGCACCTGGTCGTCCAGGATCACCTTGTCGTCCTTCAGCTCCCTTAAAATTTAATAAATGTAAACGGATTAGAAATCTAACCATGCTCATTTCCAAATCATCCAAATCGATCGAATCCTGTTAAATGTGAAATGGGTGGAGGCTAAGAGCGAAACTGCCTTATTTAGCTTAATAAATTTTACCATAACAAAAACAAAGATATTGACTTGAAATGAGTCAAGATTCAAATCATTTGCCAAACTGCTTCATATTTTTTAAAATAAATTATACGATAACAGACTAAGAAACTGACTTACCATTTCACCTTTGTTTCCAGAGGGTCCTTGAAGTCCGGGTGGTCCAGCATTACCTTGTGGACCTTGCTCTCCAGGGGCACCATCGAGACCATTGCTTCCCTAATAATAAAGATCCAAAAACAAATAAGCTACTGAAGACCACCAAAAGAATAACGTCTACTTTAAGTACCAACTGCATAAAGCGGAAAGACAATGTATTAAGCTTAACAAACTCAAAGTTATAAGTTAAGTTACAATATCAGTACTAGCTATCCAAAAGACCAAGTGACGAAGAAAGGACCAAATACTATTTGATTCCTAATGTATCTAATTATTCGGACATTATCAGACTTAATCAATAAGATTTGGTAAGAATAAATGATACTTACAGCGGGTCCTCGGTCACCAGTAGAACCATCTAAACCAGGGAATCCAGGGGAACCCTATAACGAGAAATTAATAGAAAATTCAATCATTCATTCATGCATTCATGCATATATTCAATCAGTTATCTATTTGTTTATTTATTCATATTTGTATCTTTTTGGAATATCATTCGAAGAAATTATAATTCATTGCATCAAAATGTTTACTTACTCGAGCACCAGGGGCACCGGAAGGTCCAGGGGCACCATGTTGACCCTGAAAAATAAAACAGCTTTATTTAGAATTCCGATACAACAAAGTCGAAATAATCATTAAAGAACAGAAAACAAAGCCATTTGTTAAATGACATGTAGAGATCATATCACAATAGTGCCTCAGGCAAAAGAGAAAGCAAAATGGTTCCGGTGTTGAGGGGAGTGTCCCTTTTCTCTGCTTTACAACCCGAAAATTGCAAATTTTTTCTCGAAAATACTTCTTCCCTAAAATATACTCTTATATCATAACAAACAATCAAAAAAAGAAAAAAATAACAGTGGTTACTTACAGCTGATCCGGGTTCTCCTCGTTCTCCAGCCTCTCCTCTAGCACCATCAGAACCTCTCTGTCCAGGTTGTCCACCGGCTCCGGGAAGACCGGGAGCACCTTGTGATCCCTAAATACAAACAACATAATATGAATGCCTAACAGAATAGCAAATGCTCTTGAAGAGTGGGTCTTGCTTTAAGTGCAAGAAGTTATTACGAACCATTGCTTACCATTTTATTAACTCCATAAGCAATTGCGAAATCTAGGAGAATGATAAGTTGGTAAATGCAGTGGAATCAAACGACCAGTGAACCTGCATTCCTGACAGAACAGAATCTAGAACCAATGTAATCTGCTAATCTATTTGAAGCTCTGACTCTAAGGTCTGTTGCAAGGAAAACAATGAATAATGAATGAATACTTACAGAATCTCCTTGAGAACCTTGGGGTCCTGGGGAACCGACGGGTCCACTAGGTCCCTGAAATAGACAATATTCATTTTTGAAATCTTGACTTGCAAGATAAAAATTTGAAACGTTGACTTCATCACAATATCACATTTAAAAAAACTCCACATAAGATTTTCACGATGAAATACTAATACTATCTACATTTTGAAAGAGATATCAAAGCTTTACTTACACGTTTGCCCTCAACACCGGGAAGACCAGGAAGTCCTCGTTCACCTTGAGATCCAGGGGAACCTCTTGGACCGGGATCACCAGAGCTTCCGGGGGAACCATCTCGTCCCTGAATAATGAAAAATATTATTACAATACAGTCTGACACGTGCGTTTTTGATTTTCAGCTTAACGAATATGCATACATACATTGTACATGTATATACCATTTGGCCACTGAGTAACGAAACAGTGTGTTGACACGACCACAGAATGGGTCAAAATGAAACACGTGACAAGTCAACAAATTATTGGCTAACAATTGCTTGAGGCGTTTCTAGTGGCCATTAATTGAAAACTCTTGCAGATTACGAATGGCCGTTCGTAGATTGTAGATCGGATGATTTACACGAACAATATAATATTGACTTTCGTGACTTATGTTAATAACTTATATACTTACAGCATCTCCTTTGGGTCCACCAGCTCCAGCAAGACCGCTTGGTCCGGGTGGTCCTTGTGGTCCAGGGAATCCAGGGGCACCGTTAGATCCAGTTAAACCCTGAAATGACATATATGATTAAAAATGATTATAATGATTTAGTTAAATTTGTTCAGTTTCAGTATGTAGTTTCAGTGTCCTTTTCTAGTGTTCAGGTTAATGATTTATCTGAAGGGTTCATCTTCATTGTTCAGTTTCAGGATTTAGTCTATGTTTTCACTTAGTGAAACTCCTTACAAAACTATTAACATTACTGGAAATGCAACAATGCAGACTACTTACTCGTTCTCCTTTATCTCCAGGAGAACCATCTTCTCCTCTGATACCAGATTGTCCAGGGGCACCAGGTGCACCAGAGGCTCCATCATTACCGGGTGTACCAGTAGCTCCGGGAGGACCTCGTTCTCCTGCGCCTCCACGATCACCCTAAAATAGAGATATACAATAGAAACAAACAATGTAAATGGACGGGATAGGAATTTGATTAGAGTCTTTAATATATGTAAATAGTCCAGTTCCAGAAATGAATGAAAACTGCTGATTGGAAAGCTGAAAACCGGATAGCGAACCTGTTATAAAGAAATGTGGTTTTGCTAAGTAACATCCTTAGAAACGTATCAAGAGCTAAATTTAAAAACAATGAACATACCTTAGCTCCGTTACTTCCGGGGAATCCAGCAGATCCGGGTGGACCAATAGGTCCGGGTGCTCCACTACTTCCGGGTTGACCATCAGTACCTCTTAAACCCTAGAAAATGCAACATGAGGAACATTATAATAAAATAAGATGACAACTGTATAGTGATTTATTTACTTTGAGAAATGTGTTGAAATTGCTACAGATTTGAACATACAGCAGAACTTGGGAATAATTGAAATATTTTAATCGAACAAACGAAATTTATGTTTTAATAATCTAGTACTTACAGGGGCACCAGTGCTTCCATCTCGTCCACGTTCTCCGTTTGCACCACGGGGACCAATAGAACCGGGTCCACCGGTAGGTCCTGGGGGTCCAGGAGCACCCTACAATCATAAAATATACATTACTATAAAAGGCATCAAATAAATATACATCAAAAACATCAAAATAAGATACATTAGTGAAAAATTACCAAAATGAAAGTCTTCAGTTTGCTCAAAATTTCAAGAATATAAAATCAAGTTTGGGCTGTTGAAGATCTAGAAATTAACAGAGCTCTTCACTAGTTGTTCATTGGTCACAAATAGCAGCTCTTTGTTTATGAATCATTCATAAATGTAACGTACCTTATCTCCCTCTTTGCCAGTTTCTCCGATTTTACCAGGCTGTCCGGGGAATCCACGATGTCCTTTAGGTCCAGGCATTCCGGGGATTCCGGATCGTCCGGGTGGTCCCTAAAATTAGACAAGGATTGATTAATACGTATGTAGTTTACACTTAATATACATCATGTATATATGACATCATTTTTTGAACCAGTACCCGATTATCAGCCTTCCATATTTCTTATATTGAATACTTACTTGGTACACCACATGGACATATGATCTGACTTCGTGACCAAGGTCTCTTATGGGAATTTTATTTTCATATCACATCTAATGTTGTCGAAGAAATGTTCTCAAGTGCGGTCAGAGAAATGGTAAATTAAAGACGACAAAATAAAGATGACAACTTACAGCAGGTCCAAGAGCACCAGGGGGTCCCATATCTCCAGGTAAACCTTCATCACCCTAGAAACACAAACAATACAGATAATTATTCAAAATATTGTTTTTTGCTTGTACTGCTTTAACATGGCACTTTTGCTTAATAAAGGATTTGATTCCATCAATGAACTAACTTATTCAGACATAAGTCTGATAAATTCAATCATATTGACTATTTTTCAAACCAGAGAAGTGGTGCGCTCGTTTGCAAAATAATGTGACCATTCAACGTTATAGAATAACGGAATAAAAACGATATGGTTTATTTAACATTCTATGATAAAAGTGATTTATCTAATTGTTAAATACATAAAAAAAAAAAACTACTTACATCTTGACCAGAAGGTCCAGGAGGTCCTGGGAATCCTCGTTGTCCAGGTGATCCCTAAAATACACAATATATAAATCCTTAAAACTTGGAAATACTGCCAGGGATAGACAGTAGTCATTCAACTACCAACCTCCATACAATTCACTTAATTTCGTACTACTGAAATTTATTTGAATCTAACAACATTGTTTTGGAAAGTATGTTCAAATCATACAATATTTCCACCAATGACATTGTTGATATCTCATGACGTTCACATGATATACATTTTGAATAAAAGATAAAGATACTTACATGTTGTCCAGGGTCGCCATTTTCACCACGTACACCTTGGAATCCTTGTGGTCCAGGTTGTCCGGGTGGTCCAGGGGGTCCACGAGGTCCGGGAGCGCCCTGAAAAAGGGAAGTTTAAAACATTTGAAGGCACAGTGATTAAAATAAGGTTTTTAACCATGGTAAAATATCTAGTTATTCGATTAATGAGATCATAAATAGTTAATAGTATATTTGTCCTTCGAGATCCCTTTGCATGGTAATATATTAAAAAAAAAATTACAGATTGGTCTAATATTACCATTTGATACCGGTATCGTTAGAACGCAATACGATAATATCGGTAAGATCCCAGAAACAAAGCACAGCTTATCCGAATCCGCCACTTCTAAAACCTCGTGTGCTAAGTAAAATTTGAATAAAGGTGAATGTTGGTGCTAAGTAACATATTAATAGTTGATCGTTCAATACTGATGGTAAAAAAGATTTACTTACAGCCTGGTAGTAACCAGTCATGGCGGGTCCAGCTTTATCATTAGAAGATCTAGCTCGGTATCCAGTATCAGCTACAACACCCTGGAAAAGGAATAAGAGATCAGTCATCTATTACTATATTACCAGTGACGTAAGGTTTAAAACAATCATCTTGATTTCTTTCCTTACGGTATTGGTCTCATTGGAGCATACCATGTTATATAAGACTGTGATGCCGTTACTTCCTATGTTAAGATTTTATTAGAAGAACAGAAGTGGGAGATGTAAGGCACAGAATAGGTCTGCTACCGCCTTTGGAATGTTATTAGGGTACTGAAAGGTTTTATCGGCTGTAAAAGCAACTGATTGGATTTCCAGAACAAAAAATGGATACTTACATCTTCACGGGGGGATCTCTGAAAGCATAAATTTAAAATAAGTTATTAATAGATATTCATTATTTTTGAATTATGAAAAAAGAGGCTAATGATCTTTGGGTATGCATTGAAACCTAAGATGGTCAATATTTCCACGGATCGTTTACCGTTAAGGCGTGTTCAAGGCTTGGTCAGACTTATAGTTGGTATCTAAGATGGGGATTCCGAAATGACGAACACAATCGGTACCCCGGTAGAGTGAGCAATTCTAGCATCCAGAGGGTCCAACACAAAGCACACCAAGAGGTATATTGCAGGATAGGACAGTCACCTCGGTAGAAAAAGTTGAATGTCTTGCAGTCTTGTATATTGCAAACTTAATGGTTTTCTATTTTTAAAGCCTATATATTCTTGCAATACGGCGTTGAATACAGGTCTAATATCGGCCATGTTGAACAGATTAAATGTATTTATAAGAATATTTTAAAGAATGGGTAGATCCTACATTCCAGAAGGCATTTCCGGTTTTGACATTATTACCACATTGTAGACATGTGAGTCAACTGACAAATATAGTAAGAACATTTATAATTCGACTAGAATTGTCTAAAAACTGAAACACTTCTGGAACCATTTCCAGAGTTAAGTTTTTCATCCGAAAACTAAAGTTATTTCCATTTCCATGGCAATCCGATTAAAATGCAAATTTTGGTGTTTCTTGGATAACAAGTGTAGTAACCTGCAGATTGTAACCATGATATAAGCTCATCAAAATGCTGCTTTGTTCTTAAGTCTCATCTAAGAATCTAAACCATGAGATATTGTATATTATGGGTATAAAGGTAATCCAGCTTTTATCCGTGGGGCAAAAGAAAGAGCATCCATCATAGAACGGCCCTGATTGCATCTACTATTATTCTCAATTAGCACACAGATTGTAATGAAGGAATGAGATGAACTTACCTCAGCAGAAACCTCTTCTGAAAACAGAATAGAAAACAGTGCGTTAGTAAGTAGTCACTTATATGATCAAAAAGCACATTTTGTGTTTACTCTGACACAGAAAACACATGTGTAATTGTAATCACACAAAAAAATCTGGCTTGCGTTTAGTTCTTTTTATATAGTCAAGGGAAAAGCCAATCTTGCAAAATTATGTATTTTCAAAGTTTTGAAGTTGATTTCCTTTCTATGTTTTTAAAGAGATGCAATACCGATTTATACAATGAAATTAATACACCATTTGGCAAGATGTACAATGTACATGTATCTTGCGAAAATTGTTAATGTCAAATTCTTTATTATTTCACACAAAGTTAGTAATGAATATCTTTAGTAAAAGTGGGGTAACTTGCAGGTGAAACATTGGGAATACTACGTGATATGTACTGATATTTAGCAACAATTTTCCTATCCCCCTTTCTCCAATGTGAATACAATAGTATGAACTTACGTGGACATATTGCGCAGCATTCGCCCTCTGGTTTGTAAGGGAGCTCGCCATTTTGGCAGACCATTTCTTTGCATTCAAGATATTCACATTCATTCTCTCCTTGTATGCATTCACATTGGTAACAAGGGTCGGTCTCGGGGAAGGGTAAGAATATATCGCCATCATTTGTACCATCGCATTTTATTTCTACAAGGGTAGAGCGACATGTTACTATTTTAGTAAATATTATAAGCATAAAGCATGCAGCATTAGTGGAGAGAATGTTAGAGGTAATCGTCTCAGATCGGAATCTTGGAATGCAGTAAATGTCTCAGGTGAGAATCCGAGGAAATTTAGTAATGACCTTCAATGGGATCAATAGAAAAAATTTAATTGGCATTGCTTAAGAGCTGCGGAATAGATTTGCGGAAAATATTTTAAGTAATTAGTAGTTTCCAGTTTACACAGCCAAAAAAGGGGTTAGAAATCGTTTTATGGTTGACATCTGAACAGCCATCAGAGACGTTGACCTACTTCTTGAAAATCCGATAATTTGTAACGAATGGTATTTAATGAATATGATAATATTTTTTTTTATATTAGTGCTATATTTTTTACGCCAAGAATTATTCTTATGGCTTTTCAAAAACGTTTAGGGAACAGGTAGTAATGGTGACAAAAAAAATTAATGGTTGAACTGTTATATTGATTGTAACAAAACACTGCGTTTTTTTGGCGACGGATATTTTTAAATGGTTATTTTCAGTATGTAAACTCCTTTTAATTTGACATACTCAACCCTTTTTCTATTGTTCGTGAATTGAGACTTTTAGTATTAAATTTCTGGAACTGGCAAAAATTTTCATAGTAGCGGAAATTTTCAAAGTAAAGTTTAACTTTAACTCAACTACAAAACTCTCTTTGTTATTAGACCTGCCACGTATTCTTTCTGTACCCCCAGCTGGCATTACAATATCACGTGACATTATGACCCTTGACCTCGTAACACTAAATTAAGGTCACGTGATGGCCTGTCAGGAACAATTCTGCAGAGTTAGTAGAATTCATGCTGAAACGGTTTGTTGATAAACATCTCGAGTTAAAGAAGTTATCTTGTATTCCTGCAAAGTGTATATCTTTAATATACTATTCCAAGAGAAACTTTTCAAAATTTGGCATTAGGCAAGCTTTAATCTGTGAAATTTTTTTAAAATAGGTTTTAATGGTCCGACCGTGTAAAACGATCACGATATACAAATAAAAGGGTAAATACAAGACAAAGGCATTAATATACAAACGAAATTTAGTGATATTGTTAGCAACCTCATGCAACTAAAAAATGACCTCGGAGTTCAAACAATGGTATTTTCTTTTATGGTCTGATATACGCGTCTTTTCGCCGTGGATGCATGCAAATTCCGATCTTTTCAAAATCAAAAAGACAACAGCAAATATATTGACATATATCCATAGTGGTTATATCACATTTGCACTCTCACGTAGGAACTTCTACGCTGACTGTTATTGTCATCGAGATATTGGTAAGCATGCAAAATGTTAAAAGTTGCAAAATTGTTAGTATTCCCTACATTGACATTAACAAAGTACAAAAACTAACAAATACATGAAAATTTCTTACCTTGGGCTCTTGCTATGGCTATTAATGCCAAACATCCTATAAGCACCTTTCGTAACATAATGCCTCTAACGTTGTTGACCAACAAGGTCAGGCGCACATTCGATTAGATTTTAAAATTTAAAAAGAAAATAGAAACAGTTTTTGGAAGCCTGTTATTAGGCCCCAAGACTAGGAAGAGCCGTGCTACCGCTTTATGCTAAGCGTAACAACGGATTCCTAGAGTACGTGTTATTGTCTGACAATGTTAAATGCCAACACGAGACTAAATTCGCCAACACATTTTATATGCCTTGCTTAAAAAATGAACCAATCGTAGGCACCATATGAACGAAGTCGTGTATATTCTACAAGATGGGGTATAGTATAACTCATGCTAGAGTCGGCGTGATTTGATACCATTTCAATAATACGATTCTTTTAGAAAATCCAGTTAAATTAAAAACAATGATATTGAATATTATTAATTAAAGAATATTTTAACTATAACACTATGATATACTATGTAAATTACGCAAAAGACAACTATTTCAATATAATTTGTTTTATTCCTTACTTCTGGATAGCGGATCATTTTTTGGACATATTCTGGTCCAACTCACAAAATCCCCTTTTTCCCCCTCCCCACCTCTTCTGTCCCCTATACCATCTTTTGACAGATAATTATGATATCAAAATTAATTGGGCTCTTGTAATTAAACGTATTTGATATGGTTAATTTTTTGACTATATGTTAATTTCATTTTTAGACAAAGAATTTTTTCATGCTTTTAAAAGATATGATAAGTTAATTAAGATTAAGAATAAATTTTAATTAGATTAAACAATTAAAATAATTAGTGGAAACAGTGGGAATGAAGTACATGTAATTTCTGCTGACCTGTGCAATTTTGAAACGTTTTTGATTCACTAGTTTTTCGTTTGCATTAATTTTTTTTCTCCAAAGGAATCATTAATTTGCTGAATTGTTTATTTTCTGTTGCAAAAGAGGGACTGATTTTCACATAGCTTTGGCTGTCATTTCAAAATGACAAAATGGAGAAAAATACGAGAAAAAAAACATAAAAATAAACTCGAAAAGTAATTATTGCAGATTTAATGTTCGGTTTGTATTTGAACAATCTTTATTCAGTTTACCATATGCTATAATTTGATGTAGAAATTATACAGTGAACAGTTTACTCAGCAAAAGGCGATGGAACCAAGTTTTAAAACTTATCGGTTAGTTTTGACTTTCGTTGACCTTAGAAACCAAAATATGGGTCAGGTCTGTTGAACATCGTGTAAAATTAACGGGCCGACCCAAAAGGTTAAAATTTCACATAAAACCACCCTCATTTTCTCAAAAACGTCAATTATTGTTCTTTAATGTCAAAAATGTCACGAAACGATCAGTTTAAGGTTTATTTATGATTTCAAAATATTTTCAGTTCATTCACATTGGTTGACAGAACGGCTCTTTACGACTGGAGGTAAAATTCTTATCAAATTTAAAAACAAGAGTCTTGGAATTTCTTGCAGGAATTAACTAATTTTAGACTGAATGCTGAATAAACAGAAATTTCCTACGTCTGCAATTTCGGTCGGAATATTTGCAGTGGAAATTGGAATGAAAAATGTCTGGAATTCGGACTAGGAGACCTGTATTTGCCAAATAAGAGAACTGGTTTTCTTTTGGCAGGGTAGGACCTGAGAGCTTCTCGAGGTTATGAGAAGAAAATATATTTTAAGGCTCTAATTAAGCGTAATATCAATCGAAATGATAGGAAAATGCGTTTAATGTGGACTAATATACAGGGTGGTAAATATTATCTCTTCGGGCAGCGACAGAAAAAATATGGGGCAACAACCCGAAAACAAAGATCAATGCAGGTAAAATTCGTGGGAAAATTTCGGACAATCCTGCCTGCCCCCGATCCGTACGCCTATGAACTTGGTTTAAACAATATTATTTATTTCATATCATACATTGTATATTTACAAATTATGATGATATCCGATTCAGAAACAAGCAGAACTTGTAAAAAATCCCCCTCGGCCTATGAACTTCTCCTATGAGTGTAAATGCAAGTGGGAATGTCTTTTCGAGGATGGGTTTGTGATAACATTATATCACAGTGAAATAGAAAGAAATGACTAATCTACTCAATTATATAACTAGTTCTTATCATCTTAATGAAAATCTAGAGCAATTAAAAGACCCCATTATCCACGTTTGTTTTCTTTAAACTGGAAAACGCCATAGCAATCGTTAAATGAGCGGAGCAATACAGCCCACCATACCGAACTTAAAGAACAGCTGATATTAATCATCACCTTAAAGTTGTTTTTCAATTCCCACCATGATGAACATGATCTAGCACTATATATATTATGGTCACTTTGGACGTATTAAACAGCTGGAATTATGATAGATGGACGGAGGTGATTAAATACCCTCGCCATTAATGTTCTTTTAAAAACTAAAAAATATACTTAAAATATAGAATTTCTTTACTACCTCAGCAATATATTTTCTTATTGCTTTATCCCCCCCCCCCCCCCCACACCCCCTGTGACGTTGGCGTTTTTACGGTGGGGTTTGAGTCCCAAAGTAAAGAGTGTGGTCCTGCTCTGAAACACCCCCCCCCCCCCTCTATACTTTCAGTGTTTTTTTTTGGGGGGGGGGGGGGGATTGCATTTTACATAGTGTAAAAAATCTTAGTCTTTCGCAAAAATGGTGCATTGCTGTGCCATAGATTGTGGCGATTTTGAAGACGTCATATATTTTTCTTCATAGTGCTGCCACAAAAAATTAATGGTTAAACAATATAACAGATTGTGAACCTTTTATTGTTTTTTGTGGTATAAAAGGTCATCTATTATTAATTAAGCTTAATAATAATGAAGTTGCTGTATTTCTGAAAATCTGGATTTACGATCCTGTGAAACAGGGCCCGAAGCTCACTGAGTAATTCAGAATAACCGTCAAGACACCTTATATTTTAAGAGCTTTGATGTATACGGAACATAAACATTTATATCAGTAAAAGTACAGTTTATCAGAGTTTAATTGGAACTTTATCATTTCCCATTCATCTGGTATACTTACTACTGACCTACTTCCCTATCCTCGGGGGGTCATTGACCAATATTGACCACTTCTTTCTCTTAAAAATCTTCAAGAAATGAGGTCAGTTAAAAGTGTGTTTATATCTGTCATTTAGATAGCTCATCGTTTATAGAGAAAGATGTCAGGACCACTGCCAATTCCCAAAATCTTGGCCAGCAGAAAATCGAACACTTGAGATATTATCCTACTTTTTTTCTGAGGTGCCGATGGTCAACTTTTCAAAAGCTATTAGGTACCTAATATAATTACCTACCTTTAATTCAATAAAGTTTATTTTCAATTAAAGTCTTGGCAGTTTTATATTTGAGATCTACACTAAGATCTATAATGCACGAAGCAAACTACTATTGGAAATATAGACTGAAAGCTGTTTTTTTTTAAACGAACTAAACTATATCACGGTAAAATACGAACAAAGGCATTGCTCGAAAATTCTTAACGAAATGATAGATTTGTGGGATGGCCTTTGATCGTGAAAAAGAATGGATGACTTGGTGTCAAGAACAGGTGTCCCCATTGTACAATTTTGTGGACCCTACTTGGCCCCTCGCCTAATGTTTCCTAGATCTATCGGTATGATTGTTAAATAAAACGAGGTAATAATGAATTTGTGGCACGATCAAGAAGAAGAAGCAATTAGCATGCTATTTAGTCTACAGGATGCCTTGACCTTGAGATCAAACGCTAATCAGATGATTTCAAGGTCAACTATGTTTTTCTTGTAAGTTTATCATGAGATCTGACTATTTTGTTATTAGTTACCATGGTTTAACACCTATATATTAATATTTATGTTGGTTTCTCTCAATTTGCAAGAGAAAACGCTAATAGATTCGAAGTGTAGCACGATTCACAGGTAGTAATAACAGGTTAACAGGTTAACAGGAAATTGTTTGAGGCAAAACAAAAATTGGATGTAACATACATCCTCCTTTGCTTTTACAATACAATTTGCATAAAACCCGTATGTGAATCGAGATGAGTTAAGCGCTCGACAACACACAACACAAAAGTTTAGAAACCTGCAAAAACAAACAAAACAAAAATCTATGCCAGACTTTCACCAGTGACTCAGCTACCATAAGTTCATTAGCACCCCAAACCCACCCATAAAAGGGCCGCAGCACCCAAGGGAATCTTTAACAGGCATTAAATCGACTTACAGAGGGGTCTCGGGTCGCAGGAGGGCGTCTGTTAAAAAGAAATTCCCCGGGGGACCCAACTGATTTTCACAAGACAAGTTAGATTTCTTCTAAATCATCATGTAGAATTCCATGCAAGGAAATATTAGTGTATGTTTTACAATAATTGTTAAGTTTGGTGCATATAGGCCATGGCATTGTTCTCTTTCTTTCTCTTTTTTATTTTATTTTTCGAAGCCATATTGATTTGTTTTTTTCACTATCGTCTGGTTTGTTAATCTGTAGCAAGGCGACATCAGATAAACTTGTTTTAATTTCTACATTTCGTGCCTCCCCATCGAGACACTGTCTAAATGGTTCACACAAACACATTAAAATTCTATTTAAAAAGAGAAACTGTAACTTTTTAAGATTTGAAAGACGATATGTACCTTTGTGTTGACATTTTGGAATCTGCTGAGTCGACTCAGCGTCACCAATAGTCTAAGTTTAATTATTGTTAGACGTCTCAAGTTTCAAGTCATTGTCCCAGTTAGAGTAAAACATTTGAGCCTTTTTTTTAAACATTGTTGAAGGTATTCAAGGGAAATCTGCCAATTAAAAACTGTATTTGTTTAAATTAAAATAGTGACACAGTAACAGCTGAGGGGAAATAAGGAGATATTCGCCCATTTGTTGGCCTGTAAATTATAGATTTTGGCGAATCAGACATCTGTAACAAGACAAATATGCCTGTAATTCTTTGAAAATTTATAATCAATTACAACTGTGTACATGTATCATTATTATTATTCAAAGGTTTCGGCTTACGTAGCCTACGTAGCCCAAATGAAGTAGTACAATATAGCCTATGCTATGACCCCATTGAATGGACATGACAATTGTCGTCCATTGGGTATCCTATGAGCGATCCTAGCACACAATAATGTTTCATTTGAAATACGAATCCCATATTAGCACCTCAGAACCATATCAGCGATACTGATCCGAGCGAAAATTTTAATCTCTACCAAACGAGACCCTTAGCGATTCAGTCACAGACTACAACCACCAATGTTGAAACATATTTCCTCCTCAAATGTTTATAATCGCCGATATTGCAATGTGGTTAATCTACTCAATTAATGAAGAGTAAAGTAATTTGCTCCCCTCTCGACAGGAATCCAATCATTGCAGCTTAACTGCCGAACTTTAGTCCTTTCAGTATTGTACCGACCCCAATTGATGCTAACTCTGACAGAGTTAGTTCCCATTAGAACTTGTTCAAAAAATTCAACTTTGTTCAATAAATCAAAACGTTTCATTGCGTTTAAATATATTGGAACAAATCTTGTCATAATAACAGGAGACTGAAAGGCAGACAAAACTTTTTGTTAAACAGTTTTATTAGGCCCATTAAAAAAACTTAAAAAACAGTCTTCTTATTAAAACGGACAAATGACGGAAAAATTTTGTTGATCGAAAGATATTATAGCCTAGGCTATACTCTGATAATTCGTGTACATTAATTTCATGGGGAAGTTATAAGTGGTCTGACATTTATCATTTTGATGGTCGAAGGGAGATAATCTCAAATAAAATGTCGCTATTAACAGTTTAAGATCAACCGCTAAATCAATTTACTATCAAAATTATTATCCATATTCATTGTTTTTAATGGAATATAATGAGAAAAACAAAGATAAATCAATTTCAAATGAAATAGGCCTAGTGTATTTAAGACATCCAAATGTCGTAATAGTAGACCTGCTTACGGCAAATACAAGAAACATGGCGGACGAAGAAAATTCGCCTGATTATTGCCCTGAAAAAATTACCCCAGAACTAAATGACGTACATGCAGATAAATCAAAGATAGCGAATAAGGTACTAAATAAAATTATCTACAGATTATATATTGATTTGATCTAATGTGTCCAGTTGCAAGGTGGTTCTTTTAGTCTGTGTTCCCGAGACTGGTGCGAAATAAATGATTTATGATTGATTACCGTGGAAAATTAGCACAGTGTCATAGAGTTGAGATAGAGACGAGTAATCTCATTATAATGACATTGTTTTCTTTGATCTGTCTCTTTTAATTATGATTTTGTTTATTTTGATAGCCTGAAACTTATTTTTGCTGGTTTGAGAGGTGTGTTGTGATAAGCTTACAAGTCTGATTGTTTGTAAAATTGAAAAAAAAGGACACACCCCCCTTCATCTTAATGACATTAATTTTCAATTATTATTATTTATTTTTTTTTGCAGGCCAATCTATTACAATGGATGGAAATAACAGTTTCAGAACCAGAAAAAAGAACAAATGCATCAATGAAAATGCAGGACACATTCATTGTATATTTGATAGAAACAAGGTAGGCTAAATCAATGCGTCGAACAGTAAAGTGCTATGACAATTTTGAAAGCGCAAACAAAAATAATTGTGGCTACAGTCGTTACACTGATTTTGAAAATGAAATGACTCGAGACTGAATGATTTGGCTATAGCTCTTCGGGTGGGGAAGAGGGGATGTGAAACAGCAGTGCAGTGCTGTTGTGGGTCTGTTTTCTGTGACAATATTTGATGACCTCAGACGCCGATAGACAGATTGAAACATGTTAAATTATAACTAGATCATTGAAGCATGAATGCATCAAACATATCTGAAAAATACTACTAGGTCAACGAATTTAATCTAGCTGCTGTTTGGAGCTTTTCCGTGGCCAGATTGTTCATGGCTTGATCATTACAATGTTTTTGGAATGCATATTTGCCAAAACAGACGGTTACATTGTATGTGAAAAAAATACTTCAATTAAATTGTCAATGTGTATGCATAAAAGAGATGAATTTTAGTGCTTCAGGGCTTCTTATGATTTTATTGCAGAGTAACAGATGAAAATATGAAGGGTTTCAATGATGGAGCTACGTCACTATGGAGAAGATATAGTGAATTTGAATTATTAAGAAATTATTTAGAAATTATGTATCCTACTATAGTCATACCTCCCTTACCAGAGAAAAAGGCATCGTATACTTGGCAGAATGCTGCTACAGATAAATTTGATCCTGAATTTATTGAAAGGCGGAGAGCTGCATTAGAGGTGGGATGTGGCTTTTGAATTTTAGAAAAGTTTTGGGATATTATAAATGATATTATTATCATGTAACTTTCCAGACAAGTTCAAAACCAAAAAAGTTTGCATTTTCAAAGACTTTTCAAAAGCCAAATCTCTGACCCTTATTGACCCTTATTATGTCATCACAAATTGTGCTCTAACTGATTTGGTTTTCAAATGTATTTAATTCTAAGGTAATGAAAGCTTCTCATCTTATTCTGTCTATGTTCTCTATAAGCTGAATGTCAGACAAGATCATGTGACTTGGGTTTATTGGAATTGATTCTGAACCATGTGAATTATATGGTCTATTACTTTTATATGCTATTGAATTGAACTGGTGAGTTTTTTTATTTGATGACCAAATTTTATGATTTTAGGTATTTTTATTACGGGTAGCTGCTCATTCTATATTATCAAAAGATAAAATATTCCTTGGTTTCATGCAGCAGGTAAGAAAGTCTTGACAATCATTACTAATATAGACTAACAGTTTTCATTATAACAGTCACTGGAAATAGGGAGAAACTGTTTGAAATTTTTCAGTTTTCTTTATCAACAGAAAAGCTATTCTGTAAAGTTAATCTGCCATGAATCATATTTTTTAGCATGAGAATGTATTGTGTAATTAATCAACGGAAATTTTTTTTTGTTCATTTTAGGATGCAGGCTGGAAAGATACTGTTTATAATACTGACTTCCAGAGTAAGGTATGTATTAATCTTACTCTTTCAATAATATTTGATTATGCTTATGTCATGTTATTCATGGTGATATTAATACAAATGATGACTATATGATTTTACACTCTATGATTACATTGTAATGAATATGAGCAAAACTGTAGATTTTATGTGAATAATTGTAATCTGTTTGATTTAAGACTTCAATTTTCAAAGTGCAAATTCTTGTGTTTCAACCCAAAATCTCGCCCCTGCTGGGGTTCATTTAATTTATCAATGTATAATACTTTATTCAAAAATACTAATTATATTGCAGGCTGATTCCAAATTAAAGGCTATAAGTGCCTCTTTTAGATTAAAAAAGCCAGACAGGTAAGTCTTTATTTATTCCAATGTTAATTTCTGATTATTTGTTGTGTGCTTTATTGCAATTATTGATACTAGTTCTGATTGATGTTTGTCTTGTGTGAGTGACATTAGATGTGCCTTGAAGAACCAATATTTTAAATTCAAATTTGATGCAAATGCAGAAAAAACTCATGGAACTAGTTGTAAAGTAAAAGAACTATCTTTGCTAACTAATATTTCTGGTATTTGTTCAGTAAAATTTTCAATCTTTTCAGAAGATTTGAAGAAGTGAAGAATTATGCTAATGAATTACAGGCCAATATTTCTAATCTTCTCAAAATAAGAGCTGTAAGTAATATAAGATAACAGTCTTGGTGAGAAACTTAACCTCCATTTATAAAACCAGATGATTTGAATTTTGTATTTAAATGATGTGACAGCAGCATTTTAAATTACTGTATTTTATATGTCACTATACACCAATTTATAGCTAATGTTTTGAAACTTCTTTATCTTAGTCTTGTTGAAGCTTATGGTAATTTTTTTTGGAAAATTTACAATCAAATAAAGTTTCTTAAACATGGAATACTTCTTCCAAAGGCATTTATTGTTGTACACTGGGATACAGGGTTCGGTCTCAATTCCTATTTTAATGAATCTGTTACACACTGTATATATTGTTCATCTTGTGTAAATTATGCATATTTTGTTTACTATTTGTCTTTTCTTTTAGAGAATGGCAGATAAGTTATATGGTATACATAAAGTACATGGTAACTATGCTAGAGTATTTGGTGAATGGAGTTGTATAGAGAAAGATATGGCTGAACCCCTACAGAGTGCTGGTCACTATATGGACGTGTAAGTACATAGCTTTTAGATGAACAGTTAATTAAGTCCATCAAGACATTACCCGATATTCTACAATGTCCTTGTGCCCACAAAACTGTGGAACATAAATTTACGAAGCTGCTCAGGTATTGTTGTTAGTAAAGTGTTACCAGCACGTAGCTTGTAGTTTCAGTAATGTATCCTTTGTTTGTTGCAAATTATCCTGTAAGATTCAATATTGTAGTATGTATTAAATTGCTATGAATTGTTTAAATAAGCTGACCAGGAAGTTATTTTGGTTATTTCAGATTATCTTCCTCTATAGATCCAATGTTAGAAGAAGAAGAACATTTTGCTGATCAGTTGAAGGAATATTTAGCCTTTGGTGATGCTTTACGGTAACTAAATTGTATTTAAAGAAGCACCTTCACTATCCCTTCGACCAATCATACCTTAGTTTCAGAAACAGGAATTTTTTTTAGCTTACATAATTAGTCATAGTGTTCACAGCTCATCATCGAAATTTGGGCCTTCAAATCGATGTGTATCCATAATTATTCACGTTTGAAAGTTAAAAATTCGACTCGAACTTTAGCGAGACTATGCCATATATATAGGAATTTCTAGTTTGAGGTATATTTGAAGGGATTTTCGTGTGTTTTAGTATTTCTTAAGACTATTAAAGCACAATAAAGACCCAGAAAAATGCCCTTCCCCTTTAACTAATTATGTATCTGGTAAACGAATTACTGAAAAAAAACCATTTCACAAAATGTCTTAAATATGTAATGTGACATTCAGAAATTCCAAATTTACAACAAAATTGATTGTAAGATTTTCTTTGAAACAAAACTCCTGATTGTATACAACAGTTCAGTAAACATGTCATTAAGATTAAGTTGGAACTACTGGTAATTTTTACAAGGAGAAATAAGTATGACCACTATGAATATATGAATGTCCCAATGTTATAGAATCAATTTGTTATTTAATAGGTCTGTTTATTTAATAGGTCTGTTTATTTAATAGGTCTGTATGTAGGAAGTATGAATGTGTACAGTATGATTTAGAGAAAGCAGAAGATACATTGTCATCTAAAGCTAAAGAAAGAGATATGTTGGTATGTATTCTACTGAATTTTCCATTGTATGATCTTTTGGGGTTTATTTTTCTCAAAAATACATGTTAAGAACATACAATGAAATAGAATAACATATTTTCACTGTTAAAATAGTACTCAATACATCAATTGTAGAGCGATATAGAAATACCACTGTTAAAATAGTGCTCAATACATCAATTGTAGAGTGATATAGAAATACCACTGTTAAAAAAGTGCTCAATACATCAATTGTAGAGTGATATAGAAATATCACTGTTAAAATAGTGCTCAATACATCAATTGTAGAGTGATATAGAAATACCACTGTTAACATAGTGCTCAATACATCAATTGTAGAGTGATATAGAAATACCACTGTTAAAATAGTGCTCAATACATCAATTGTAGAGTGATATAGAAATACCACTGTTAAAATAGTGCTCAATACATCAATTGTAGAGTGATATAGAAATACCACTGTTAACATAGTGCTCAATACATCAATTGTAGAGTGATATAGAAATATCACTGTTAAAATAGTGCTCAATACATCAATTGTAGAGTGATATAGAAATACCACTGTTAAAATAGTGCTCAATACATCAATTGTAGAGTGATATAGAAATATCACTGTTAATATAGTACTCAATACATCAAGGGAGTACTTAACTTCATCAGTACTGGTCATTGTGAATTAACAGAATTTGTGTTTTTCCAATTCAAGGTACAAGGAAAACCAGCAGGTGCATTCTCTATAACTGGTATGAAATCTAAAATATTTGGTAGTGATACCCCAGAACAGAGAGATTTGAAAATAAAACAACTTGAAGAACAAATAAAACAGGCAGAGATTGATGTGAAACAGGCTACACAAGAAACACAGTAAGATATTATTCTTCCACAGTCATATTGGAATGTTCAATAAACTGAGGCCCTGTGTGCTGCGTTAAAGATCCCTTGACAGTTTGAAAATCAAAATAGAGTAGGCACACTGCATTTTGTTGCATTAACACAATCAGGTGAAAAGACGTATAACTCCATTCACTTCAACTCTCTTATATATTCCTCATTGTGATATACAGATGTGATATTGTCACTGTTTTTTCATGGGAATTTATTCTGACTCATTTTGTGGTCTGTAGTTTCTGAAAATTTTTACTGTGACAAAAGCAGGCCTGTAGTTAGAGAGGGGCCAGGGCACAAAAATGACTTAAAGGACTTGTTGAGTCGCTATAGTTGAGCCCCCCATCAAAAAATTTGGCCCCCCTGACAGAAGCTGGTGCAGAAGAGTAAGACGTAAATCCCTCTTCATGTCATTTGTATATGTCTGTAGAAATAATTTGTAAAAGTGATTCAAACATGGTTTCTTGTATGTTTAGATTACATGTACAAAGTGCCCTGAAAGATATTGAACGTTTTCAACGTCAAAAAGTTAAAGATTTACACGATATTTTCACCAATTATGCCATTATGCAAATTAAACAGTGTAAGAAGGTAACATATTGTATTCAGAAGTCATTTTTCTATCCACAACTTTCTAGTGAATTGTATGTGGGCAAGACTTTTTATCAAGAAAGGTTCGTAGGGTTATGGTCGTGCATTGTCAGGTTGTATCAAGAATGGATGAGAAAAACTGTACTATTTAAAAAATAGAAATCTCTAGATGATTCTAACTAGTTGCTAGTATCCTCATTGCAAACTGCATGGCATCATTAGACCAATTAGAATCTGTAAAACACCAATTCATTTCATTTGAATGAGGCCTCTTTTTAACCAGCTGTACATGACTGGCAACAAACCTATCAACATCCCTGATGTATAATATTTATTGTTTCAGGGTATTGCAATATGGACGAGTGCTAAAGATTGTTTTGCTAAAATTTGAGTGAGTTAAATAGAAGAATAAAGGTATATAGAGATGATTTAAAATATGTATTTATTAAAACCATGGGCCATTATCTAATATCTCATATTATAGGTTGTTTTGCTTTCATTATTATAATTAAATTCATTTCATTTCATTTAAGATTATTAAACCATTGTATAGACATAAATTATATGGTACTGTATTTTGATTTTCAGTATAAAAAATCATTTATTTGGGCATTAAACTTTATTATGTAAGAATCAAAATAGCCTGAGATTGACATGAAATTCAGATTACCAATAAGCCTTTTCAGAAACACTTGATGTTAATCATAACAAGTAGCATAAGTGGGATGTAAAACTCAATGCTTTTTTCACAAATAGTTTTATTAATGTCACAAAAATTTGTAGAACACATGTACGTGTTTATCAGGAAAAAAAAGGTTATATTGATTTGTTTCAGTTTGGCCCAAAGTAATTAAATATAGAACCAGTTTTGTTGTTCAAATTTTGTTATTGTTTTGTTATTTTTAACCATTGTCTCATATCAGTAATCAAATTTGTTTTTATTTATTATTTATTCACTTGTTTATTGTCACACACAGGTGGTAAATAACCGGACACAATTTTTAGGGATAGCAATCCAAGAATATTTTCCAAAGAAAGCTTCATAGCAAGATATATTTGAAAGTACATGTAATTGTTATTGTGTCTCTTTATTTGTTCCCCAAGACACAAAGATTTCTGCACAAATCTGAGGGCCTTTCTCAACAATAAACACGGCCAGTCTAATCGATATAGAGTTAATTTAATTGGTAATAAACATACTAGAGGCATGATTTGCAGAGTGTCTGGGGCTTGTCTTTCAATAGAATTTGTCATTAGTTAGGATTTATATTGAGAAATTCCATATTTATGATTGAATTGATCCCAAATAATTTTTGTGAAACATCACCCAATATCCATGAATACTTCTTCAAATTCAGGTAGACTGTTTAAGTCTTGGTTTTGACTGGTTTTCAGATTTGCAGAAATATTTTTCTTCTAACACTTGTATGCTCTATAATGAGGTTACTTGAATAGTTAATAATGTGTGTCTAGTATTTTTAATTCAAACCAAAAATTCTTTCGAATTTATCAGCCATTTACACCAAAATATTTGTTTGCTATTGACTATTTCCACCATTTTCTGGATATTTTGGCTGGATTGGTGTGCAAAATTATGGATGTACATGATATTTGTAATGTCTTTGTGAATTTATTTATTTGTTGGCTTCATTTCACTTAAGGGTTAAAATCACAAACTATCGTGTGGAAGTTAACAAAATTTCACTCACTGATCTGGGGCCTAATTCTCAAATATTGAAATAAAATCAAATCCAGATTTTTAGAAATACAGTAATCTGGTTGGTTAAACTAAATTTAAAATCAATATAAGTGATTGACCAATCAGATGATGGCAACAGTAAAGGGGTTTTCCAGAATAAGGTCCCTGAAGACCGACCCTTAGTAAGAAACGAGGCCTCAGATGTGCTATTTGAATTTATGTATAAAGTGTATCTAGATGTAATTAATTGTTATGGTGCAATAGTAACTTGAGAATTTATATTGTAAATTATCGTCAATAGAATGTGACTTCCATTTTCATCTTCATTTTTTTTTCTTGATTATCATTTTTACAATATATCCAACATTCACCAATTAAAATAATCAGTATGATAGTGACTTTTTCTGTTAGTATGTAAATAGTACAGATGGGATTGTATTTGACAAGGGACCAAAAATGTAGACTTAGATAATAACTAACTTAATTAATGGGAGATTGGGGGAAGGTTGTAGCGCCTTATCATATGGTGTACAGGGAAGTTTAGGTGAGACAGTAGTAATTTGAATATAGAATGATATCTACTCCAATTATGAATGTTGTTGACTTGAACAGTTATGATACACAGAAGTCACACAATATCAAGCTATTACGAACTGTGTTTTATACCTTGAATGCAATAGCCAATTTTATTGTATCATGTGAAATTTTTAATTGAAGTTATTTAATGGGATTGTGTGCTAGCGATTACAGCCAATCAGAGGCCTAGCATAAAGTTTATAGTCTTTCTCTGATTGGTTTTATTCGCTGGCGTACAATCGAATCACTGCTTTCCGTGAATAGTGGCCATATAGGACAAAATTCGTAATAGCTTGATATTGCAAGGCTGCACAAAAGTTGATTAATTATTTCCATTAATTTATCTCACACCAATTTCTTGACAGTTTATCACAGTGTAAATAATCTAGATCATTTTCTAGTTTCCTATGTTTATAATTTTACTGTATATCTTATGTCTGTACTGAACACTTTTTGAAATCGCATTTTGAAAATATACTAGTTGATTCAGGTCACATATACATGTATTCTAAATAATAATTCACAATATCAGTTATTTCATTTTCTGTTTGATTTGATTGATTACTTTTTGCCTTAAAAATCACTTGTAATTTGGAAAGTTATGCCAAACTGACTATGATTTTACAGATATTGTGAAGCATAGATATATATGTAGATTCAGGGACTTTTCAAAACATGATAGTACCATGGAATTTCCCTTATATGGGCTTTGTGATGTCATTAAATGCTAAATCACTTTAGTATTATGTTTGGGTTAGTCCTTTATGTTAAAAACATTTGAATCTATATAAGACTGTTAAAAGATTGAATTATGAAAGTTGTTAAATTGTAGTGTATTGGTTGTCATTTTGTACACTTGTAGTAGAAAATTAAAACAACTGAATCCATATTGATGTCTTTTTTCTTATTCTTATTGATCCAATATTCTATGACATGGTGAGCAAAGCATTCAGATTTAATCCATAGGCAGACAACTTAGTGTTGGTGATAGTGCACACTGAGCTCCACAGTTTTAGATTTACTACAAACCCCCATTTATCCTAAATGTCATGCTACAGATAGTGGGGTGAAATGTACAACAGTGGCTCTATCTAAATATTGTCTTAATTCCATCTACTAATAAAGCCACACTTAGATATGTTCATATTTATTTGTATATAGTTTCAACCGTGTAGCAGCCAAATTCCATACAATATATTCAATATAATAGTAGAAAGTCATCAATACACAATGGAATAGTTTTAATAGTCTACAGCAAACACTGAAATAGTTTTCAATAGTCTACAGTAAACACTGAAATAGTTTTCAATAGTCTACAGTAAACACTGGAATAGTTTTCAATAGTCTACAGTAATCACTGCAATAGTTTTCAATAGTATACAGTAAACACTGGAATAGTTTTCAATAGTCTACAGTAAACACTGGAATAGTTTTTAATAGTCTACAGTAAACACTGGAATAGTTTAAAATAGTCTACAGCAAACACTGAAATAGTTTTCAATAGTCTACATTAAACACTGGAATAGTTTTCAATAGTCTACAGCAAACACTGGGATAGTTTTTAATAGTCTACAGTAAACACTGGAATAGTTTAAAATAGTCTACAGCAAACACTGAAATAGTTTTCAATAGTCTACAGTAAACACTGAAATAGTTTTCAATAGTCTACAGTAAACACTGGAATAGTTTTCAATAGTCCACAGTAAACACTGAAATAGTTTTCAATAGTCTACAGTAAACACTGGAATAGTTTTCAATAGTCTACAGTAAACACTGGAATAGTTTTAAATAGTCTACAGCAAACACTGGAATAGTTTTCAATAGTCTACAGTAAACACTGGAATAGTTTTCAATAGTCTACAGTAAACACTGGAATAGTTTTCAATAGTCTACAGCAAACAATGAAATAGTTTTCAATAGTCAACAGTAAACACTGGAATAGTTTTCAATAGTCTACAGTAAACACTGGAATAGTTTTCAATAGTCTACAGTAAACACTGGAATAGTTTTCAATAGTCTACAGTAAACACTGGAATAGTTTTCAATAGTCTACAGCCAACACTGAAATAGTTTTTAATAGTCTACAGTAAACACTGAAATAGTTTTCAATAGTCTACAGTAAACACTGAAATATTTTTAATGGACGGAAACAACTGAATATCAAAATAAGATATCATAAAAACAACAGAATATTACTTATATAACATAATATGGGACGGATATACAAACTGCATATTTTTATTCTCCTTAAGGTTAGCTTTGCCAGCTGATACAACTTAATTCAAGCTATCAGTATCATCATTCAACATGAAAATCCAATGCTAAATTTAAGTTCTATCCCTTAGCATAATAATGTACACTTATATTATGTTCACATTAACTTTTAAGACTTTGTGAATCCTAGAATTGACAATGTAAAAATAATATGCTAATGCATAGGTATTTATGTTTGCTTTGATAATTCTTTATGACAAACTTTCATAGTTTAATGATGTTTTTAACAAATATTTAACGGACGGATTTAAATGAAGTGCATAATATTATCACTTGAAATCATCATATACTAAAAAGTAAATGATCACATTTGAATAAAAAAAATGATCACTTAGTTATCACACATTATACGATAAATGATCACAAATCAATAAGAAATGATAACTTAAAAATATCTTAATTATAAAGTAAATGATAATTTAAACTTATCACAAATGATAAAAAAATGATCACTTAAAAGTATCACAATTCAAAATTAAATAACTTTAAATTATCTTAATTATAAAATAAATGATAATTTAAAATTATTACAACATGATAAAGTCATTACCTTGATTAAATTTATCAAAATCAACAAATACAAATAATATCACAGATAAATCACTAAAATTACAATATTAACAAAATAATTAACAAATTAGGTGTAAGGTAGTTGATATTAGTAAATAAACAAATGGACACATGATTTTAATCCTTCCAAATTCCTATATTTAAAAACAGAATGTTGCACAATATCTAAACATTAAAACAAATCATATTCAAATCAAATAATAAAGTGTAAGAAGGTTTATTTCATATAATATATACTCTTACAGGTATTTGAGCACATTGTCAGCTTTCAAATAATGTACAGTATTAGAATAATTGTGAATATAATATGCATCGGAACTCTCCATTAAATCTGGAAAAAATTCGTCACTGTAAATAATCTGCACCTATTTGGATGAAAAATTCACAAAAGCCTAAAATTGAGTGGCGATTACAAGACCCTACCTTCCCAAAAAAAATGTTCTTCTAATTTCGCAAGTTGACAATATTTCTTATAAATTATAGAATTAGCATCCTTTAAACCCTTATTACATAATATATTATGAAAATACATCAAGTGAATACCCCTTGAAATATAAGTAAGAATATTTTTGGTATTATCAAATATAAAATATTGATTTATGTACATATCACAGTCTTATACAATACTCAGCACTCAATAGGAATGTTTACAAAACAATTTACAAAATATTACAAATATCGTCCAAAACATTTATTATTACAAAACAATGTTCAAAATATTACAAAACAATGTCCAAAATATTTCAAAACAATGTCCAAAATATTTCAATACAATGTCCAAAATATTTCAAAACAATGTCCAAAATATTTCAAAACAATGTCCTAATATTTCAAAACAATTTACAAAATATTACAAATATTGTCTAAAATTTTACAAAATGATAGAAATATCTTCAGCAAAAGTGTGAGCAAGCAATTTAGAGTTTTTTTAAATATTTAAAAATAATTTCTTATTCTGTCAATTTTCCAATTATTTTGAAGTTTTAAAGAAATGAAATTTGGTGATTTCAAAATTTCTGAAAAAGCCAATAAGAAGCATTGTACAGAATTATGCTTGACATTGCCTAACAACATTTGCATTAAGGACTTGGCTGGTTTTATCATTAGAGTTGTTCCTAATTTCTTCATCATTTCAAGCCAGCATGTTTATTTAGCAATTTATTTGATATATATATCACAAAACAATGGACGGATTTCAATTTTGAGACTTTTAATAAAAAGCAATATGGCGTATTAAACTATTTGTATAATTATTGTATAATTTCACTCTTTAAGATGCTTTATATGTCAATGCCACCATATTTGCAAAAGAATTAACTTGATATTACACATTTACAAAGGAGGGATTTAAAATTCGAGTTTCTAATTAAAAAAATATGGCAAATATCAAATTGTTCATCATTATAATCCATAAAACAATTTCACTCTTCAAGATGTTTCATCCTCCTGTCTTTAGCTTTCTGATAACTTTCAAAATTTTGAAGAGCTTCCTTCTCCAGTTCCTGCACTCTACCCCTTCGTTGCTTCTCAATAGAAATACTATCAGGGAAGTTCTTGGCTTCCCCATTAAATATAATCCATGGATGACTTAGTACATCTATAGAGGAATATCGTTTGGTTCTATCAACTACCAATAAATGACCTATTAAATTCTTTGCATCTGAAAAATCAATTTTCATAAGAACTTTACTAAATTAAGTTTTTTGACAAATTTAGTTATGAATATTTCAAAATATGCCAATGTATGTAGCATACAAAATTCAAAAAATATCAATATACAAAATTCAAAAAATATCAATATACAAAATTCAAAAAATATCAATATACAAAATTCAAAAAATATCAATATACAAAGTTCAAAAATATAAATCAGCATACAAAATTTGAAATCAATTTGAGGCAATGTTTTGATACGTTTTTCTTCCATAAAGCTGTGTCTATATATCATACAATTGCTAAATGCTATCTAAAGACTTTATTGTCTGCAAGGCGATTAGGTCTGACCTTTTATCAGCTTTCACCCCCTAATAACATCTTTTATCTACACTCAGGGTGTATCGAAATTAATACAGACAAAGGAAACTTACATAAAGAAGTGCCATCCCAATATGGCATCACAAACTCATATTCTCCTGCCTTTATCATAGCAAATAATTCAGTTTGTTTTCTATCAGGACTTCTAAATGGTGGAAAACCACATAATAATATATACATAATAACTCCTACAGCCCACATGTCAACTTCTAAACTATAACCTGTAAATAAAATCAAAGATCATACATAAACTGCTAAACAAATATTGCCCTTCAAGTTCCTGTAACACTTCAAAGAAAAATCAAAGTACCAAATCTTCTGTAATTCAACAAAAACCACAACAGTTTAAACAAATGGTTGACAGTTCTTTTTAGTAGCTTTTCATATATAAAATCGGAGGTTCAGTTCTTCTACAATTCAATAAAAATCACACAGTTTTCATTACTAGCTAGCTTTACTTGTTTCAGTACAAGTCAAAGTTCCAGTTGTTATACAGTTCAACAAAAACCATAAAAGTTTGATGGTCAATTCCAAGACATTATTAATATTCTAAAAAACAATACAGATATTGCTGAAATGAGTTCATTATGGTGATGTTTGGTTTGTCATCTGGGCATTCCTTTTGGAGAGTTCATATGCCTTAAAATTGTGAATACAGTGAAAAAGCATGGATAATGCACACCCCTTCTTACCCTAGGGATAATCTGGAAAACTAGGGGATTCTAGTTAATAATGTTAATTTAGGACTCACCTATTTCTGAGAGTATTTCAGGAGCAACATAAGTTGGTGTACCACAAACAGTATAGATTAAATCATTAACTTCCATGGCCAGACCAAAATCAGCTAGTTTTAATGATACAGTACCATCTTTATTTCTATGCACCTGTTGTCAAAATAATAATATGCAGGAATAGACAGGAATATTTCAATTCGTTAAATCCCTTTAAGAAATCCTTAAAAGTAAGTTTAGATCCTTGATTTCAGTCTGCCCTAGTTGTAAGTGGGTACAGATTATCTAGGAATGAGGATGGAAAAGGACAAGCTAGTAGAGAGGATCCTCATGAACCTAAATTGTAGTTCTCTTAAAATGTGATTGTTTCTTGTCTTTTTTTTTTAAACTGTGATGTCTTATGCCAAAGTTTATGTTCGTGTCTGCTACTTACCAATAAGTTTTCAGGTTTTAAGTCTCTATGTACAATGTTTCTAGAATGAAGGTAAAATAGAGCATTACACAGATCTTTGACCATCCTAGCTGCCTCAATTTCTGTAAATTTAACACTCTGTGTGATAGCATCGAATAAATCACCACCCTAAAATAAACCATTTAGTAACATGAAAGAAACGTAGGATTGGTTCCTGTCTCTAACACATTAAAAAAAAATTCAGACAAAAGCCCCACTGCAATTTTGAACCCAGACAAAAGACTTAGGACAAAAGGGCTTCTGAATAGAGGGGCTTTTGTCTGCCCACCGACTTATTTCAGATACTGTTTCTACCAGTGCCTACTTTTTTCAAAAAGATAATGCCAAAGTAACGTTATAAGATTTTTCTTTGTATTTAGTAATAGATTACTTCATACACATAATAATTAAGAAGATTAGGAGGTCTATAGTTGGTTCACACAAACCTAAAGTATGTTAAGTTGTGTTATAAAACAGTACCGTGAAATAACTATTGTATTGAGAGGTATAGAACATGACAAAATAAAAATTCCTTTACCTGGTTCAACACAGATTTTATAAAGACCTATTATAAATATAACAGCTACATAATAATATTATAAACTATAAACTCAATAAAGGGCAATAAACACATATTTATAAAGAGAAGGGACAAAGGCTTGTTATTATATAAGTGTTATATTATGGGACTTCAACCCAACGTCAAAGGAAATTAAACTTTTGTAATCTCCTCCTTAATGTATAAAATTTAATGTAAATCCACACAAGATTTATTGTTAAAATTTCCATTCAAACCTTAATATTAAAAGCACTTTTAAATGTTGTAAGAAATATTTGAACATAATTCTGGTAGTCCTTATTGCAGTTGATATAAGAATTTGCAGAAAGGTAGCCAACTGAAGAGTATCAACTATCTGTTTGTGGCTAGAATTGTCCTATGGTCTTTTCTCCAACATTTTTTTCCAAATTTAAGCCCAATGACTGTATTGAATTTTTTAATTTTTAATTTTTTTTAATTCATGTTCATCAGTTTCAAAACACTTGTCCACTTTTTCATTTACAGATTTCTCCTTTATACACAAGGATTGTTAATGTTTTAAATTGGACTCGTCATCTATCTTGTGAAGTTTAAATGTTAGAGTGTCCTTTAATAAATGTCTATTTATATCTGAAGATCACATAGCGTGAAACTCTGAGTAACAGCAACATGTTTTAAGATTTCTTTTTACATGTTAATAGATAAACCTTATACCAAATTGTCCTTTTGAAAAGGGATTAGGGTCACCTAAATATAAATTGGTTTTGTGAATGGAGTGAATGTTCTATTAACAGAAAGCTATGTTATAAATTAACATGTTAACATATCAAAGCAACAATCCTGTTATTAATGGGGTGAATTGAAAGTGGGAAAAAAAACATATAATTAACTCATTTTAGAAATCAGATTTGGATGAAAGAAATCTGTTTTTCTTTTTCTATAATTTGACTCTTATAACCTAAAAGTGTTTGGGGTTTGTTTTGAAAATTTGGGAAACCCTTGGAGGGAAATGTAAATGCACAATTTAAGATATTGAGCTGTGAAGGGGGGTTTATACACACTCTTAGAATATTGGTCTTAGTTGGTCTTAATTATAATTTGGCATTCATCTATTTGTTGTAGGTTCCTTAACTCATTTAAGATCTGACAACTTTTTTGCCAAATGAAGTTCAATCGACTACCAAAGAAAACTTCCAGTCATCTCTTAAGTTAATCATTATACAATATAGCTTAAAATCTAGATTTTATCTGAGTTAAGTTTCGAAAATAAGGTCCAGAACATTTAATTAATTGAATTTGTCTTCAGATCTGGTTTTAGTAATACCAGGAACTAATAGAATTTCAATCATCCTGATAATTGGTGCTAAATTAAATAGCTTACCTTGACAAGTTCCATAACCAGATAAAGCCTATCTCTAGTTTCAAACTCTTCATATAATTTCACAATATTAAAATGATTGCATTCCTTCATTATCTCAATCTCATTTTCAACCATGTGTTCTTTTCCCTTTAATTTACTTTTGTCAATCACTTTAATTCCAAATTCTTGCCCAGTACTACGCAGACGACTTTGTTTCACAACAGCAAAGTTTCCGTCACCTAAGACACGTCCCATTTCATATCTGGCAACAACATGTTCGTCTTTACTGATCTGACGTTCTAATTTAGTCCTACGTATCACTTTCGCTTTAGATTTTTTCCGAGATTTCTCATTTTCCTTGTCCTTGACTTTATCTTTTGTTTTTTCTGGAGCTGGTTTATTCTCGATGATATTTTCATCTATCTTTTCCTCAACCACAGATTTCTCCTTGATTTCAGCAGATTTTTCTTTTTCCTTTTCTTCCTCATTTTTAATTTTGTTGTCATCTACATCTTCCTTGATTTCGATCTGCTCAGCGACAGGTTTTTCAAGGTCATCTGTAACTTCTTCCCTTTTTTCTTGATCAGTTTTCTCTTTCTCAGGTTCATCATTTTCTTTTTCAGTTGATTTTGTTGTTGTCAATTCTTTTTCGATTGATTCTGTTGTTGTTAATTCTTTTGCTTCAGCTTCCTGGTTTTGCTTTTCTTCTTGTTCTTTCAATTCCTTTTCTTTGGCCTCCCTTTCGGCTTTTTCTGCTCTTTCCGCCTCTTCTTTTCGCTTCCTGGCAGCCTTTTCTGCTTTCATTCTTTGCTCTTCCTGTTCCAGCTTCACTCTCCTTTCTTCCTGTTCTTGATGAAGCTGTTGATCTGTTTCCCTTTTCCTCTGTTCTTCAGCCTGCTCTTTTAATCTCCTACTCTCTTCTTTTCTTCTTCTCTTTGCCTCCTCCAGAGCTTTATAAGAATTTATTTGTTCCAAGGGAATTAATCCTTTCTTCCTTTTTTCATCTTCAATAGCTCTTTGTTCTGCTTCTCCTTGTTTTTGTTGTCGTCTGCGCAGCTTAGCTTCCTTAGTTTTCGATGACGATGGGAAAGTATCCTGATCTTGAGCAATTTCTTTACTATTTCTAGTCGCACCTTCGTTTATATTAGTGTCCGAGTCACGATGCGAGGAATCGCTAGGTTCCGCAAAACCACTGTCACGTTTATCAGTTGTGGGATGAGCCTCGATTTCCCTCGCTTCACGCTTTTTCTGATACTTATCCCAACTTTTCATTATACTTTTATGTTGAGACTCATCAGGATAAAGTTCCTGAATTATCTGTTGTACCTGATCCACAGAGAATTGTTCATACCCTACCCCTATAAATACATCATCATTACGAAAAAAGTCTGACACACTTTGTACTGCTTTGCCTTTTATTGTATAAAGTTTGTTCACTTTGTGACTCCTTCCTTTCGCAGTAAACGCTTCCGAAATATCACACATCAACTGCTCAAAGGACTGAACACTCCTCCTATTCAGAAGAATTTTCACGTTACTCCTTGGTGCCACGCCATTTCTGACCACAGTAATGACCTTGGGTTTGTTACTTCCGTAATTATCAGAGGTAGAAAATTTATGAGGCGAGGTTCCTGATGGACCAGACCATCTTTTATTAGAGTATGAACCGTGAGTCCTAAAATATCTACTAGGAGCAAAAGCATTGTTGGAATATCCTTGGTATCTTCCATGTGATATGTCTCCACCAAGTTGAAAATTGGAACTTTTGACTGGTTTAGCTGAAAGTAAAAATATATCATTGATTGATAATGGTTCATTAAGTAGGCTGCAGATCAAATAAGATTGAAAATCAAAATATAAATGCCTTCTTAGGTTTATACAAATATCGAATAGTTTGCAAAACTTTTTCAATCTTGTAATTTTATCAATGGAACTGAACTTAAACCAGTAACTATCACACCGGGCTTTTTATTTTCTAATTCATTGCTGAAGATCAAATAAGATTGATATTTAAAATATGAATGACTCTAAGGTTCATACAAATATCGACAATTTGATTAATACTCATAAATTTTTCAATCTTAAAAATCTATTGACTGAATTGGAAATCTTTAAGATTCGGTGAATGAGTGAAAATAAATCAAAACAAAACAAATAAATTTGAAAATCTTTGAAACAAAAAAGATCATTAAAAAAAAGTCAGGGCAACTTTAAAATAAATTCTTTACAATATATCATATCCTCATGAGAACTGATTAAAGATTATTATTCCAACCAACAGGACAGTGACCGACACACCCTTGACAACATTTAATTATCTCCAACTCAACTATATACACAATACTATATATCACTCATTAATTATACATCTTAATTAACTTTCTTACTTCCTATCTGTAACCTAATGAAGAACACGTTTGGATCTAAGCCATGACTGTTTACTTTCACTCGAGTTCGTTTTCTTTGAGACTGTATGTATGGACTAGCAAATATATCAGGAAGCATCCTGATAAAATACAATGTGATTGTCACAGATAAAAATCTTCCACAAAAGTACTGGTTTTAGTCACATGACTTGTAAAATGAAAGACAAATGTAAACTAATGCTCTATGGCATAATTCCAATCATGAATCCAAAATTAAATCCATTTTCAAATGACATAATCGTAATCCACAATACTATAAATCCAAAAAACTGATAACTTTGTGTTTCACAACTCAAAACACCTTGTTAAAAGGCGAAAATGTTTTGACAGATAATTTAATGTAAAGAACCAATAACAAGTTGATTGGAAGATTGACAAGTGACATGCAAGTATTAAAAATATGATCAACAATTCACTGATTCCGATTCAATTAAAAAATCACTTAAATGTCATTCAAATTCACTGAAGCTCTCTAGTGATTAAAAGGCGTTATTGAGAAATATTCCCAAGACACCAGCCTAAAGAAAACCTCATTATACCCCACACAATAGATTGTGTTTGCTTTCAATAATTTACAAGTAACGGGTATTCTCCCAGGTAATTCAATAGAAAAAGACGTTTATTAAACCTTTAATAATGGCGTAAAAAAAAAACACCAAGGTGGTAAATTGCTTTTTATACCTCGCCTAGTGGGTCAATTATATTCATATATTATCTCATCTAAGCAAATTTACATACAAATCCTATTTATGAGCGTTCATTGACACAACATACGTTGCTCTTAAAGAATAGACTGAAAGAGGTTGACCTCTTAACAGGGTCTTGAGGTCAGTTGTACTAGATCAAAATTATCGCGGAAGAAAAGTGGAAAAGGGAAAAGGTGACTAGGCTAAAGTTTGCTGAGGACTATGTGCTTTATACCTCAATGATGTCAGCAAATTCCAATCTTTATGAAACTAAAATCATGGCTCACTAAGTAGTATTTAGGACTATAAAAATAGGACTCAAAACATAGATATAGCAAAGCGTGAGGTACAATAAATAAAGGGTTCAAGGGTATCAAGGATAGGTCCTTAAAAAAACAGTGGGTAACACAATATTATGGTATACTACACCTGGGTTTTATTGTATTGTACACAATGTTTCAACAAGCTATATTGTCATCATCAAGTTATAGATCGAAGCATATCAACTCAAAAACAGTATCACTCAAACAAACATGTTGAATATTTAATCCGACTGATTTTTTCTAACTAGATAAAAAATCTTTTTCGTGAATTCTTCCCCTTTGTTCTTTGAAAGTCACGATAAAACAGCAAAAGACTATTTGAAAAAAAAGTTTCATCAAAATTAACATGAGACATGTGAATTTGTCCTGTGTCATTATACTCAAGTCAACTCAAGTGAAGTTATGCTTAAAAATTGTCTAAGAAATGAAAGGAAATTCACTTTTAAAAGAATCGATATCTAGTCTCGCCTGCTGCAATATAGATGAGCAGGTGCAGTAGAGCAAAGGAATCAAGAAGTTGTTGAGCCTCCACACTCTTCAAAAAGCCAAGGCTAAATATGCATTTACTGACCCAAGTATGTACCTTAATCTTACATTGAGTTGCTCTGTAATGACTGGCACCCCCACCCATTCCCCTTCTAAACCTATGTGTCTGTACCAAAATAACCAACAACACTTAATATATCTAGAACAAGATCCTGATTGTTATCTTGTAAACATGGCTATTTCTTTCTTTTCTCTGTCCCCTAAGGCTCAGTCTGTCGGAATACCCTAGTGTTTGCTCAGTCTGTCAGCCAATTTTATTGAGTTTTTTTGTTTTTTTTAGCCGGAATACACTTGTGTGTCTGCTGCAATAGACCAGGCCCAGCCCATTGTGGTAAACGCTTATCGAATATTCTTTTATACAAGACTCCCTAGTGTGTCTGCTGCAATAAACGCTGAATACTACCTTGTTAATCACACTGAATCCTAATCAACAAAATGTCATGGACTGAATCAATAGTATTTAAGAGTAAAATAGAAATAATAACTCGACAGGTAATTATGATTGACAATGTGTTTACAATGATGCATTATAATCAAGCAGGGTGTTAATAATAGAACCATGAAAATCAATAACAATATCAAGTCTGTATATTTCAGACTGACAATACAGAACAATGGAAGATCCTGATACCTGTAGGATATGAAGCAATTTATTAGTAGAATTTGTGGAAGAAGGTATTGAACTAAAAGGTTGAGTTTTCTTGCAAGTCTGTGTTCTATGGCTATGAGAATGTCTTTGGAATTATAATGTAACCTCCAGGATAGGAAGCAATCTATTAATAGTATTGCAGGAACTGCGGGTTGAGTTTTCCTGAATGTTAGTGTTCATATCCCGCCGAAGATAAGACGATGAACCTGAGGACAATTGTAGAAATACAAAAATAAAGAGGATTATCCCCAAAAGGCAATTGCAATCATTCTTATGGTTTCAAAGACACGGAAGAAAAATCATTTACAACAACATCAATAACCTTGGTAATCCTCATATCTGATCTACAAATTATTGTAAATTGTAAAGAGGTTTTCTAAATTTGGATGCTTATCACTGAGAGCATTAATTTGCACCATTCCATTTTTTAATCAGACATCTGTGGTTCCTGCAATTCCACTAAAACTAAATGTTTTATGACGTCATCCCCGCAAAATTTGCTTGTAACAAATAAGACCTTGGGTGTCATAAAACACTCAGTTCTTTAAAATCCCTTTAAAACTGCTGAGTTTATACACTTATCATATACTGGACTCTTGTTGTGTTCACTCATAGCAACACAAACTACCTATGGCCCAAATCCAGAAGTCAACATTTATTCTACTAATTGACTAGTGCATCATAGAATTTGTTTATTCAATTTTGTCCTCTATGAATGCCAAGATGACAAAATCTCTAACTCTCTTCCAGCTTTTTGTTGGAATGGCAGACCAGTTTACTATTTCGCATTGACCCAACATATTTTTTTTTTGGCCGTGCTTGAACACAATTTTTAAAATCCTTATTAATAACAGAAAATTTAAAGTATAGTAAAAATATAAGTACTTACACATTGACCAAACTTCCATGTCAGTACTACCATATTTAATAGATTTAAACCCTTCGAAACCAGCAGCCACATACCAATCTCCATCTTGTAAATCATCAACATCAGTGATTCGCTGGCCATGTTTTTCATAAAGCTGTCGTACACCGTATGGAAGATTTAAATTAGATGGTAGTTTTCCAGTGAGTTCATTTAACAAATCGTTGAAATTATAATATCTATTTGGAGTGACAAACATTTTCTTTCCTTTAAAATAGCGGTCTCCGTTAACATAGAAGTTGACCCTCCTCGGTCGTCTGGGGTCTTTGCCTCTATCATCTTGAAGATCATATTGCTGACGTTGGGGAGATCCACTCTCAGCATTTGACCTCATTACTGAATTCATTTGTCTATTTTTTATTTATTTCTCCAGGTTTTCAAATAACATTTTGGTGTACCAGCCTTCATCTAAAAAATAAAAAATGGAGAAATCAAAATACCATGTGAACTCTCTGAAGATTAAATGCTAAATTTATAATCACAATGACAGAGATTGATGTGTTTCACCAACATTTCAAATAAATCACCAACATTTCAAATAAATCACCACTCCTCAAGTAATTCAACATCCTTTCAAATAAGTCACAAATAAAGTCACTATCCTTTCAAAATAAGTCACAAATAAAGTCACTATCCTTTCAAAATAAGTCACAAATAAAGTCACTATCCTTTCAAATAAGTCACAAATAAAGTCACTATCCTTTCAAAATAAGTCACAAATAAAGTCACTATCCTTTCAAATAAGTCACAAATAAGTCACTATCCTTTCAAAATAAGTCACAAATAAAGTCACTATCCTTTCAAATAAGTCACAAATAAAGTCACTATCCTTTCAAAATAAGTCACAAATAAAGTCACTATCCTTTCAAATAAGTCACAAATAAGTCACTATCCTTTCAAAATAAGTCACAAATAAGTCACTATCCTTTCAAAATAAGTCACAAATAAAGTCACTAACCTTTCAAATAAGTCAGCAACCATTCAAATACATCACCACTCCTCCAATAGGTCACCAGTCTTTCAAATAAGTCACAAATAAGTCACCATCCTTTCAAATATTTAACCAACCTTTCATGTAAATCACAAATAAGTCGCCAGCCTTTCAAAAAAGTCACAGATAGTCACTATCCTTTCAAATAAGTCAGCAACCATTCAAATAAGTCAGCAATCTTTCAAATACATCACCACTACTCAAATAAGTCACTAGCCTTTCAGATAAGTCACCAACATTTCAAATAAGTCACCAACTATTCAAATATGTCACAAATAAGTCACCAACCTTTCGAATAAGTCACCAACCTTTCAAAAAAATTAGCAAACATTCAAATAAGTCACCAGCCTCACAAATAAGTCACCAGCCTTCAGAATAAATCACAAGCCTCACTGAAAAGTCTGGTAGGGCTCACAAAAAATCCAAACCAAATAATCAAATAAATCACCACAGTATCTAAAGCTATATACTACTCATTCCAATCTATAAAATATTGTTAGCAACTGTATATTTATACAAAGTCTAGAATGGTAGAATAATTATATAGACATTATCTAACTTGTTTTCTGATAATTTTATCCAATCAAATATTCTATAGAACCTTGAAACACTTCATTATCATTCTATCTGGTATATCAATAAATTTCATTTATTACGATTCTTTCAAGTCTGAGCTACATTAAGTAAATATTATGTGAAATAAACATTATCAGCTATATGGACTCTCTAAAAGGAATGTTTGGTTAACAAACAGAATCGCAGTGGAAGGGTATACAAAATTTTGCTCTGTTGCAAGTTAATTAGATAAGTTTAGGGAATAAGTTTAGTTGGTAAAAAGATATGGTAAAATAAATATATTAGAATTGGCAGTCCGATATCAAATAGTTTGACAAGTTGCCAAGTTACTATTGTTGTCTAAGATTGGTATATACATTGATCAGTTTACATATAACTTATTGATTTATAATATTGACTATTGACTATTGATCAGTATAGAAGATATTGTCCATATACTTTTCTTACATTGTATATTTATCTATGACAATCCTTATTTTCATAGCTGACAAATTTCAATTATTTCAGTTTTGGAAAAACAACTACATGTACTATTTGACCTTGGTAATTCCTTACTAAGCCTCAAAGTGAAACGAAAAAAATATTTTGTTATGTCAAGGGCAATAACTATAGAAATAGTTACTGAACAAACAAATGAGAACTACCTGTATTATAGTTTGGTGTACATGTATATTGATTGACAGTAAACTGTACAGTTCTGGAAAGAAATCTGGATCTCAAGAACACCAAATCTTATGGATAAAGATGTAAGAGAGCTGACATCAAATATTTTAAATCAAATTCAGAAACATCCTCCTTTCAATGAACAAACATCTTTATACTTTTAGAAATGTCTTCAATTCTCAATTAGGTCATTCTCAGAATGGTTAAAAAATTGCATTTCAGCTTTAGCTGCATTTCTTTTACTTTTACAAGTCATTTGTCTTAATTCAAGAACAATAAATTTTGATTCCCTTTGATGAAAGATCAACAATCAAAATCTTACCAATACGAAAAAGCATGTCATATCTTTTCTAAAAAACTATATCAAACTATAAAATAATTTAGAGTAATATTGCTCCATACACCGTATTTAAATATCTGAATACTTGACCTTCCCGTGGTTATAGAAATAACATGTCAAGACTACTGGTAGCTTAATCTCATGATAATAATTATTGGCTTATCATTATGATATTGACATAAAGAATTTATAGTTTGTCTTAGTATTATTCTTATCTAATCTAGGCAGTCTGCAGATCGATCACAGCGTAGGTTGAGTTAGTATCACGACTGGGGGATATTGGTTCAAGCAAATATCACAATATTTATCATTTATATATCACAATATGAGATATATAGCGATACTTCTTAAATATAGTTTATACTGATATTTGAAAAAATATATTATTTTGTTCATCAACAAATGTTAAATTTGAGAAAACCGTGAATGCATATAAAAAATTACCCTGCCTTTAATGGCATGGAAAAATACATTTATATCAGCATTGTGTACAAACTAAGCCTTCATTCGTCATACTACCTCGGTGCTGTGTTAATACCAGTGATGAAAATTACATATTCATAGATAATTATTGTCCAATCAAAATTGGCTCTGGAATCTTTGTAGGAAATTTCAGCCAAACCACTCATTATGACGCTATGTAAACAAAACTAAATCAGCGTGTCATTAAATGTTTTGATTAATATGTACGATACAGAATTAAGTAAGATGTTCGGTTAAGAATTGAAGCTGATAGAAAATCAAACCTTTGGAATATTTACTGTGGAAAGTGGAAAGAATGTATATTTATCTCTTCAAACGAGTGGTAGCAAATCGATTATGTCTTTTATTTTCCCGACTTCATTTCTGTGCACCGATCTGATTGGTCAGATTTAAATAGCCCAAATCTTATTTCCATGCTCACAAACCGAAGTGGGCTTAGTTTAATATGGGTTAATAAGACCATGTGAAAACCCGTATTCGGGATACGATACTATATCGAACCATACTCTAAACATATAATTTGTGGCCTAACATAAAATTGTTATTTGATCAAATAGAGTTTATGTTAACAAAGATTGATCATGTGTGTCTACAAAAGGTGACAATTCAAATCATTGTCACTCCTTTAAAGGGATAGATTGCCATTTTTGGGGGTTGATTTGAGATTGGAATTTATGTAAATAGTCTTCAGAAGTACTCTAAATTTTTAAAAATTGCATAATTCCTTCAAAACAACCTCAAACTAGGAATTTTATTTTCTTTTTCTAAATATGTTGTTTCTATAATATTTTGCAGAGGATCAAGAAATGATAATGTAAATATCAAACACAGATAATTCTGGACACACATGGATTTGAGGGCTCAAATTTCGGCAGTAAGCTGTTATCACTATTACAGCTTAGCTTGGCTAAAAAATTCCTGTTTCTGAGACTAAGATAAGATTGGTCAAATGGATGGCGCTCCTGTCCCTCTAACTTGAAAAATATTATTTTGACCTAACATAAAATATAGTTTAATAAAATTTTTAGATTAACATTCTTATTCATTACCCAAAAATAAAAAACAAAATCAGAATTAGAAATTTTTATCCATGTAATAATTTCTGTTATGTTGTTATTGATATAAAAAATTCATTAGAAACATCTTGGGGATTGTCAAATGAAGGCTAACCTTTATAAAATGTGACAAAAAAAATTATTATGAAATAATAGTAGGCTGTCGGTCGTTTTGGGTTTGGTTTGGTTTAGAATAGAGTTGGAATTTGCTACAAGACTTTTCTTAAAAAGCACAAACTTTTCTCATCCAATCTAATGATGATACCGCTCGCTTTAGTGCGACAGTGACTTGACAGCCGTAATTATTTGTTTGCCATAGAAACCAACACTTTAAATCGCCTCTTGAATAATAACGTGCCGCACGGACAGGAAATTGTAACTAAACCACGTCAAAATTATTCAGATTGCATTTTTAGATCATAAAGTTTACTTACATTTATCCGAAACTTGACAAATTTTAACGAAATAGACGATATTTGGCCGCTAATTGTGGATATTGATGTCGGCCATCTTGTTTACCTGTGTGACCTAATTCATTAACATAACGGGCTGGATTTGATTATATCAGACCGTTTCTACTTTTTCGATTTACCAGTCCTTTTTCATTGAAATGATTTTAAACGATGACGACTGGATATCAGAAATTTGCTTAGATAATTGGCTTTTAAACAAATAGATCTAATGCAATTTCCAGGTAGAATATGAAAGAAGAAAAAATACGGCGATTCATTTTTACATTACACTTTTTTAAAATCAAAGCTAAAATAAGCTTTAATTGGACGTGAATCTTCGATTCCATTAGACTAATTTGGAGCTGACAAGTTGAAAGAGATATAGGGCCTAATAACCAATCGACTCGACTCAACTCGACTCAAATCATTCAACTGTAGTCTGTACTTTGTTGAATGTTGTAAGCTTGGCCAGTTCTGTTCTGTCCTGTCATAAGGTTGACTCTTCTTTTTCAGCTTATACTAAAAAAAAACCTTCTCAAAACCTAAATCTATAATTTTTACGATATTTCGGAGGATATTTATCTCGTTTTCTTTACCATGGAACTATTATTACAACTCTTTGTCTCTATAAAGTCTACCACTGGTACCGTAACACTGGCTACTTTGGTTTCTTTGTGGTCTGATTTATTTTAAGTTTGTGATTATCTCCCCCTTAGTGTGTCAGGGGAGGTAATTAATTTTCCAACCAATCGTTAGCGAGAATTGTTCAAGATGGCGGCGCCCAGAAGCAAATTTTGGTAGTGTTGTTTTTGGTATGATGTCCAAATTTTAGATAATCTGTGTTATTTTGCAAGAAGTATTTCAATTTGCTTGAAAACTGCTCATTTATCTGATTTCATTTCGAGATATCTGAAATTAAATCAGATTTATAATTGTCACCGAATTGCCCCTCCCATCCAAATATTTTGTTTTTGAATGGGTTTATTTACATGCGGCCGAAGGGATGAGATGTTTAATCATGCCCGCATGATGCCCCATGATGTCATTTCCTTATCGCTCTAATTAACAGTGTCCTCTCAGAACAATGAGTCACTGATTTTGTAAAACAGTGTAGACTGCCAATTATTTATTTTACTTTTTGATTTTTATAACACCTTGAAAAAAGGTGACCACATGACTTATTAACCCGGCGAACCATGCTTGACTATATCTATTTGAACTTTGGCTTCCTAATGGATTTACAAAGAATAACATCTAAGGGCATTATAAAAGTGCATTCACTTCCACAGATCACTATAAAGTTATGCTGTATAATTATATGCATGTACCAGTATTCTTTCTTTTCATTTTTTATGGATGTTCAAAGTAGAAGCTACAGGAAACTGTTAGTTTTCTGTTGTCAGGTTAGACCAGCAGACTAAAAGATCTGACCTATTAAGAAATGACTTAATTTTTATCTCTGTCTTTTTGTAGACTACTACAGTGTGATCAAGATGAGTGGGAAAAGAAATTTGATTGAAACTGATCCAGATTATGAAGATGTTTCGATTCAGCAAAATAAACGTCAAAGGGTGTTGGAAAAAGATGGTAATTATATTGTTTTATCATTAAGATTTACAGGTATTTCGGTTTTCTGAAATATTTTAGCAATGTCAGGGACAGACAGAGCAGTCTGGGACCCATGGGCCTCCTAGAGCACTTTGGGTGGTCAAACCCCTCACAGTTTCTGTGCACTGTGTTGGTAAATATGGTGAATTTGAATTGACCTGCACCATTGGTATATGAACTTAAACTTAATTAGCAACTTTAACAATCACAAAGAAAATTTTTAACATGATTTTATATTAATGACATTATTTATATTTTATAGCAAAGAAAGCTGCCGTTAAAAAGATTGAAAGTGTCATACAAACACAGTTTAATATAGAAATAGAAAATAAAGAACATGAAGTAAACATTATTGATCAGGTAAAGTTAAATCAAGATTCAGCACTAAGTGCTCATGTCAAGGATAGAAATTGCTTAATGTATGCAGGTCTAGTTAAATGGAAATTCCATAAATCCTACTAGCAATCTCTGTGACGTACAAAGTGTTTTTCCCTACACATAAATCATAAGCCTAAATCATTGGGCATCCTCGTTGAAACCATGACTTATAAATGAATAAATGAGACAATGGTTCACTCAATCTAAATAGCTTGATGGGTCCATGAGTTTTTTTTTATATGAGAGGGTTTCCAGTACTGATAAAATATTCAATAGTTTTATGCGTGTGTTCATGTGTACAAAACAAATCATTTTTAGACCCATGTTGATTGGAGGTTCCTCACCAAATCTTTAAAGATGGTTTTCCTTATTTTTTAGTGTCAAATTAAGTAAGCTATTTGATTGGTTTTTTTAATGAATTATCAAGTATTATTCTTAATACTGCGTAATAATTAAGATATTTAACCAATCATAAATGTCCATGTATGTACAGTCTGGATAAACAAAAAGTCTTTTTTGACCTTTCTTGATCGGTCACTCATCGGAATTCTGCTGTTAATTCTCTTCTGATTTAGCTGATTATGAATTAATTATGGACATGTGAGACAAACTGGTGTTTTTACAGGTCATAAGAACACTTCTACTTTCTATTCATATAAGTATTAGCATTTTCATGTATATAAATGAAAATAAGGGAACCCATCTTTAATAGTGGACTATTCTTTATTCAATTTGTGCCATTTCTTACCCCCATTTTAGTTATGAAATTATTAATTTTTTTTTGCAGAAATTATGTCAGTCGAGATTAATGATGGACAGATTAAGAGCTTGTATTGTGGCTAATTATTATGGTTCATCAATACACCAAAAACATAATTTGGTATGTCTAACTTTATATGAACAAAATCTTGCTTATTTTTGTATTTTTTATCTGATTTCGTTTTTGGCGAATATTTTCCACACAGTCCACACTGTGTTCCAAGGCATTGTAGAAGGGTCTAGTATAAATGATATTATTGGTAAAAACCAAGCCTGTATACTGAAACAATAAAGTTAAAGTGTCATATAAAAATTAAACATGTAAATTTTCAAATTAGATGTTATAGTTTGTATCTCACTAATTGCATGCTTACAGCAAATAGAAGATATTCATTTGAAACTGTTTGTATTATGATGTAAAAGAAGATGAAAAAACATTGCTATAATTAATGTTAATTTTTTGAAATGTTATAGAAATCTAATGTACAGCCTACTATACATCCAGCTGTTAAAAATCATCTTGGTAAAACAGTTAAAGATGGTAGATCTACCTCCATTAAACCTAATGCTACTGTAACATCAAACAGTGAACATATTAATACCTCTACATCAACTTCAGTAAGTTTACATCCTTCTCTATTTATCAGTGCTTTGTGTTGCTTTGTTGGTCATGTTTCAGTAGAGCAGGGCCCCCCGTTCCAGAAAAAATCTTATGATAGGAGTAAGTCTTAAAGTCGCAAATTTTACTTGTAGAAAATTGAAAGTTAGATTTTTTTTTGAAAGGTGACCCAGAAAAAACTGGTTGTACTTGATCTTTAGCACCTCAATCGGGTGATTGAACATGTTTATTTTCAAATAGACAAACAGTTTGAGAGAAATGACCTCATCAATAATGATGATATTAAAAGTGAGGATGGAAATTAGGTTTTGAATTATGAAGATCAGGAAAAATGTTAATGAAACTTTGTTATTTTAGAAAGTTGTTGATAAATCCACTACATCAGAAAGTAAAATCATGACCAGTCCACAAGCGTCTAGAGATTCTAGGTTTAAGATAAAAAAGAGAATTATTGTTGGAAATGTGTCAAAGTAAATACATTTATATTTTGATTTTTTACTTAAACTTTGGCTTATCTTCGTCTACAGATAGAAAATGTCATTCTGTTCCCTAAATTTATGCCATTTTACACATGATAGTAATGTCTTTTTTTATTAACCTGTGTGCAATAAATCAATTCTAGTTCACATTATTGTGTGTGATCTCTTCATAATTGTTGCTACAGGGTGATTATTATGACAATATCATGTAAATGTTTTATGAGGCGTTTTTGTGGGCCGATTCGATTAGGTTGTCGATTTGGTGGATTTGGTTTAGATTAGCAGTGGTTTTAGATTAGCAGTGGTCCACAAATGCGAAATTCAATTCGGCGATTTGGCAATATGGCTGCCTCCGCTGACAACCAATGAAAGACCGCTATTTTGATTACATTAGCAACTTCCACATGCCGCCATCTTGGAAAAGCCTAATCAAATCGCCAACACTCGTACTTTAGGTAAACTGTCTCACAAATGCACCGATTAGCCTAATCGTCCTGGCTCACAAACGCACAAAATAGCTAGTCTACCTAATCGAATCGGCCGACAAAAACGCCAATGTTCAGGACTACTATTTGATTTGAAGTAAGTATTTAAAATAATTTAGAATGATTTCATTATAAATTCTATTTTCTAGATATATACCAGTAGAACAGCGAGAAATCAATGATCAATCAACACATAAATGGATGGTGTATGTTCGAGGTTCTAAAGACTCACCTAGAATTGAAGGATTTATTAAAAAGATTTGGTTTTTTCTTCATCCAAGTTATAGACCAAATGATTTAGTTGAGATAAGGTATGTAGAAAATATACTAAATACAGAAAGAAACATCACATCTGAAAGTAACAGTGACTAGCAGTTCTGGTCTATAAATCAATTTAATTTCTACAGCTTAATTTTTGATGCCTTAAGAAACCCTTAGGTCTATTTAAAATTGCTTTCTGTTGAATATTGACTAGTTGCTTGTCAACAGTAGCTGTTTTTGTCCCCACCACCCTAATCTCCTATGTCTTTTCTAACATATTGAAGCATTTGAAAATAAAGATGTATACATCATACATACACATGACATTTTGAATGAAATGTTGTATTTTTCAGTCAGCCACCATTTCATCTAACTAGAAGAGGCTGGGGGGAATTCCCTGTTCGAATACAACTATTTTTTATAGATGGTCGTAATAAAAAGGTGGATATAATACATAATCTGAAGGTATGTTTAATGTTTTATAGTTTGGATTGCGAGCTGATTTCATACCAAATAGTTGTTTCACAGTGATGCTCTATACCAGCTGGTCCTCGTCCAAAACATACCAATTTACAGCTGGGTCGACTGGAATAGTAAGGAAAGATAACTTTTTCAAGATCTTAAGATTTGCACATACAGACCACCATTTGTTCGAAATAACCAAGAAAATGATGTCATATAAAGATTTCAACACTTTTTCTGACTATGCTACAGCTTATCCTCAAAGATGTATTTTAAGATTTAAAGAATTGAATTATGAAAAACCTTGTAATTTCAGCTTGATAGAACCTATACTGGTTTACAGACATTAGGGGCAGAAACAGTAAGTTATTTTCTTGTTTTACTTTGAAATTGTTCAGTTCAGATGGACTAATTGTTATTTCTAGCGACGGAATCTTTGCCTTACTCTGAACATAACAGAGTGTATTTTCTGTGTCTTTCAGTATAAAGCCTCATTTCTGTTCATTTGATTTGACATAAATTGGTATGTCCATTTGTTTCTGTGTTAATCATTCATTTTAATTATCTGAACGATTTTACCGTATTAACCTTATATATTTGACTGTATTTGTAGGTAGTTGATGTAGAATTAGAAAGAGAGGTGACACAAGTTAATATACCAAAACCTATTTCTATAACACGCAACAAAGCCAATGCAACCAATTCCACCTCCAAAACTAAAGAGCCTACAAGTGAAGATAACTCTGAGGAACATGCTTTAATTACCTCCCCATTAGAAAGGAACCATACAATCAGTCATTCTCCAGTGAAACAGACTTTGGTTGAGGACAAATCTCCAGCTAAAAAAATAAAAACTGAGCCTTCATCAAAGCCAAAAGTACCACTAGAATTAAAGAAACCAGATTTAGGACACAGAAAGGAGAATCTTAAGGAGTTACTTTTAGATCCAAATTTTGGAAAGAAGAGGGGTGAGCTTTCAGACCCAACTAAAGCCACACCCACTCTTACATCCTCTCCTAAAAATCAAACTAAAACAGTTTACCTTCGTTGTAAAGATGCTAAAGGAAATATTTTACTACTTCCTAAAGTGATTGTGAATGATAATAGTGCTATTGTTTCAAATGGTCAAAATGTACCTGCCAATCAAATGAAAACGCTTAGATTGACAGCTTCAACAACCAATCTGGTTTCGGTAAATAATTCAGTGACTGTAGCTAAACCTGTCAATAAAACTACATCTTTGTTAGTTACCTCCCCTGGAACTACCCAGACCTCTGCAACAAGCAAGCAAGTAGGAGCTAAAAGCTTGATACAGAATCATTCTTTAGGAGCTAAAATTGTTTTACCTCTGAACGCTTCAAATTGTTATCAACAACCAAAGAATCCAGTGGTTGTGTCCAATAATTCCAGCGTATTTGCTACTCCACCACCCAGCCCTAGTTTTAAACTTATGGTGACACCAAAGGGTCTACAAGCTCTACCTCAGACTAAAACACAGGTTTCAACTGGTATCTCTACTCAACAAAATACCATAACAATCTCCCCTCAAACAACACAGAACTCTAGTGCCCAGTCATTATTGAATGTGGCGAAAGTACAAACAGTGCCAAATATTGTCAAACAAAGTGTTCCAAGTGGAAAACCAGTTACAATGGTCAATTTGTCATCTTTGACTTCTCAGTTGAAGCCGCTGGCTACAAATTCTCAAAATATGAAAACTATAACGCTTACAAATTCCAAAACTCTTATGAAGAAAACTCCAGAAATAACGAAGGCAAATGTAGCCCCTAAAATGATCCCATTGGTAACTGTGAACAATATAAACCAGCCTCAGACAGCCTTGAAAGTTGTAGGAACTAGTGCTCCTCCAAGTAACAGCAAAACATTTTCACTTCTTGGAAAAAATGAAACTAAAGATTCTTCTCAAAAGCCAGTTTCTTTGATTTTGAATTCACAAATTCAAAAGTCGTCAGTATTAAAGGATGGTTCAGTGCCTAAAGTGAACATGTTATCAAATGTGAATCCAGTAAAACTTGTTATTCAAAACAACCACATCAGTGCTTTGACTCCAAAGGTCAGCAACCATATTGGGGCAGCCAATCATTCGACCAATCCACAAAACAAATCTCCACAAGTAGTGCTTGCCAGTGTTGGTTCCAGAACACTTTTGCTAAAGGTGCAACCAGACGGACAAATTAGTCAATCAGATCAAGCAGCTTTGCAACAACTTTCAAAATCATCCAATGACATCAAGATATCTATGAAATTAACCAATCAAAATGTAATTGACAAGCTGACTTCTGTCAATCAAAGTCCAATGACTGTGAAGCAGCAAATAGATGAAAAGAAATTTCTCAATGGACCAAAACTTAATATTTCTGCCCTCAGCCAGGTTACTTATGATAAAGATTTAGATAAACGAAGACTTGGATTGAAAAAGAAAGTTCCAAAAATAGAAGATGAAAAGATCCCACCTCTTTTGTAAGTATAAATCAACTGTTTTTTTGTGATTTGTGAATTATTTAGGCAAAACTAATGCATCAAGGGATTTGAAGATATATGAAACTGGTGATTTGCTATCTCTTGCTGTTGAAAACATTTTGAGGAAAATTTCCATATGTGTAAAGCGAAGTAGAGACATACCTACTTTATCGAGACTCTAACTTTTGCAATGCCAAGGTGACATTAGCTCCTACACTTTTCTTTGGTTTGAGGTTTTAGATGGACCTGTGCAAGTCATGTTACGATATTGTCCGTCAATTTGACTGGATGTAATTTCTTAAATCATTGCAAAACTGAAATGCCATCTTTGTTGAAGAACCAAATATTTCGATAGTTTTATGAACCTGTTTATATTTTTCAGACCTGAAAATCACAGTGATATATTGTCTTTAATAAAAACAGCAGTTAAAAGACATCCATTAGTACAACATAATGCAAGTTAGTACTGCACATCTCAAAATTTAATATGCTGAAAGCTAGTCTTGACAGATCGGGCCTCCTTATTTCCTTCCTTTCACTTCAATTTCACTTTACATTTAAAGTTTAGTGCATCATCTTTTCTGCATGTTTTTTGTGAAATGAACCAACTCTGTATATGAAAACACAGTGTTAACTCAGCCCAGGTGTTTTTACATTTCTTTACTAATTCCAGATCGCAGCACCCATCCCTACTGTGCTCACTCTTATAATCAATGGTTAAACTGGAATATTGGCAAAAGACGTGCTTCAGAGGTAAAATATTTCCTTCTTTGATATCAAATTGATTTCTTGAATGGTTAGTTGGTAGGATATAGGTAATATGATTGTAATGGAGTACAATTACTTAGGCGAAGTTTCAGCTAAGATTCTCTATATTCTCAATTTGCAAAGTTCTCTTCTCTATGACAGACAAATTTGATGACCAGGAGGTGTCAATTAAAAACAAGAAGATTCTCTGTAGTTGATGTAATTGGTCTTTTTGGGGATTTTTCTATTCTCTGTATTATTTCATCTAAAATATTTGTCCATTGCTTTAAAGTTGAAGAATTGTGTTAACTTGAGCTTCCTTAATGTGGTCATTGTGGCAAAAGCAAAATAAATACATCTCTTATCTCATTTCATTTTTTAGTGGCAAAGAGCATCATGGGTACGACAGTACATCATCCAATATTTAAAAACAGACGTGTTCAAAGGGACACAACTGTGGTCAACTAAACAGATTATGTATTGGTGTAGATTACATGCCTTTAGTCCACATTATTTAGGTAAAATCTTTAAAGATTAATCCTATAGAATTCCTTGTGTAAATTTCAGGAAAAATACAAAACATTTTGTCAGTTTCCGTGAACTATGAGAAGTGAACTTTCTCAGTAAATTTACAAGATACAGAGTTTATATATTATAATTCGCTGAAGTAATAAGATTTTAGATGATATCCAATGAGCAAATATTTTATAAACTCATTTACATTCCAGAAAAGAAAGAAGAGCTAAAAACTGAAGAGACAAAAAATAAACCAGAGACAACACCACTGCCAATCAATAGTTTAACAGATCTCCAGCTTATTATTAATCAACTACCAACTAATCTACCAGGATCATCTGATAGTGATGATGAAGTTGATATTCTACACATAGGTAGGTAGCATCATTTCAAAGATGATAACATGGAATTAACAATCAGGTTCTAAACTCTGATGTCATGTCAAAGTTTTTTTCAGTGATTGAAGTGAAACTCCATTATCTCATTATTATTTACAACAAACATCAAGTACAGAACAGTAAAGACATTTTCATACATTTCCATTTATTAATGCTTGAAAACACTCTCTGTGGTGAAGTTATTGTTTCTAGTGTTTCTTTTACAGAATATCATTATTTCTCAAATCAAAACTTGTAAGAAAAGAAGAAGTATTTTTTCTCTTTGAATTTCTAGCCAGTCTTGAACCTAAAACAACATCATACAGGCCTTACATTCAACATAAATAACTTTACTTTTTATAGATCCTCCAACAAAGGTGAAAGTTAAAATAAAAGAAGAGCCAGTAGATTCTGATAATTACAGTATTCCATCAATTTATCTACCTCCCTCTGAACCAGCTGAATATATACAAGACTCTTGTCAGAAGGTTTGTTAGATTGGTTTTAAACTCTCCAATTTATTTCTTCATTATTGACCCTTCTTCGGGTACAATCTGCATTGGCCACTTTTTGATATAGAGTAAATATTAACATGACAATCTATTTAAAGTTCACAATGTGATTTTATCATGTTTGCTTTATAATTTCTGTAGATTGGTGTCAGATTAAAGCCAGTACATCTACAAGACAATGTGTATGGGTCAGCCTGTGAAGATATACTGTATTCAGTAAGTACCATTAGTTATTCCTTATATTATCTGACTAAAATTCCCTTTTTCTTAAGTTTTTTCTCATAAATTCTGGATTGATGTAGCTTTTATCACAATGGTAAAATAGTTGATTTTGTTAATTTTTTAACAGATTGTATGAGTGTTAAAGAGCCAAAATGATATTCATTTGTCTTAATTTTTCAGGCTATGCAAAATTTTGTCGAAGATTTATTACGAAAATCATTTTCCTTCAAACATAGCAGATCAAAGTAAGTAGTAGATCTTCAAATATCACAATGAATGAAAAAATAGATATTTGACTATTTATTGTTTATAAAGGTTGAAAACCGACACTGAGAAGACTATGGCGAACACTGGCTGAGGCATCAGAATTTTTCTTGCCTTGAGGATTGAACTTAGCCGGCTAGCTTTTTTGGGGGGTCGTGCCTTACCATAGAAACATCACTGTATGGAAAGGATTCACCATATTGTGTTAGTGACACTGTAAAGGTGCTGTTCACTCCGCAAGTGTCCGCATGTAATAAAAATGTACTTTATTTTCAGAACTGATGATACCATCAAAATAGAAGATGTCCAGAAATCTATTACAAGTTCCAGTTCTTTAGATTTTCTGACTAATTCCCATCTTGGTTTACAACCAGACGGCACATTCCCTAATATTAGATGACAGGAATAAGAATATGATTTAACTGTAATCTGTATTTCGGTGAATTAATTGGTTGTGGCCTGTAACTGAGTCCAGGCTTGTGACTTATTATGTTATTTGTAGTCCGTAGCCAAGAGAAAAGCTTAGTTGATGTCCTAGGTTAGAAGGATTCCGATCTCTGCTTATGGTCAGCACTGTATCTTGTCAGGGGGAGAAACGCATTCGGGTGGAATGAGTAAAAGTAGGATGTAAAACTCCATTTCATTTAGTATCTGAATCTGTGGCTTGAAAATGTATTATGTGTAGTCTGTAGCCATGTGAACTACTGAGTTGTAGTCTGTATCTCAGGGAATGCGTCAATCATGTTTTTCAGTATACAATTAAATAAGAATTATATAGTTAGTAGTTGATAACTAGCTGTAATTTGTTTCCCTGTGAATTTATTACAATTAAATTGTTATACAAAAATTCAACTGGTCTTATTTATTGTGCATTCTTTGGGTAGAAATACATAACATAAATGCCTGTTTCACTGGAAAATTCTCAATTCTCATGTCAAGATGCAATAATATCCAAATTCATCCATACCATCATGTGTCATTGTACAATAAACACATGCCCTTCGTGTCTTAATGCAAATATTCAAAAAAAGCCATATTTTGTTACGTGAAAATTTCACTTTCTTGAGGCACTAAAAGCAAATTGACGTCATAGTTCTTAGCGGACAAAGTCTTCAAAGTCTTATTTCATCTGATGGATTTATAACACTTTCATAAAATAAGGAATGGTTTTATAATAATACGTTATAATAATAACAGATGACATATAACAATATAAAGATATAACAAATATATTGAAATATATACAGCTAATGTAACAGTTTAGGTAATTATCATAACAAAGATTACAAGAATTTCACAAAATTGTAACAAAGACCCCCATTAATCATAACAAAGGATGGCATTATCATTAACTTAGATGGCATTAATCATAACAAGACTTAAATCATAACAAAGATCTCAATATTTATTACAAGTACCTTACTAATCATAACAAATACCTCACTTATCAAAACAAAGACCTCATTATTAACACAGCGACCTCACCAATCATAACAAATACCTCACTAATCATAACAAAGACCTCACTAATCATAACAAATACCTCACTAATCATAACAAAGATCTCACTAATAAAAAATAACACATCTTTCATTTGCCGTTTTTCCTAAATTCTATTTGGTCCCTTCATTGAAATTAGTCAAACAATTATGGACTATAACTTCATATGAATAAAACAGAAATGATTAATGTACAATGTAATGGAGCTAGAAACTTATACCGTGAATTGAGATGGATACAAGAAAATGGACATGAGTAGAAATTGATGTTCATAGTTTTGAGTATTCGATGATTTAATATTTTATTTATACTGAATCAGAAAAATATGATAAGAGATATTTATTCAGATAACTCCGATCATTCTAAATAAATTTATAAAAACATCCTGTTCTTCAAAAGATTCCTGTTTATTATGAGCGCTGGATAAAAACTATTTCTACCAAAAGGTGACAAAGTTACATATCTCGGATGGGACTATTGAATATACCGAGCTATTTTCTATTTTGTCATTGCTCATTTTTGCTTAAAATATTGAATTGACCATCCTATAAAGTTCAGCTCAGTTTCGGCTGTCTATATCAGTTTCTAGAATTAACTTCCGACGACCGGATCTCCTATAGCCTAATCTAGCAAAAATGTACCACGCCAATTAAGAATGTCGCTATTTCCAGGGCGTTATTACTATTCTCGCTCAATGCCATTAGTTCATAATTTTGCCGATAATATGAAACGATAAAGTCAATAACGACAGGCAAGTGACAACAAGGACTGTTTGTTGGATTGCTGCTTAACCAGACGTCGAATTTTGATTGTAAAAAGTGATACAGATATCTAAATTAGGGTCTTTCAACTTTTAAAGTTAATATTTAAACGATTAATCTCCCTTTAAGAGACAGTCCGTGGTCGTATATTCCATTCATAAAATCTTAATAAAACTATATTTACATTTCAACAAAAGTATATATCAACAATTTTTATGCCTTATTATTAAAGAATTTCACTCTAGTCATAAGACTAATAAATTTAGGTAAATCAATGGTTTTGTCAGGTCCTGCGGTAGATTTGATTAACATTTCTATATCATTTTCTTCTAAATGTCGTCCATCTCTGGCCTTTAACCCTTTCATGGTGTCAAAACATTTAACTATGTCTATAGTACCACTGTGGTCTTTCTCTAATGAATTGAATAAATTGATTGTGTCTTTAGCACTGAAACGAAAATGTTAAAAAGTTCAGTAACGATATTATGGAAGACATTAGTGACCATTTTGAAACAAAGCCCAAGTTGCCTGGACAATATACATGTATGTATATTTGACATTGCTGGGTCTTTCAGGAACCTTTTGGGTATCATTATTGAAGAAAATTTTAATCTAGAAGCACCATATGGAAGCGTTTAGCGGCCAATATTATAAAACGTATAAACTTTTATATGGTGGCATAACTTGGCCATTATTCTGAGATAGATATCATGCTGTTACGTTTAATCCAACTTACGTGAAGCCTGTTGAGCTGCGAAATCTCAAAAGCTATACGCACATGGTAGGGTATTGTCGTACATGTTTTAATTGCAAATTTGAAAATAAGTAAAGACATATAATACTCACTCTTTTCCCATACAAGTATAAAACTGTTGAAATTCCCATAAACTAAACTCGTTATTTTTATCTTTATCAAAAACGTCGAACATAACATCGGCTTCTTCTTGTGTTAGGTTGAATTCGTCTTCTAAAAGTTTGGTAGCATCGTGTCGTTTTAGTCTCCTCACAAAATTCTTGGTGTATTTATCAAACATAGTTTGGATTTCGGGCCTGAAAATATATTGAATGTATAGATAATTACACAAAAGACAAGGCATCGTGATTTAATTTAGATTGTTCGTAAACCCATATATATATCATCTCTGCATTAGTGATTTCAAGAGTGTATTGCAACCAAATTAGTTTATAAGTCATTATCTGGGTTCTTTTCTCGGTCGGCATTGGAAAGTCTGGTAAGTCACCTTCCCGTCGACCAAGCTGTAAATGGAAACATCTATGACAGCATAATTGGCCAACGACCTGATGGAAGAAAGGATCCTTGTGAACCTAAGTTGATATCCTTATAAAAAAAAAGGCTGTTTCTTTATCTTTCTTTTAAGTCCAAAACAATGGCATGTCCTTCCAAAATAAAATAAAACAATGGGTATTTGATTTGTCAAACTTTCGCAACCTATACCATAACCTACATGAAAGGGCAAGAGAAAAAATGAAAACGATTATTCAACTTAAAAAGCCGTTTATTAGAGCCAGTAGTTTGTATGATGATAATTATATGTAGGGTGGAACAAAGAAAATTTCAAACGTGAGAAAATACATTAAACTATTTCAATATATAAAATCCTCTTTCATGTTTATAATAGTCTGTATAACCTAGTACTTTTTTTTATTTCCTGATGAGATATTTTAAGTGCAGTTTGTGACAAATATTAGCGTAATATGTAGTACATAGAGTATGAATTCTAGTTTAAAAAATGTTATTCTAGATTCATTCACACTTGAGGACAGAAAGTGTCTTGCTAATTCCCCTCCCAACACCCCCCCCCCCCCTCTTCTCTCCTTATCAGTGAATAGATGGGATAGATATTGAATAGTTTCGAACATGTTGAATAGAAGAGACGAGGATAAACCACACCTCTAGTCACAAAACTTCGATATATAGTACGGAATATTGGTGATCACATATTAAATGAAATGCCTCAGAAACATCTTATACAACTCTTCGCTTAGGATTATCAAGATATTCTTCTGCAAAAGTGCACTTCACTAGAAGTAAATACTTACAATTTCATTAAGTTGTATTTGACAACCCGATAATTATTGCGTATATAATTCAGATTAAAGCAGGCCTCCCCGCCTTGTATGTCAATATACACCTACTTTATGCATAAGTGTCATTTAATTTATCAACAGTGTACTTATGTTAAGAATTAAATTCAATGTCAGTATAACTTACAGTAGCATAGGCTGGGGTGAGAGAGGAGGTAGCTGGGTCCTGGGTTCGGAAGAAGAAAACACCCTTGAACTTTAGCATGCTCTCTTCATGTGACCTTTGCCAGTGCTTCTATAAGAGAGTACGTCTATCTTCTATAACACAAAAGAACCAAATACAAGTACCTCGCCGAAAAGTTTCGGCATCTCAGCTTATGTTTTCTTCATTAAAGGTTTTGAGCATTACCTGTCCCACTATTTTATAGCCTACGAGTTTTATCAATGCTTAGTGTGTAATATAAGTAAAATATTCACACACAAAAAAAAAAACGTTTTACTCGAATTCCTCTATTCAATTCTAAAACCCGTGATTAGAATCTTCTTATAGATTAACTTTCTTGATAAAACGAACTAGTGTGGTTTTATTAACCTATTTAGACAACTCGTACAAACTGTCACATTGTCAAAAACTATCTGCATGACATCTTCATATTGCATATTTCACAAGGAAAATAAAACTCAGTGAATGCACATCCTTGTTCTCATTCGTGTAACCAGCAGAGCACGACGACCCAGTTTATATTGTTGACGTAAATGGGTTGCTGTGAAATAGGTTTGCACATTAGACATAATGCAACTGGAGGACACAATCATCTGGACACAAGAGTTCTAGAAAACTGCTTCGTGGTTTCTTTGTGGGCAACCGTTAAGCATTGTAATGTGATAATTTCTGATTCTGACTGAAGGAAATGAAGACAAACATCGTACAAAAAGGAACGCCAGCATCATTCTGGGGGTGATAATTACTTTGAAGATAAAATATTTCTGGCGATTTCATTTCACATGCTGATCTACAATTGCTTGAGATTCTCATCCTGTCAACAGAAACGGCCATTGTCCAGAGCTCATTTCTGCTTGCGTGTTGGTCATGATATTGAGTCTGGTGTTTCCTATGATAGTTCATTGAGACTGATGATTCGTGCAATGGCATGAAAAGTGCTTTTTCCCACCTGTATTACTGACAAGGTGACCTGATGTTCGTTAACCATCCTACATATTTCTCAGAGGTTAATGCCCAAACATACAATCGTAGAGTAAAAATTGTTTGTGTGTACATATGAAGATGTTGACCTAAATCCAAGCTGACATTAAAATACACTCAACTAAATGTTAAATCTTTAACAAATCTCATTAAAATGTTCAGCCTTCAGGACATTTGAACAACACGTCCTACCCTTCTACTACCACAAGTTAGAGTGGACTTCAAGAATGTTTGCTACGAAACAGACGGGCTTCATGATCCCTTCTCTATATCCTTATCTCCTTCGATTCTGTATTCGAACTTCTCATCTGAGCATTAGTTAAAAACTGCAAATATCTGGCAAGCTGTAATTGACACCTCTTTTACAAGAGTAGAAATGGATTGTTTTAGATGCATGAGAGAATGCAAACTGTTTCATACCATCGGCTTTATTTGAATGTTACCTTGATTGCATACTGAATGAGTTTGTCTCTTCTGTTTCAAACACAATACGTTGCACTCGTTAAACTCCATTTCATTTCAATGTAAAGGATAAAGCATGTGAACAATTCATCTTCACACAAACACTATTAACTAGCAAGCTTGCACGTATACCAATTGTCCGATACAAATTACATCGTTCTTAATGAAAAAATTACTGAACGGTCCAGTGAGGTCAAATACATGTCAACTTAAATAAGACTTGACCATAGTCAATGAAAACTCACTCACAATCTAGGTAACAATTTGTTCACAACTCAACGACCCGAGGTAAATTCAATATAACACATATTCACACTTTTTAAAAGGTAGAATCAATTGTTTCGGATTGATAGAATAGCGCTCGAAACGACGACAATTCCAGTGAGATTGAATCAATTGCAGAGATTAATTCGTCACTGATTACCAAATCACTGTGGACAATCACAAACTGGACTCCTAGTTTATCCTAGGCGTACCTATAACATATCTTCGGTAATTTGCGAAACGTAGTTCATCTAAACTATAGTAAACGGAACTTCTCTTTCATATATGCTGAAATTAAATAGTTTTTGGACGATGCCTTGATCCTTAGCCACTGTTAACTCTTCACTCAAAAGCCTCCATTGAGTCGGCCGTAGGGTATAAGCAGCCTGTGTATAAAAGGTTGGGGTTTTCAAAAGTTTGGGAAGCAAGGATCTATAGGTAACAATGTGTTCACCAACCAGTATCATCTGTCTATTCAACCAAATAGATATTAATGTACTGTAATGTATGTTAACTGTAATTAAGTACCTTGTTTGAGTTTAGAATTGTGCTTAATATTGATTTTCTGAATCACTGGTAATTAAGTCAAAATTAACAAGGTAACAAATTGTTAACCTAGTTATCACTATATTATAGTCAGAACTATGCTTACAGTTTTAGTCGTTAGTAGGCCAATGTGTCCGATATTGAAATTGCTTCAAGGATGACCATAACCATAACAGAATACTACCCATTAGTCATTGACGAGTAACAGTGTTATACCTCGATAGTAGGACTATGCGTGTAAAATGCCAATTGTCTTCTGTCAAATGTTATATGGGCTGCTTATGACAATTCTTCACCAACGGTTTGCAAATTGAAAAAACGCTATCTTATTATAAATGGGGGCGTAATATACATTTGATTAGAGAATAAAAACAGTTAAATTAAACTTGGATTTGACAAATTGGCGAATTATCTCGTGACAGATTTGACAGTAAAGCAAGTGAAAGGTGATTGATAGGTTTGTAATAATTAGTTAGGGTGACTAAGATCACCTAGAGATAAACCCGATTAATATCTATATACGTACGGAGATATACCTGGATAATCAGCTATGTCCTGAAGGATAATGGGGTCATCCTAGTTTTTTTTAGGTCAATTCATACAACTGTCCATCAAAAATGTGGACAGTGGACTAATTAAGAGGGCATCTTATTATGTTGGACTATTTGCAATGATTGTCACTCACGTCGAAACATTTAGGAAAGTAGGGCGTAATGCTCCATTTAATTTCAAAATTCAGTTTCTCACGTAGATAGTCGAACTCATTCCTCCAAACAGTGACAGTCTACAGTCTAACTTAGGTTGGTGATGGGCTCAAAAATATCGCTCGTAGCTCTCACAGGACTTTCTGAATCAGCGCTACAACCTCAGGCTGCGAAAAGCAGTGTGTGAGCTCAATTTATGATCATATTGAGTGATGTCATGCTGCCCGAAGCCAAATATGCTCCTAGATGAATTTGCCGCATAAAAAACTGATTTTCACTGCAATTTGAAATAATCATTGTTATCTTCCATTATCATACCTCTATTAAATTGTTTAAATTACAATATAATCTTTTATCTTTGAATTTTACCATGAACACAGCACGCTCATACATTAGTCGTAACATCCACAGTTGGTTTACCTAGAGTACTTTATAATAACTAATTGCCTGAGACACTGAGTTCAAGATTCAATCAGATGACTGAAACCAGGCCGAATTTCAATATCTTTCAATAAATAAACCGAGTACAAACGATCCGAACGCAAAACGAAACCTGAAATCCAAAACAACATTTTGGCGAATATGAGTTTATGGTTATTTCTTATATAGTGAAAAAATAGAGACGAGTGTTTCTATTGAACCGTCAAGTATGTATTTTCAATATAATAATAATTGTAAGCCTTTGGACTTGTAGATAGAAATAAATTTGTTCCTCTTACTGAGTCATTCGAGTGAATAATCAGCATAATTTTAGACTCAATCATAACCTTCGCTTCTTCTAAATTTTCCTCAAAGATTTAGACGAATTGACCCACACTTTGTAATATTGTATTCTCGTAATTACGATACTTCGACCTTCCCCTATTTTACTTCCAAATAACCTGAATGATGTTGTTATTTCGACAATCTCTTCATGATCATCATGATTATTTTACTTCGACTTCCGTTTATGATGATTCTACTTCGACAATCTCTCATGAATATTATAGTTCGACCTTCTCGCTGTTATTTTTTTCACTATCAAATTGCCTGCGTGGTATTTCGATTACATTGTATATCCATGATTATGTCGACATGATCTTTCGGTTCGATTTCATATTCAATATGAACCAATGTAAATTAAGGAAACGGAGAATGAAAAGCGATAGAGTTTTACGTCCACATTTTCCACTATTTTAACGGGGCGTATTAAGGTTACGAAGACATGGAAACCACAACTGGATTAGTCATTTGTGTTCAATAGTACTTGAATTGAATATATTTATTCATAAAACTGCATTGATGAAATGAAAGAAATTGGCAAACCAGGATGTAAAAGTATTTACCGTTTACAATTTGCTTTTTTTTTTTTAAATTATTTAATCCTTTAGTGAACTCTTTGCTGGAGAAAAAACTCCTTCAGGAAGATTTCAAGTATTGTGGAGGCGTTGCTTCTAAACCTTCTTGAAAACACTGTTCGTTACATTCAATGAACACCATGTTCCCTTAACCTTTGTAGTTGTTTATCTTAGTAACAAAAACCGTAGTAAAGATTACAACTTGCCCCATCCCGCTGTTTACTTTCCATCTAACTAGGACTTGTTAACTTGCTAGTTTTTTTACAATCTAATTTAGCACTTTCAAACTACTTTGTGTATTCTAACAGTTTATGTCTATAGTAGACTAGAGAAATGTGACACTGAATAAAGAGAAAATCTTCACATATTTCCTCTTATCTTACCTAATTTTCGAAGTTTTGTCAGAAATTCAAGTGTTCTTAAGCAGCCCACGAAAATAATTGGTTGATAGTTGTTGATTTTATACAACCGACAAGATCCGAGATTTTGTACTAATTACAAAGGTACTCGTGTGACGGTTATCTGGATGTGTATCGTAGAGGTACTGCAGATACTATCATTTGTTCTTCATTTACCATAATCTATTCGTCAGACACTATGATCTATGCTCCAGATACTATGATCTGTTCTTCAGATACCATAATCTATTCGTCAGACACTATGATCTATGCTCTAGATACTATGATCTGTTCTTCAGATACTATGATCCGTTCTTCAGATACTATGATCTGTTCTTCAGATACAATGATCTGTTCTTCAGATACTATGATCTGTTCTTCAGAGACTATGATCTATTCTCCAGATACAATGATCTGTTCTTCAGATACTATGATCTGTTCTTCAGATACTATGATCCGTTCTTCAGATACTATGATCTGTTCTTCAGATACTATGAACTATTCTTCAGATACTATGATCTGTTCTTCAGATACTATGATCTGTTCTTCAGATACTATGATCTGTTCTTCAGATACTATGATCTGTTCTCCAGATACTATGATCCGTTCTCCAGATACTAAGATCTGTTCTTCAGAGACTATGATCTGTTCTTCAGATACTATGATCCGTTCTCCAGATACTATGATCTGTTCTTCAGATACTATGATCTGTTCTTCAGATACTATGATCCGTTCTCCAGATACTATGATCTGTTCTTCAGATACTATGATCCGTTCTCCAGATACTATGATCTGTTCTTCAGATACTATGATCCGTTCTCCAGATACTATGATCTGTTCTTCAGATACTATGATCCGTTCTCCAGATACTATGATCTGTTTTTCAGATACTATGATCCGTTCTTCAGATACTATGATCTGTTCTTCAGATACTATGATCTGTTCTTCAGATACTATGATCTGTTCTCCAGATACTATGATCTGTTTTTCAGATACTATGATCTGTTTTTCAGATACTATGATCCGTTCTTCAGATACTATGATCCGTTCTCCAGATACTATGATCTGTTCTTCAGATACTATGATCCGTTCTCCAGATACTATGATCTGTTTTTCAGATACTATGATCCGTTCTCCAGATACTATGATCTGTTCTTCAGATACTATGATCCGTTCTCCAGATACTATGATCTGTTCTTCAGATACTATGATCTGTTCTTCAGAGACTATGATTTATTCTTCAGATACTATTATCTATTCTAAAAATACTGTGGTCTTTAATCAAGATACCAAAATATAGTTCGAATAGCCTACATTTGACCGTTTAAACCGACATCGTAGGACCATTTCTGTCACCTATAATGGCCATTGTACCACTAGTATATAGGAAACATTGGGATAAGGTGAAACTATGAGATCAGTTTCAACTATTTTAGAAAATTATTTTAAATCCTGTATTTGAATAGTCCAAAAATAGCCAGATAAACATCTACTTTTTTTAATTTTTTCTCACATATTTCACATTTTTGTCATCAGTAGGATAAATATTGACAGTTTCAAATGATCAATGAATACTATATGACGTCATGTTTTATATTTGAATAAGCACATCTGAAGTTTCATTTATATAAATATAACTACATAATGCCGATATAACGATCGCTTAACAATAGTAAAAAAATATTGAGCGACTCTCTAAATATGTAGGAATTTCGTAGTTACATTTTAATAAGGAAACTTCAAATACATGTACATATCTTGATCACGGTAAGGATATCTTTGGAGTTTTTAGTCCGATTTTCCTGTGTCAGTGATGCAGTAAGGGTTGACAGTTGAAAATGAAAACAATTGGTCGTAAGCGAATCCTCATGCAAAATGTTTCTCATTGTACATTGACTAATCCAACATGGAGTAGTGGGACGTAAAAATCAATTTCATTAACAATATTTTAAAAAAACATCGTTTATAAAAGTGATATAGTGTTTACTTTATTCTGTAGCAAAATATGTTCCTCAAAGAAACAATCATTTTTTACAAGGAAAGCAACTTAGGTTCATGAGTATGCAGACCTTAAAGAGACATGTTACCGTAATATTACTGAATTTTTATACCCTAAACTCGTCACACGACTGAATGGATAAGTAGATTAAAATATTCATATTTATCATTTAGACACAGAATGACATTCGACTCTAGTCAATATTACAATGGTGTCCTCACATCTATGTTTGCTCTGAATTACTTCACAATACAGGTTGAGTATTGTGTCCCTACTGTGAAACTGTATTGAGATTCAGTGATTGAAACAGGTTTAAAAGAAGATAAAAATATTATCAGAAGGATGAAAATATGTGACTTACGCTATTTTTCTGTTCGCCATATTGTATAAGTATTTAATAAAATCCAATAGATGTTAATCCACACAGGTTTTCTAGTAAAATGTCACTTAAACTTGTCGTCAGCTATTTATACGTTTTCCAATAATTTTTTGTCGTCTGCTTCAAGTACAGGATTATCCAGTTGTCTTTTATCCTATGACGTCGTCGTCACTTGTAAAAAGTAGGCTATGATTTTAACTTTCTATTTCACGAATATTAATATAAATATTTTCCACGCTTGGATGATTCGTTTTAATCAAATGCCACTTTCACAAAATATCGAGATATAAATAGTAGCTCGTTGATTGTATGCGTTAACCGCACCTAATTTGCATAATGTCAATGTTGTCGTGCAATGGTTGACGATGAATTGTAGGCGAAGGGACAATCGACGTGAAATTTGAATGAATCAGTGAAAATATTTGCTGTGTAGAATGTCATCAATTGTTACATAGACCAGCCTATTTACGATTATAACTTTAAAAGGAAATCTAATGTCGTTTATGACCAGCCCTCTACGCCACGTGACAATCTTTTCCACGTGGTTTCAACTGTATAAAGTTTGGTTGATTCTAGAAGAATACGATATGGTAATAAATGGGCTACATCATTCAATTATTTGATGGAAAAGGTTAACAAAATGATTATGCAGTTACATAGCGTAAGTAAAAACGTCAAATGATTTGCCTGCATACACATATTGCCCAACCGAGTTTTCCCGCCTACTTCAGCTGACAACTGCAAGAATAGCTATCAGAGGCTGGAATAGAGGCAGATGTTTCAGAATATAGTAATGGGAAAAAAGACAACGCTAAAGCAGCTGTATTCAATATGCACTGTCCAAACTACTTCCGGTTCCACCTTTTCTGATGTACGTAGTAAAAAGTAGGTTCTGAAAGGCAAATGATATTTCAATAAAGAAAAGCTTCTTCACACCAATTCCAATACTGACGTATGGGGTAGCCCTGACTTCTTCTAACCGAGTATATGTCGTGTCATATCAATTGTGGTAGTGGAAGGAATACGAGATAGTTTTTTTAAAAAAAAAATGATAACTGAGCGCTATACTGAACTCGAGACTTGATTCAGCGTCGCCCACAAGTATGCTCGATATGCAAACCACAACAGTTTGAAGTGTGGCGATGTTCATATATTGAGGTATTTCCTGAATAGACCATTCATTGATTGAATAATGAAATAATTCGAGTACAGTGACTAGTGGAGAGGATATTAAATATCAACTGGAGGAAATAATAAAGATGTTATCAGTCCATCCTTGATAACATTGTCAATTACTGACGTTCAACTCTGGTGGAAATACGTGCAACCGATGATAAACAAGAGTCGTGGGTTGTTACTACCACATGCTTGCTTTTGGTAAAGGAAACACATAATAATAAAGTTCAGAGCAGAGATTTTGGAACTGTTTCCCCAATCTAAACCAGGGTTCAATTGAGATTCATAATTTTAAAAATGGTTTAGAATGTGAAATATTCGATCACTAAAAAGATTTGTTTTTTAAATGGGAGAGATTGTCAAGCAGAGAGGAATGAAGTAGGGGTAGTGGGGATGGGAAAGGGTTTGAGATATGGGGAAGTATTGGTAGAGAGAGATATGGCACTGGACCACAGAAGAAGAAGAAAGGGGTCTATGGTCAGTTCACCAAATTTAAAATAAACTAGATTTGGATTTTGAATATTTTCATAAGCAGCTTCAGTGGTCCAATTAAATTGAAGAGAATTACTTCCCTTGAAGTAAAACGTATATAGTATGTTACTACATGTAATTTATTGAATTTTTACTTCGCATTTTATAAAAATTCGGTAGCAATCAAAAATTGCCGGTTGAAATTCCAGATTGATGTCACCTTAGACGTCTAAGATCATATCGTAATTTTTTTAATATCTCTATGTATGGCAATTATAATTTTCATCTCATTTCTTTCTGAGCTCAGTTTAATTGTATTATATTTTGGAACCAGCGTACAAGTGGAATTCCCAATTTAAAGTCTAGAAAAATTTGCTTAAATATGTTAAATTCGACACAACGCCCTGTGCAATTAACTGTACTAAGCGACTTTGTAAACATGAATTATGAATAAGTATGTAAGAACGGTGTAAGTTATAAGTAAATAAAACAATTAAATGTTATACATACTTAAATTACTGATTTCAGTGTGGTCTTTCAATACAGTTAATATTACTCCATTGTAATGTGTATTACAATTCACTATTCATATAAACGACCTCCTTTGCACAGTAACTGGTAGTGCTATTATTCCATTCAGGATGACCGAAAATGGCATGAGAGACACATTAGATTGCCAATTTGCATCAGGTCGTTATATTAGTCGTTCAATTCTTAACCAGCAATCCTGTATCTTAGTCAAAATCCCACATTATCACCATGAGGGGGCTGAATTGAATTATAGATTCAAACTCAATGCACTTAACATGAGGCTAATATTTATTTATCCCATGCTTTTTTAAAGTCATTACTCTAGGTCACCGCTATCGTGCCCAGTTTGTTATGCTCTTTGATGAGATTGGGATAGTTTTCTCTTGCAATCGACAAATACACTAATATTATCAATGATTTTATTGTAATGAAACAGAAAACAAGATACAAGAAATTTGAAAATAAACATGGAATATCATTGAAATATAGGAATAAAACAGTACATTGTTACAAAGTCGTTTCAGATCAGATATATTGGGACTACTGTATTGCTAGGGTTACATTAGATACAAATGTACGTTTTACAAAAGGTTTTATCTAGAAGGTTTATCTTGCTTCACCATTTCTGCTTGGTGTGGATACATTTTTAAACGATTTGTCAGATTCTAAAGTATCGAGAGTATCTTTTAAAGGCAGTTGTTTAAGGTATGAAGGAGCAAGGAACAAAACTAAATAGTGGAAATTTACAGACTCATCATTTTTCCAACTTACTTTCGTAGAAAATATAAACAGAAGAGAACAGAGATCAAAAACCAAACAATGCAATATAAAAATAACAGAAAGCAGTGAGCAGATTTTATATGAAAATATAATGTATTTGTATAAAATATGAGCGATTAGCGTATTCAAAAGCATCACAAAACAAAACGGTCAAATAACTAAAATATAAAGCGCATTCCTATTTTTTTTCATTTGGTAGAGGAAAAAGGCGTACTGGGTTGGGGCCTAGGCTATTTCAGATTGAAATTATCAAGTGCTTGCGTTGGTATTAAATAAACTATTGCACTATATCTTGCATTATAATTCAAAAACAGAAAATCGAAGAGGCGAAAAATTCCAAACTTCGATTCTTAATAGTGCCTGGTAAATTTACTGAAAACCATGGTAAGCTAGTAGGAACTGAGGGTTTATGTATCGGTAGCTGTTGAATAGCATGGATATAATAAAATTACCTGTCATACAAAAATCAAAATTGAATCCTTAAAGTTTGAATATTTACATGGATAAATAAATTACAAAAGTAAAAAATATTTACAGAAAAAATTCAACCCAGTTTAGAAAGAGTTATTTCCCTTCTATCTATAAACGCACTGATGGAAAGTCAGAAAACCAACGTTGCATGATTTATTATTTCTGTAATCAGATTGTCTATGTCAATTGAAAACGCATAGGTCCAATGTCAATTTTCTATGGTTTTCTTAGTGCCATAATTCAGATCCTGATATTGAAAAGTGTTTCGGATGTTTTGTCACAGAAGGTTGTAGAGTTGTTTGCAGTTCACTGAAGGTTTTTGCGGATATGACGGTCTTTAAAACATTCAATTAAGAATCGTTATCCGAGTTGTTGTTTTTTTATTTAAACTTTCAATTTCAAGCCTTTCTTTGGTGCTGGGGTTTTATATAACTTGAGCCGATGTAATAAATTGGTGAAATTCCCCAAATCGATGACACCATTTTCCACACCCATGGTTTTCATGAAAAATTCAATTTCGATATCCTCTAAGCATCTTCCTGTGGCTGTTTTCAATGTTTTCAAAGCCTTAACAGCTTCCTCATACTCTAGCAGACCACTACCATCTGTATCCATATCTTGAAATTTCTGTACTATATCGTGAGCACTGTAAAGAGACAATGTTTGTTTCCATTAAAATCAAATTAGAAAGGTCAAGTCACTTTGTTTCTAAATTGCAATTATTCCATCGCAATATCCCAAATGTATATTTCTTTCAACAGCTTCTGGAGGGAGTTATTAATTCCCAAATCTTTGGATAATCATTTGTGCAAAAAGAAAACCTCCTGAAAGTTACATATGTCTAAAGTTTTTTCTTCTCTTTTTAATAAAATACCAATTAAATTTTATTTAGTACGAAACAAACGATAGAGCGCTCAGGGATCGAAAAACCAAATTATATAAATTATAACATCCGGTTTTTGCGAAGTGCTAATGGCGACGTCAATGCCTTTACAAAACAATGGCGTAACGTCATAAACTTCTCCATCAACTGCGCTGTAAAGCAGGGTATGGGTTGTCTTCAGGACAAAGTTTTTAATTTTTTGGAAAAATATCACAAGTTTACTAATAACTGGAAGATAGAAAATGGGAAAACAGAAGAATGGTAAAAAGGAACGTCGAGAGAGTCTGGGATTGGGCGAGCTAACGAGAAGTGGCAAATCAAAGTAGGCTAAGACATTTTCATTTTAAAATATTGCAGAGTTTTTAAGGATGTTTGGTTATTATTCCAATCGCCATCTTCCGTGCAAGTTATGTAAAGAGTTCATTGATTGGTCAAAAAAAGACTCATTTGGTAATCCTATGTGTTTTTCTTAAAGCTGAATCTGGGTCGAACCTGATAGTTCTGTGGTAGATTATAATTGTTAATTATTCTTATAGAGTCGAAGAAGAAAGAGAGCTGTTGAAATTACAACAGGAGGGGATCTTGTATCTAGATGATATACGGATTGGAGAATCAGGGTTCTCTTATAACATAATGAATGAAGATAGATCTCGACGTAAAAGTCGTACACAGATTCCGGAACGGATGAGACCATTTAGCACTAAGACAAAGCGACCATGGCTTTGTCAAAATCCAATGAAATTATCTAACCCCAAACCGCAAGATTTTCTACTAGGATTGGAGCCTCTGGGTAGATTTTACCAGAGGCGTTTACTCGAAAGGTATGAGTTGCTTTAAAGACCGAAGACCTTGAAAATTGAAAATCCTGCACCATTTTAACGACCAAAGTCAATGAGTTATTTGTGTTCTGGTAAAAAGTTAATTAGCCTATATCATTCAGTCCCTATTTTTTCTGGAAATAGCTGCGACCTCACCGAAGACAGGCGAACTCAGATGTCAGAGACTAAAGTCCATACACTCTGAAAATTGACCGGGTCTTAAGGTTTTGCTGTATATTTCCCATGCGGAGAAAAGTGTTACTTTATTTTCTAATTTCTGATTTTAGGAAAGTAACTGACCAAGAATGGCTTCAACTGAAAAGGGCAGAATCTCGGATGATGAGAGAGGAAACCAGGGAAAGAACTTACAAAGATAAAAAGGCAAAAGAAACTGTCAAGAAACCTAAAATTAATAGAGAACTCTGCGTGGATTTGACTCAGCGCCATTCAAAAGATGAAGATAAAGATCAATTGTATTAAAAATAAAATATTGAAATCTTACAGCGTTTTAAATATCGTATTGAATTTATGGGCACCAGTGAGTATAAAATTGTGCTTTCCCAACTTACAAATTAATCTCAACATGTTATTATTCATTTTATAAAGCTCAGTTTTAGCTATCTGTGAAATGAACATCGGAAGTCACAAACGTCTCGAGAAAGAGCCACGCTCGTAGGTAAGAGGTCGTTTCAGATAAAGTGGTAATCGTTCTTTGAGAGACATTTCTAAACCTCAAGACTTAAATAAAAATATGTAGTCTCACCTTTCTCCTGCACATTCATAAAACTTGTGGAATTCCCAGATACTCATTAAACCATTTTGATCTTTATCAAATGTTTCAAACATAACAATAGCTTGTGGTTGCTCGAGGTTAAATTCTTTCATTAACATGTCGACTGCTTCATCTTTGTGTAAAGTTCTGACTTTATCGTGTATATATCTATCAAAGATATCTGTGACTTGTTTTCTGAAAGAAGAATTAGCCTTATGATAGCTTTTTATGATATAATTGATCCAGTGCCAAATGTATAAATAGAAATCAATGTACCATTCATGGAAATCAATGTACCATCCATGAAAATCAATGTACCATCCATGAAAATCAATGTACCATCCATGGAAATCAATATACCATCCTTTGAAAGTTTTCAGCTGAGCCATCAATGTTCATCAATGGTAGCTGGAAATCATTGAATCATCAGCGGATATCATTGTACCATCCACAGATAGCTTTGAGCTGAGCCATCAATGTTCATTTCCATAAGTGGAAATCACTGAATCATCAGTGGAAATCATTCATATATGAAGAAAAATTCTACTTACGGAACTTTTCTTTGAAGAGCCATTTTATATGTTTATTTTGGAATTATTAGGTAATATGGAATCTGAAATAAAATGAAAGTATATTAGTGGTAGAAATATAGCTATAAACTGTTCAGGATGTGATCAATATTTCAAAAACCTTCCTATTCAGGCTTTTCTGAAGATAAATTCCTTGATTTGTACACGAATTAAGGTCCAAGATGTCTCGACTGTAAACTATCTCTTAATGGAAAGGTATATTCATGTAAGAAGTAAACATTGTCTTTCTGTACTATTAGAATCAGCTTATTTATAATCGTATTAACGTGTTACCATGGAAACTCGAAAACATGGTATCTAAATAAATCATACGTATAAACACCACAATATAACATGGTTTTCATCGGCATATAAACTTTATGTACAAAAACTTCAATAGTATAGAATTTCTTAAAATAAATCGTAAAATAAATTCTGTGATGACTATGGAACATTTTATCACATTCCTAAAGTGTCCATCACTACAATGATTTTGTTAACTCTCTGATTTTCTGTTTCCGTGAGCTATTCAAGATTTTTTGAGAATAAATCTTATACCATAGAATCGACTGTATCACATTTAAAATGAATAACAAGTCGGATGTTTTGGTTTTTTTTCTTTTGGTTGTCCGCGGTGTTTGCGGTTACCATGATGGTTATCGATAGTGGTATACGGTGGAGTTATTATATATAGATATATTGCTTTATTTCAAATAGGATTGATTTTTTTTACTTCTTATCCAGAAATCTATACCCAAAATTTTTTATTTTAGATTCATTATCCATCAAATATCTGAAACATTTCATGACCTGATAATATACGCATTAAGTAAATATTTGATACGGTTGCTCGACTTTATAGACACCATTCTGTGAGGTATCGTATTAAATAACAAAGTTACGCCCTTTAATATCTGGTTTTACCATTAATATAGGTAATAATAAACCTCATTCTGAAGAATTCGTGGTTATTTTCAGATTTAGTCCAGCCAAACTGTTATTAAGTCTTAAAAAAATAAACATTGCCAAGGTACATCAAAATGCCTGGTTCACAACTCTTTAGACCCGAGGATCCTCTTTTTCTATGTCAAGACGTCCCTGGTACCCCCTCTGTTAACAATAGGCAATATTTGAAAAATAGAACACATAGTGAAAAGATAATCCAAGCAAACTCTTTACAGATATAATCTTGTATTTCTAAATAAGGGCTGATAGGATAACTTCGATATCAAAATGAATTCACCCAATTGTTCTTATACACAGAAACCTTTCACAATCAATATAGGATTACGTAAGATTTTTAAAATCGACGAAATAAAAGGTAAATGTTTTAAGTAATGTAAAGATATCTCCTGTCTGTTATTGAAAGTAGGCCTATATCAATTGATTTATTACAGTTTTATATAAAATACAGGCTATATATCATCAGATATCATGTAATCCACCACGTATACATTTCTGATAACTCTTCTATAACTTAATAAGATAATACTTAACATAGTCTAATAGAACTAGCAGAAAAGTGATGCCAAAATTTCCTGATATCTCTTTTATCTTATAGACTGTCTAGTGACTAATTCCAGGGTGCTATGATCAAGAGCGTCAATAACTAAGAAATAAGAAGACTATATTACTTGGTATTTAAAAACTGAGACCTATATATCTTAGAAATTACAAAATTGTTTCCTAATTACAGAAAAGTGAATGATGAAGATCAGTTCAATAACAGCAAAATTCAAAATAATAACATCTTTGGAATTAAGGAAACTGTAGACAAATTCCAGGATGCCATGGCCAGATTGTCTGTCGAAGAACAAGAAGATGACAGCATATGTTCATTTTCCAAATCTTCCTGATACCTCTTGCTGGATACCTTTTGTTATTTCCAGAAAGCCATTATCAAATAGATCTTTATCTTTCACTCACTTTATAACACAAAATTTTGATGTTTTTTGTTTTCTTCCGTGTTCTATAAGATCATAACTGAACTAGCCTACAACTATCAGAGAAGACTAATAAAACTACACAAGCGAGATCTTACCTGAATTTTCCAACCAAAGTCAAAAATCTTCAAAACGAAAAGAATTTTAATCGATTAAGTAAGTTTTTGATATATATTCAAATATCGCATATCATCCTAAATATATCCCGAACTAACAGAACTCTGATATCTCTTACCTTTTAATAGAACTGGTCCGTATGAAATGTTTGTTCTTGGAACTTAATGCACGAATAATCTTAGAATGTTATGGCACAACTTGAGTTCTATCAAGTTTATATAGTGTACAGATAAAATTAGTTTTTGTGGAACACCCCTCCACATAATCAGGTGATATGAGTCAGGAACCATCTCGAAGACTTGCAGACAGTTAACCGATAGGTGTGCTATGAATCATTGATTCCATTGGGATAGGAGGGAATCCTCAATGTTCGAATTCCATAATAATGACGACATAAAAACTTGTGGTTTTAATTTAGAATCATCTTCATTCATTGGTAGATATTTCACAGACATGACGTCATGTAGCGATCTGTTGGTTTGTTTTTTACGTACACCGATATTTTGATTGGTGCCTATTTTAAAACCATGACGAAATATCAATTTTGATAAATTTGTTTATTAGGTAGCTTATATATTACTGATAAATATTTGAGATATTTTGGAGATGTTTTCATTGTTAAGGTGTTGTGGTTTTTGGTAGTAACTCAGCCAGTTGGCAAGGTACTATGACTAATGGTACCACATGCGTTTAATTATTAGATGAGTAGATTATAATACGCTCTAGTACCTATCTTATAATACGCCCACAGCCGTATGGAATGGTATTATAAGAGCTGGTAATACGTAACAAGCTGTTCACCAGTCTTTTGATTCCAACATTATAGGACCTCGTAATACTCTGAAATAAGTCTCTTTCACTACGGTCATCTTCATGGTAAAAAGTTGGTCCGAAAAACGAGACTGGGATTTAAAAATCGATTCTGTTTTCAAAAGTTCTGGTAACTTACATACGTATTGTTCGAAAAAACTGAAACCTTTCAAAAAATACGAAAATTTCATTATTCCTGATGTTTTCTTAAGCTTTACTCAGTTAGCGTATAAGAGTTTGAACCACAGGTAAGAACATAAATACCAGTTTAGTTCAATTAAGACTGAATTACGTTTCAATTCTACATTTCAAGAACAAGGATTTTAACTCTTCATGTTTTTCCTAACAGACGTCAGATTTTACATGTGATTATTCAATCAGAATAAAGGTTTGTAAAACAAATATTTTACTTACCGTTTAGCGTATTCCACTTTTAGCACCAAAATGTAGCCGGTATCTTCTGCACAGCAAACTGTAGAAGATGAGTTCAAACAGTAATTCTATATGTATAGTCTCGAATATCAAGCTTTTCTCTTTAACATGCTTTAAGTCCTTGAACAATCTTGATTATCCAGCCATTCGCAGGAACTTTTGACATATTATGTCTGATAAGATACATCTGTGCTTTTAAGAACTTTGACAGACAAATAGAAGTATTCTTTTCTTACCAATTATTCACTTTGAGTTCTCTTTTATTGTCGGAAAGCAAAAACAAAGGCCTTTGTGTCAGCGAGTTTCTGACTAGTCATATGGCTTGCGAGAAGCAAGTGTCTGAATAGTCAAAAAGTTATCAAGATGCTTGCAAAGAGTTTGTAAGTTTCTGACAAGTCTGTTGGCTATCGAGAGGCCTTTTCAGAGTCAAGAAAGTGTCTGACTAATCAAATAGCTATCGTGAGAGTCAGCAAGTGTCTGACTAATCAAATGGCTATCAAAAGGCTTGTTAAGAGTCAGCAAACGTGTCTGACTAGTATAAGAAGCTATCGTGAGGCTTTCAAGGTGTCAGCAAGTTTCTAACTAGTCCAATAGCTATGGTGAAGCTTTAAAAGATGTCGGCAACTATCTGACTAGTCAAATGGCTATCGACAGCTATTTGACTAGTCAGAAACTTGCCGACTCTTGACGATAGCTTTTTGACTGGTCAGAAACTTTCTTAAATCTACAATAAGACTCACTAGTTAGACACTTGCTGACTCTTTGCAAGCCTCACGATATCTATTTGACTAGTCATTAATTTATTAAAATCTTCAAGGTTCTGTGGAAGTTACAGAT